GCGTCGTCTGCGGCGGGGCTGCGGGTGCTGCGCGCCGAAGACAGCGTACTGTGCAGGCTGCCCGCGGGGATGCGGGCGCTGCGGGAGCTGGACGTGACCAGATGCACAAGGCTGCAGCCCGAGCTTGCGCTAACGGACGCTGTGGAGCTGCGGGTGCTGAATGCACTGCACACGGGGATGCGGGCGGTGCCGGAGGGGCTGGCGGCGCTGGAGGAGCTCGACGTGAGAATCTGCTACTCGCTGGACGTCGGCTCGCTGCGCAACGCTCCCACGGTGCGCGTGCTGAAGGTGAACAGCGCTGGGCTGCGGAGGGTGCCGGAGGAGCTGACGGCGCTGGAGGAGCTGGACCTGGGCGGCTTCCCGGGAGAGATCACGGAGGGCTTCTTCCCGGCGCCGGTCTGTGCGAGGCTGCGTGTCCTCAGTGTCTGCTGGTGCCTTGGAATTCGGAGGGTGCCGGAGGGGCTGACGGCGCTGGAGGAGGTCGACGTGAGTTGGTGCAAGCAGCTGGACGGCGAGGCGTATCTGCCCGCGTCGTATGCTGCGAGGCTGCGGGTGCTGAGAGCCTCAAATAGCAACGTGCGGAAGCTGCCGAGGGGCATGGACGCGCTGGAGGAGCTGGACGTGGATGATTGCAACGAGCTGGACTGGGTCGATGCGGCGGAGGCGCTTGGCGGCGCTGCGAGGCTGCGGGTGCTGCGTGCTCAGCGCACAGGGATGCAGGTGTTGCCGCGGGGACTGCACGCGCTGGAGGAGCTGTACGTGCGAGGGTGCAAGTACCTGACGGGGACGCTGGAGCAGAGCGTCGCGGACCGTCTGCATCGGTGGGACGTTCGGGGGAGCGGGCTGGTGCTGCCAGAGGGGATGCGGCCGTTTCGGCACGGGTGAGGCGCATGCATTGCAGCTGCGGGGGCGGCGACGAGCTGTGAGACTGGGACATCACGGTCGCCCGCGTCGCGTCTGGCCGCGCTCTCCCATCCCTGTCCGAGCGCCCTTGCGGCGCACACACCACACAGGGCCATTGGTGACACCGCTGCGCGTGACTGGACCCCTGCGCAGCACCATGCACGCGGCCGCAACCGCGCACCAGCACCGCGCCGCTCGCGACCTCGTCCATGCGCTTGCTCGTTGCGGCCCACGACGTCTGGGGGGTGTTGGCTGCTGTCAGGGGGGGTGTGTCCTCGGCCGAGCGAGCGAGCCGCTATGGGTGCCTCGCCGCGCCGGCCGCGTACACTGGGGAGCGTCCAGCGTCACGGCCACGACGTGAACTCGCAACTCACCGACGCCACCGCACTCACGTCCGGCAGCACATGCGACGCTGGGAGGAACAGCAGGGGTCGCGTGTGTACGTGCGGTGAACAGGTGCGTGCGTGCACACGCGCCTGAAATACGTCAGCGGCAGTACGGCGCTGCCAGTGCGTGTCCGGAACGCGCCTGTGCGCCGCACCGCTGGCGGAGCAGCGCAGCCTGGGTGCTTGCCGCGCTGCCGCGTGCTCATGCCGCCTTCGAGGCGGGTGTGAAGCATCGCGCTACGATTTTCAGTATCAGCAGAGCGCGGCTCGATGTCAGCAGCGCGTCGCTGTCGTCGCGCAACGTAGTTGCGGGCCCAGTGGACGTGACCCCTGACCCTCGTTGTCTCCGTGGGCGCAGGAGGCGGCGTACGGGCGCGAGAACGCGACACGGCAGCTTCAGGCGGTCACAACATCATGCCACGGGGACGGCGCAGCGATGCGGGCGCGTCCAAGCGCTCGAAACGCGCACGGCTCAAACAGCATCAGCTCGAGGACATTCAGTGCGGGCGGGACGGTCCCCTGGCCAGCGTGATCCGTGAGCTGCCGCGCGAGTCGCGCATCGCGCTGGCGGCGACGTGCTCGGCGATGATGGCAGCGGTGCTGGAGAGCTGCGACGGCGCGAGGTGGCGGTCAGGGGACACACACCGCTATTGTGCGGAGTGGCGGGTGGGGCAGACGGTGGCGCGGCGGCTGGAGGGGCGGGTGTCGGAGGGGACGAGGTCGCTGATCGGGTGGGCGACGGGGCGCGGGGAGTGGGTGGTGTATCAACGCGCAGGCGCATGCGACGTGGGTGTGCCGTCCGCGGTGGTGCGCTTGCAGCCGGGAGATCGGGATCTGCTGTGGTCCCTGTTGCTCCAAACGGATGCCGGCCGGCGCGAGCTGGCGTCGGCGCCGGCGGTGACGGCGGAGATGACGGGCCTGCGGTGCGTGGACGTTACCTGGTACCCGTTTCATGGTGACAGGCTGGACATGGAGCGTGTGTGGGGGCGCTACGGGCTGCCTGCGGGCGTGGCGGCGGGCATCAGGGAGCTGAGGGTGGGCGGGACGATGCTGAAGCGCGTGCCGGAGGGCATGGTCTCGCTCGAGGTCCTGGACGTCGGCTGGTGCTGGGAGCTGGAGGGCGAGACGTTCCTGCCGGCGTCGAGCGCGGGGCGGGTGCGGGTGCTCAGGGCCAACCGCAGCAGCCTGCGGAGGGTGCCCGAGGGGATGTGCGCGCTGGAGGAGCTCAGTGTGCGCGAGTGCATGAGCCTGGACGAGGCGTGCCTGCCGGCGTCGTCTGCCGCGGGGCTGCGGGTGCTGGAAGCCTCGTACAGCAATCTCCGCAGGCTGCCCGCGGGGATGCGGGCGCTGCGGGACGTCGGCGTGGTTGGGTGCAAGAATCTGCAGCCCGAGCTTGCGCTGACGGGCGCTGCGGAGCTGCGGGTGTTGTGCGCGGGGGGCACGGGGATGCGGAGTTTGCCGGAGGGACTGTGCGCGCTGGAGAAGCTGTACGTCCAAGGGTGCGAGAATCTGACGGGGACGCTGGAGCAGAGCCTCGTGGACCGTCTGCGCTGCTGGAGCGTTGAGGGGAGCGGGCTGGTGCTGCCAGAGGGGATGGAGGAGAGGCATTACGGGTGAGGTGCTTGCATCGCGCGGAGCGCACATGACGGCCTGCGAGCCGCGGGTCCGACAGGGGGGACTGCAATTTGTAAGCTGCGAGACAGGGCGATCGCTCCGTTCGCGCCGTTTCAGGTTCTCGCCTTGTCCGTAACTGCAGCGACGACGAGGCTCCGGGCCGGTGCGGCGCTGCGGTGGGGTTCTGTCACAGGATGTCAGACGCGCATCGCGGGCCGACTTTGCCGTCCGTGACACACCGTCGCGCCGCACGAGAAGCCGCCCACGTTGCCCCGCCCGACCGTTGCCGCCTGCTGTTCGCACTCGCCAAGGTCCCCGCCAGCCATGCACGCACACCCCGTGCAGGCCCTCATCGGGGGCGGGCCGCTGCTCACCCGCGCAGCTCGGCTTCCGGGCAGCGCAGGACGCCGCCCACGCCAGCTTGACAGTGAACGTGACCACGGAGGCCGTGAGGGCGAAGAGGGCGAGGCATGCGCGGCGGTATCAGGGTCACTCAAGGCCATCGTCAAGCACCTGCTCCCATGTCGTAGCCCTCGAACAGGGCCGAGATCGCCGCGCATGCCTCGCCTTCGCGGTATGCGTCGGCGCCGTGCAGCTTGTGAGGGCGTGGCACGCGAACTTCGAGGCGCGATGCAAGGCGAAGGGCTGCTTTGCGCAGCAGGGTGAAATGGGGTGCACTGAGCACTGAGCCGCATGCTGCTCGGGATCTGCATCGACTCACTCCACGAGGATATCGTAAGAGAGACCGTTTCTATTCGAGTCGGATGAGCTAGACCTCGCGGCCCGCAAGGTTCGTTGTGCGGTGAGGGTGATTCCGCCCGTCAGCGACGCAGGGGCACACCTGCAGGTCTCCGAGTGCGCGGCTCAATGGACCGGGCCGGCTGTCACGTGAGGTGCAGCGGCCACTCGCCGGAGTGGCAGCAAGCAGCGGTCCTCAGCAACGGGGAAGAGGCCAGATGCGCCAGGCGTCAAGGCTACCTCGATGAGGGCCGCCGCACGAAGAAGATGGACGGAACTGCGAGGGTAAGATCCCATGTACGCGCTGCGGCCGCAACGGTGCGGAAAAAAGCGGTGTTCGTGCAGAACTGGAGTCTGAAAAGCAGCAGTGTAAGCAGAGCGCCGCAAGAGGTGCCCGCTGCCGGGGACGCATGCGTGCCCGAGAAAAAGGTGCCGCGACGGCAGATCAAGGCGCCTCCCCGACGAACGCGAGAGGCCGGCACTGGACTTGACGGCACGACGCTAGTCAGGGGCACCCCCGCCGGTGTCCAACTACCCGTGAATGAATCGAGAGCGACCGGTCACGGGCGGCTGTCTCAGAAAGTTGACTTCGCTCGACGAAGGATGTCACGCGCACTTGTCCCGGAGCGCACGGGCCGGGTGCAGCACTGCAGGCGGGGACTCCACATGACCCCTGCGCCCGCTGGGGGCATCAGCAGGAGCGGCAAGGGCGTGTGTGCGCACGTGAGAGAGTGTGACACGGGTCTGTTGAGGCATGTTCGAGCCGCACGAGCGAGTGGGGGGCACCGGTGAGCCGTGGCTCACAATTCACAGTCAGCGCGCAGCGGCGGGTGCGAGATATCCGGCTCGCGCGGCGGGTGGAGTGCGCGAACGCTTAAGCGCGGTCGCAGCTAGCGGGGCGCAATGCTGCAGCGATGCCGCCCCGATCTTCGTCTAGCGCTGCGCACTGCTGTAGTCCTGCAGCCAGGGCCCCCATAGCTGAAGAAGCCCCTGTAGCTGAGTGATATATATGAAGACTGGGGTTTATTCAGTCTGACCAGTGGGCTGTGCACATGGGAGCTCGCCCCACGCCATATTTAAGACGGAGCACATATGTCTGTCCAGATATATGTTTGCACCGATATTACGAGATTTCCTGCTGTCGACTGTTTCACCCGTGTGTTATACCATGGTGGAATCAGCATGAACACCCCCGGAGCCATTTCATACCAAACGCCTAGATTTACTTCTCGTCGGACTGAGTCGAGGAGTCCCCCGGTTGCCTAACTCAATAGTCCCCCGGCGCCCCGCCGGGCTCAAGACCGCGCCCGGCTCGCAGTTCAGACACTCTGATGACAAGCTGCTCAACCCGTCTCCAAAATGGCACGTAACAAGCGCACGCCAGTCAAGAAGAGGGCTCACCGAGCTTCTCGCGAGCTGTCGAACCATGAGGCCTCGGGCGGCGTGAAGGAGCCGCGCCGCTACCGCTACGCGCCCGGTACCAAGCCTATACGCGAGATCCGGAAGTGGAGCACCGGTCTCCTCCTCATCCCGAAGGAGGCGTTTGCGAGGCTCGTCCGGGAGATATCGGACAGGTGGGAGCGGACCCCGGAGCGGGTCCGGTGGACCGAGCAGGCCCTTCGGGCCCTGCAGGAAGCGGCGGAGGCCGCCATGGTCGGGCTCTTCGAGGTCGCCAACCTGTTCGCCATCCACGACAAGCGCGAAACCATCACGCCCATGGACATCCAGCTGGCCCGCCGCATCACGGAAGCCGCCACAACTACAGGGGCTGTCACAACTACAGGGGTCACGGGGGCTGCCAGGGAGGACGCGTCGGACGTGCCGCCCAGGGCTCCGCCAGGGGATTTGTAGCAGGGCGTCTCTTCAGGACGCCGCGCATGTGAACTTCCCCACTTAGCAGTGTCTCTGCGCACGCCTGCCCCCACGCCGCCGCCACGATGCGCCTGGGTTCGCTCTTGCGCGGCATGCCGCACCGGGCGCACGGTGCGTCGCAGGAGGGTTTGGCCGCCCCTCGGTGGCCCACAGCATCATGTCGGCGATGATGCTTGACGTGGCACGCATGGGCAAGCGTCGCAGCGCGTGGCGCGGAAGCGCGCTCGCCGCGCTTGCGAACGGGCCCGCTGGGACGCAGCGTGTACGCAAAACCGTCGGGACGCCATGCGAGGCTTGCCAGCGTCTGGCCGCGACCCGCCATGACCGCAACGCATAGTCCCCCCCCCGCGGGCGCAAACGCCCCCCCTGCTCGCACGCCGCCGCCGCCATTCATGTTGTTATACTGCTACCCCCCCCACGGTGCGTTGCAGCGACCGACAGCGCTCATCGGTGCGCCGGCGGAGGGCCAGGGCGGACTCCTGTTGAGCCACCGCGGCCGTCGCTGCGTCACCGGCGTGCACCGTTCCCGAGGAGTGTTCCTCGCGCAGGTTGGTGCGGCCTTGCTACAGCAGGCGTCCGTGGCGCGCCGCTGGGCTTCGCGAGCAGCGATGCGACGGGCCGCCGCGCTTGTACGGAGCGTGTGCGCTGCCACTGGGATGTCGAAACAGTCCTGCGACGCCGGTCAGCGCGCTGGAGGTGAGCCTGCACCCCTCGCCGAGAGCTCTTTTGCCGCCCGGCGTGCCCACAGACCGGTTGGGCTGCCGAAGTCGCGCCGAACGCGCCGCAGATCGTTCACAGCTGCTACACGTGACAGAAAACGGCTCTGTGGTCGCTTCGCGATGCTGTGCGGCACGAGTCTGGGTCGGTTAGCTTGCCGGGGTGAGTTCGAGCAATGCGTCCCCTCTGAGCGCAGTGTCCGGCTTCGTCCGCGACTCGACGGCCACTTTAGATGATATCCTCCCCGCTGGACCGCCCAAGCACCAAAGCAGACAAGTGTCCGCGTCGCCGCGCGACGACAAGCTGGCTGATGTGGAAGTGGAGGTCACGCCGCGCGCACCGGGCCGCCTGGGGTCGTACACGCCCGCCACGATGATGATGTGGCAGGAGAGAATCGCGCGAGGTGAGCCCGCGCCCCTCTCCACCACGCCGCTGCACGCACGTCCACTCCTCGTCCAGCGCCCCGCAGGCCTCGTTGCCCGCTCTCGCTGCCCCGGGCCCGACACGCGCGCCCGCACCTCGCGCACACCTCCACGCAGAAGCCCCGGGGTCGCACGCCGACCAGCCAGCCTCCGCCGACGGGGAGCCCGTACTCGAGCCCCGCGCTCCACGCAAGGTGGTGGTCCGGTACCCCGTCTCGACCGTCCACGACCTCCACGAGCTCTACCAGAACCCCTGGGGCTACGTCCGCATAGGAAGGCTCCTCGAGGACTTCGACTCGGTCGCAGGTGCCGCGCCCCACGCTGCGCCCACCTTTGCCGCATCACAGCACCGCCAGAGCGCCCGCTCTCGGCCCGCCACGCACGCCCGCATCCACCTACGCACGTTTACATCCCCGCGCTGGCCCCCGCTGCACCGCCCGCGCGCCCCAACCCTCACCCCGCACCTCTGCTTGTCGCGACGCCGTGCGGCCTCCGCCCCCGCTGCGCGCAGGCACCGTCGCGTTCCTCCACAGCCACGAGAACGCGCACCACCGGCCCGTCCTCGTCACGGCGTCCGTGGACCGCATCACCGCCCACGGCGAGCTCTGTCTCGAGAAGGACTTCCGACTCGAGGGGCGCACGATATGGACGGGCCGCTCCTCGATGGACATCCTCATCCAGTGCATCGCGGACGGCCAGGCGCAGCCCGTCCTCGAGGCCGTCTTCACCTTCGTCGGCCGCGACCCGGCCACCGGCAAGGCCGCCCCGCTGCCCGCCGTCAAGCCGGAGAGCGCGCTGGACGCGGAGTGGTTCGAGAAGCGACAAAAGGTGCGCCGCCCCGCGGTGAATCATCGCGCGGTCGTCTGGAGCGGCGGGACGCCGCGCCGAGCGGCGCAGGGCGGTTGTGCGGGCGTCCTCACACGCACCTGGCACGTGCCGTGTTCGCAGGTGAACGACCACCAGAAGGCGCTGCGGAAGGCGCGGCAGCAGGCGGGGACCGCGAGCACGAACGAGCCGCTGGATCCGCGCGCGGCAGCCCTGCTCGCGGAGGGCGCGGCGCTGCAGGACCTCCCCGCGCTGGGTGCGGACGACGCGGTGGTGGCGTCGGGCACGGAGCTGACGTCGGTCCTGCTGATGCAGCCGCAGGAGCGCAACATGGCGGGGAAGGTCTTCGGCGGCCACCTGATGGGCCGCGCGTACGAGCTCGGCTTTGCGGCCGCGCTGGTGTTCTCGGGGTCGAAGCCGTCGCTGGTCGAGGTGGGCGCGGTGACGTTCGACCGGCCCGTCGAGGTGGGCGACCTGATCAAGTTCACGGCGACGGTGCTGCACACGCGGCGCGTCGGGGACGCGAGTCGCGTGTTCGTGGAGGTGGAGGCGCACCGCATGAACCCGCGCGAGGTGGTGAGCGAGGTGACGAACCGGTTCCGGTTCGAGTACGAGGTGGAGGGGGGCGTGAAGCGCGTGCTGCCCGCGACGGAGGAGCAGGCGCGGAAGCTGATGCGGTATCTGTGAGGGGGGGGGCGTGATGTGATGTATCGGGCTGTGCCAGGGCTCCGTTGACGCCTGCTTGCCTCTGGCCTGCTCTTACATTCGGGCAGATTGCTCATGCTGTGCGGTGCCCGCGCTGGTTCGGCTGCGGGTCGTGCTGCCGGTCAGCGACGTCTCGATCGCAGCGGGCGACAGCGCGGCACGGGCCGCCTCCCGCGCGGTTCCCGCGTCGCGGATACGCGTCGGAGGGCGCGGGCCGCAGCGCGCGTGCGCATGCGTCGGCGTGCAGCCCGACCGCGTGTAGAAAGAAAAAAGTGGAACTATGGAAAACATAACTCATCTATCATCGTGCTTTCTCGATTCCGTACTCCTCGAACGAATCGTCCGAGTCGTGCAGCGAGTCCTCGTCCGTCTCCGGCTCCAGATCCTGCGCGCGACCGCCACCGGCGCCCAGCCCTGAGCACCCTCAACGGCAACCCTGCTAGTCATGGCGAACAACCCTGAGCCGTGTGCGTGCAACAGCAGCGCAGCGGACGCGCAGCGGCGTACCTGGAGGATCTCGGCCGGAGGCTCGCGCGCCGGCGACGCTCGCCGCTTCCGCTTGCGCCCCGGCGTCGCCACGGACCCCACGCCCTGTTGTGTCGATGTGGCTCCTGCGTGTACCGCGCACCCACGCGCCTCCTCCCGCTCGACGGCGTGCCGGAGCAGGTCGTCGAGCTCGCGCCAGTCTCCGAGCGGGTCTTTCGCCGTCATCTGCCGCGCCGCCGAGAAGGTCAGCTCGAGGGCGTGGATCTGGGACTCCAGATAGGATATCGTGTCTTCCGTCGCGTCGCCAACTTCGAGGCCGTAGGTCGCGAACAGCGTGCCCGCGGACGCGTCGCCGGCGCCGCGCAACCGCTTCTCCTCCCGACACACGCTCATCAGCTCCTGCGACACCACGCGGGGGCCCACCGCGCACTTCAGAACACGGCGGAGCAACGAATCGACAATCAAGCATTCTCGAGCTCAAAGTGACACCAACGGTCGCCATGTGCCGCGAACGCGGCCCGGTGCCGCCGCAGGCCCGCAGGCGGCCTCGCACCTTGAGTGCGGGCAGCAGACGCACGCCCGTCTTCGCGGCGCCCGCCACCGCGCACGCCCGCGCCAACATGGCGATCTGCGGCCACGCGAGGCGCTCTCGACCCGTCTCGTGCCGCTCCAGGACCGCACGCAGCGCCGTGCGCGCCTGCGAGCCAACGACGCTCTGGTTCACGGCGTCCCTGATGATTTCGGCCGCCGGCCGCGCCATGCTGCCAGCGGAGAGACGTCTGGTCTCGCTGGTTGCACCAGCGGGCGCGTCCGGCCCCGCGGTATCCCGTGCGCGCCCAGCGTCGCGCATCTCCGCGAGCGCGGGCTGCAGGCCGCGGAACAGGACGCCACGCGGCTCTGCCGTGCGCCGGGCCCAGGTGCAGAATCCCTCGCTGCGTCGCGCCAGGCGCCCCGCGACGTCTTCGACCGTTTCCGCGGCGTCGGGCCGCTCGCCCAAGATCTTATCCGGGAACCTGAAGCGCGTGATCCCCATGTGGAGCAGTATCGCGAGCGTCAGCACCCACAGCTCTCCCTGCGCCGCGCACTCCCGCCACGCGCTCTCCAGCATGCTCCACAGCGCCCTCCGCCCCTCCGCGTTCAGGTCGAGGATCGAGCACACCACGAGGCAGTGCATGACTGACTCCGGCGACTCCTCCACCGCAGACATGACCTCGGCGACCGTCGCGCTCCCCGCAGGCTCCCTCCGGCTCTGCGCGCTCAGGCGGTGCCACTCCGGACACTTCGGGATCCGGAAGTTCTTGTCCGTGGCCAGGACCACCAGGCGGTGCTTCATCGGCTCCGGAAACGGCCGGTCCGCCTCGTACGCGACCTCCCCGCGCAGCTGCGCCACCGCAGGGCACCCGCGCGGCATCGCCCCGACCGCGCCGGCCGCCACGACCCCCCGCCGCGCCCCGCCGCGCTCTGCGCAGCCCGCGGGCGCCCCGCGCCCCATCACCGCGGCACCCACTTCGCACCACCATGCGTCGTACCCGGCAGCCGCTTCTACCACTGCCCGCGCGGCCTCGCCCCAGCACCGCCCCGCCGGTCCACCGCCCACCGAACAAGCGCACGCAACAACCGCTCACCCGCCCCACCCCCAGTCGAGCCACAGCAGCGCAACAACAGCCAGCGCTAGTTCTTTGCTGACCTACGCTGCAGGCGAGGCGGGCGGCTCCGGCGCGTGCGCGGCGGGGATGGAGGGTCACACAGCATCCGTGCGCGCGGATATCCGCGCTCTAGTGGATGGTGTTGGCCGCCGAGGCGATCCGCGGCCAGATGTCGGCGCACTCCTTGGCGACGGGGCCGGTGATGGCCGACCCCTTCATCTCGCCCTTCGGGTTCACGATCACCCCCGCGTTGTCCTCGAAGTAGATCACCGTGCCGTCCACGCGCCTCCACGGCTTGCGCTGCCGGACGACCACTGCCGGGTGCACTGCGGGGGTCGGGGGCGGCGGGTGGGTGGGTGAGCGGGGCTGTGTGGCGGGGCTGCGCGCGGCGGGGGTGCTGCGGTCGTGGGTGGTGGTGGCGGGGGGCGCGGGGGGCGCGCGCGGTCGGGGCGGGTGCTGGTTGGCGCGCCGGCGGGCTGTTGCGTGGGCGTGGGCGGCCGCTGGGGGGAGGGCGCTGTGCGGGACCGCCACGCGGCGGCCTGGGTGGGAACGTGCGGTCCGGGCGGGGTGGCGCGGGGACGTGCTGGGGCCGCGGTGCCCGGGAGGACCGCGGACGGCTGGTCGCCGGAACGGAGATGGCGCGTGGCGTGCTCGCGGAAGGCGTGGAGCCAGCGAAACTCCGCACGCTGGGAGCGGAGCGCGTACTCGAGGTCCACGCGCATCGAAAGCGGGTGTTGGCGCCCGCGGCGGGCGAGGAGTGCATGCAGCACGTTGGGAGGGCCTGTCGCGTCGAGCGCGGCCGGTAATTTCGCACTCCTCCACGCGGATACGCAGCGAAGAAAGTAGCTCGGTCGTTGGGAAGCGCGAGGGCCGCCGGAGAGCCCCCGGGCGGGCGCGTAGACGGCACGAAGAGCTCGTCGGTGCTCAACCGGCGACGTGGCGGGGCGCTCACCCTTCTTGCGCAGGTCGGGCTTGCCCTTCTTCACCGTGGCCAGGAACATGTCGCCCGGAGAGGCCTTTGGCAGCCGGTTCAGGCGCGCACCCCAACCCACCGCTGCCATCATGTACAGGTTCTTGGCGCCGGTGTTGTCGGCGCAGTTCATGACCGACGCGGTCTGCAGACCGGCCGACATCCTGAACTTCTCGCCCGTCTTCTTGACGCCGCCGTGCTTGGAAACGCCCATGTTGCCTGTCCTCCTGCACTCGCAAGCACGCAGATGGCCGGCGAACGGTCAGGGGGGCCGTCGGCCGCGGCACGGCGCACAAGGCATTCAGACGCGCGTCGCAGCCGCGCCCGGACTGCCCGCGGCGCCCACGGCTCGTCGTGGGCGCGGCGGCAACCGGCGCTGCAGGCGGCTTCGCCCCCGCGCAGGCCTCGCGCACGCACCTCACCAAGCGCCGTCGCTGGCCGTTCGTAAAAGAGGGCGTGCCAGCGGGCGTCGCGGGGCAATGTCAGCGCCGCACGACGGCGTTCGACGGGCGGACTCCCCCCACACACAAACACCTCCTCCACGTCGACTGCGGCCGCACGGCGCGCATCCGGACGCGCCACACGCATGCCCACGCCCCCCCCATCCACCGCCCGCGCAGCACCCCCCCGAAGCCCACCTCGCAGCCCACTCCATGTTCCAGTACACACGTGCGCACTGCCCGCCGCGGCGCGCCGCCCGCCCGCTCCTGACCCCTCCCACATCTCGCCCCACGCACGCGTCGCACCAGCAAAGTCTTACAGACCCGTCCGGCGCGCGCCCCGCCCAGAAACATCGGTCGCGCCGCGCCGGCCCCACCAGCCAACGCGCCGGCCCACCGCGGGCCCCGGCGCGCCCCCGCTCACTGCCCGAACATCTTCCGCACGACGCGCACGACGTCCGCGGGCCGCGGCACGTACGCCTCCTCGAGGGGCGTGGCGTACGGCGTCGGGCAGTCGATGCTGGTGAGGCGCTCCGGCGGCGCGTCGAGGTAGTCGAACGCGTACTCGCACGCCATCGTGGAGATCTCCGCGCCGATGCCGCACTGCGGGTACCCCTCCTCCACCGTCACGACGCGCCCCGTCTTCTGGATCGACGCGGTGATGGTCTCGCCGTCGAGCGGGCGGATCGAGCGCAGGTTGATCACCTCCGCGGAGATCCCCTCCTTCGCGAGCTCGTCCGCGGCGTTGAGGATCGTCCGCATCGACTTGCCGAAGGACACCAGCGTCACGTCGCTGCCCTCCCGCACCACGTGCGCCTTCCCGATCGGCAGCACGAAGTCCTGCGCGAGGCGGGGAGGTACGCGACCGCGTCAGCTGCGTGCACGCGGGGCGGCGCGGGCGCGCACGCACGCACGCACGTGGCGCCTGCGCAAGCGCGCGTTCGCACCTTGTCCATGGCCGCGTCCGAGACTGGGAACTTCTCTCCGTACATGGTCTCGCTCTCGAGGACGACGACGGGGTCCGGGTCGCGCACGGCGGCCTTCAGGAGCCCGCGCGCGTCCTCGCAGTCGTACACCGCCACCACCTTGAGCCCCGGGATGGAGCTCAGCCACGCCGCGAAGCACTGGCTGTGCTGCGCGGCGACGCCCGGCGCGACGCCGTTCGGCCCGCGGAACACGATCGAGTTCGTCAGGTCCCCCGCCGACATGTAGTGGGCCTTGGCGCAGCTGTTGATGACCTGGTCGAGGGCCTGGAGCGAGAAGTTGAAGGTCATGAACTCGACGATCGGCTTCAGGCCGGCCTGGCTGGCGCCGACCGCGAGGCCCGTGAAGCCCATCTCCGTGATGGGCGTGTCGCGCACGCGCTTGGCCCCATACTTCTGCAGCAGCCCGCGGGTGACCTTGTACGCGCCCTGGTACTCCGCGACCTCCTCGCCCATGATGAACACCTTCTCGTCGCGCGCCATCTCCTCGTCCAGCGCGGAGTTCAGCGCGTCACGCACGGTGAGCTGCAGGGGGGTGCCGGGGCGACGAGCGGGGTGGGGGCGGGGTGGGACGCGGCGTGCGGGTGCGCGTAGGGGTGAGGGCCGGGGGTGGGGTGGGGGGCGGGCGTCGGATGTGGGGCTCGCGGCGCGCGTGAGGCGGGCGGGCGGGGCCTGCCAGCCGCCGTGCCGGTGTTGGGGCGGGCGCCGTGCCGCGCGCTGGGAGAGCGGCTTCCGCGCCGAAGGCGCAGGCGGCGGTATGATTGCAATCTGCACGGTGCGTGGCGGGCCGCGCGCGGCGCGAGGGCGCGCGCCGGGGCCGCAGCACAGTGTGCAAGTGCGGGCGCGGAGTGGGCTGGGGGTCTCGACGGCCGGCGCGGGCCGCTGCGACCCCTCGCGGCGCGCGGGCCGGGCCGCGCATGGCTGCGCAGGGCGGTGCGCAGCTGGGGACGGCGAGGAGCGTCCGTGCGGCGGGGGGTGGCGCGCGGTGCGGCTGGCGTGGAACGTCGACGGGAGCGCTCACCTCGGTGCCGTTCGCGAAGCATCGCGCCTGGTTCCACGCGTCGCTGACCGCTGCTGGGGGGAGCTGCACGGGCCGCAGGGGAAGGGGCGTGTATCCGGTCAGGGCGCGCGGCACCGGGCTGCCAGGGTGACCTAGGGAGTTGCTCGGCCGCGTGCAGCCCGCGAGGGGGTGGCAGGCGGCGCGGCGTGCACGCGACGCAGGAGCGAAACGAATTCGAGCACGCCGTCCCACCAAGACGCGTTCGCGAGGGCTCCACGCACCGTGCGCGAGCGCAGCTGCCTCACGGCTGCTCGGAGGAGCGACATCCTGTTCCCAAGCCAGCCTCGATCTTCCGGTGAACGCGAGGGGACGCTGGGGTGCGGGTGTGCCGCGCTAGCCCTGCCGCACCGCCTTGACCGCCGGAGCCGCGCGTCCGCTCTTCTACCTGCAGTGCTTGTCCCCCGCGGACCGTCACCTCGCGGGCGACTTTGGCAAACAGCGAGTCGCTCCGCATGCTACGCATCTGAAGATCCGGCCCAGGCCACCGAACTTGAGTCGGAGCGCGCGAACCTGGCAGACAGCACTGTGTTGCTGCGCCAACCTCCTGGCCCGCAACGCGCCGGCCATGCGCCGATGTGCCCGCGCGGTCGCGCGCCTCGCCGCCCAGGCCAGCGGCCCGGCAGCCGAGAGCTCGGAGCACGCCGGCCAGCGCGCTGCGACGGCGCTTCGCGGCCTGAGCTGCACGGCCTCCCGTCTGGGGCTGCCCTACGCGCTCCGCTGCGGTTTCGACGCGGCGTCTACCTCTGACGGTTCGATCAGGGACCTGGCACTTCGCGGGCCGGCGAGCGCGGCTGTCAGGGGCTTCGCGAGCGCCGCGGTGACCGAGCTCAGCGACGTTCCTTCCGTCGAGGCCCTCCTCCAGCAGTCCGAGAAGACGCCCGTGATTCTGCAGTTCCACGCGGACTGGTGCGGCCCCTGCAAGCAGCTCGGGCCGCTCCTCGAGGTGAGCCCCGCCTCTCCATCGTCCACGGCCCCCCTCTGACGCTGCTCCGCTTTGCGCTGCCCCCCTCTAGCATCGACCAGCTCCCACGCCGCCTCGCCGCGCCGCTGCTCGCAGGCCGCCGTCGACAAGACGGGCGGCAAGGTCCTGCTCGGCAAGATCGACGTGGACAACGAGCAGCTCGGGGGCGTGTGCCAGCAGCTCCAGGTGCGGCGCACCACCGCACCGCCCGGCGGCAGCGCCGCCCTCGCGCCGCCCGCACCACTCGTTCCTCACAGCCCCTTGGCTCCCCGCTCGCTCGTCGTTCCCGCAGATCACGTCGATTCCGGCGCTGTTCGCCTTTTACGACAAGAAGCTGGTGCACAAGCAGAACGGAGGCATGCCGGCGCCGCAGGTCGACGCGCTCGTGACGAACCTCGCGGACCTCCCGAACCGCCCCGAGGCTGCCGCGGGCGCCCCGGGCGCCGGCGCGGACTCCCCCCCTCCGGGCACGCCCCCCGCCAAGGACGACGTCGAGCGCGCGTACGCCACGATCGTCGAGGCCGCGGCGCCCGGCGGCGCAGGGATGGACGCGGTCGCCGCGGCCGTGCGCGCGCTCGCGGGCGTGCTCGCGGCGTCGGAGCCGGTGCAGCCGCTGCACGACCGCGCGCGCGCACTGGCCGGGCTCGCGCTGCTGCGGCTGCGCGCGGGGCCGCCGGAGAACGCCGCGGAGGAGGCGGCGCCGCTGCAGCAGCGGGCGCAGGAGTCGTTCGACGCGACCGCGGCGGACGTCGCGCAGGGGAAGGCCGAGCGCAAGCCGCCGCCGATCGAGCTGTCCATGGCCGCGGCGCACCTGCGCGTGCTCGAGCGGGCGGCGGGCGTGGACGACGCGCGGGGGTTCGACGAGCTCGACCGCGCGGTGCGGGACAAGGGCGCCGGCGCGTCGGCGGAGGAGCTGTTCGCCCTCATGTTGCGTAGCTTCCAGGTGCGACGCGAGGCGACGGAGTGCGACGGCGCCCGCGCTGCCGGCTGCCCATGCGTGCGTCATCACACCCACGCCCTACCGATGCGAGTTCGCTGCCTGTTCCGTGCGGGGGGGTGTTCGAATCGAACCTGCGGCGTGCGAGTCTGACTGCGCAGCTGGCTGGCTGGCTCGCTGCCTCGTGGCATGCGTGGTGAGTTACAGCGGCGGGGCGCGTGTCCGACCAGGGCGTGCGTCGCTCCGTGGCGCGCAGGTGGGGCAAATGGAGCGCAGTGTGCGCGCGGGGCTGGACCTGGTGAAGCTGGACCGGAGCTGGCGGGGCGGCGCAGGGAAGGACGTGCTGTGCGACGTGCTCGAGGCGCTGGGGCCGAAGTCGCGGATCGCGCTGGACGGGCGGCTGACCCTCTCCAACCTGTGGGCGTAGCCGGGCCGGTGGCGCGCGGGGGGCCGCGGGGCCCCGCCGCCAAGCCTTCTCCGCCGCAGACGCTCGATTGTCCTCTCTCGACGACCTGCGTTCCGGGCTGTTCATGACGTCACCCACGAGTAATACCTGCTGGATGGCGACAGCGTCCGCGACGTGCTTCTTCGTGCGTCGCCGAGGCGGCCCTGGCCGACGTTTGCGATGATCGCCGTGTCTTGGCAGGATGGTGCGGGTGAGGGGGCGTCGGTGAGTGTGGCAGATCTCGGGCGCGGATCACGGCAGCACTGCGTCGGCTGGCGAGGGAGCTCGCTGCTCGCGTGGCTCAGCGCGTCCGTGCAGACGAGGTCCTTCCCGCTACGGCGAACTGTTCTACCTGTCTGCGGGTACGAGCACGCACATTGTGTGTTGCATACGAGTGCCGGCATCTCGTCTCCGCGCGAGAGATCTCCGAGCACGACGCCGCTCTGGCTGCTCGCCACGCCCGCGCGTCGCGTCCTGACGCGGGCGGACCCGGTTCTTCGAGTACAAGCTGTGAGTACGACTGATGGGGGGGGGTTGCGGCAGGAGTGTCCCGCCTTCGTGTACGAAGGCGCGGTGCGTCGCGGGGGCGCGCACTTCTGTTGCACTTCGTGCGTGACATCACTTCCAAGTTGGTCTGGCCACGCACCGTAGCGGGGCTGACCGGGGCGCGGTCGAGAGCAGCACGTTTTCGTGCGAGCGGTCTCGCGACACGTGTAGCTCTGCGTGGGGTCGCGCGCCCTAGGATCGACGAGAGCACCTAGGCTCGTGCACACGCCGCGCGAGCGGTCCACGGCACCGCCCCGCGCGCGCAGCGTCGCGCGGGGCAGGTGTGCACCGCAGCGAGCAGCTGCCAGCGCCGCGGATCGGCTGCGTACCGCTTCCGGCAATACCCAGAACGATGATACTACGGTAGTGGACGTCGAGCAGCCGGCTCCGAGACGCACGCAGACGTCGCACAGATGGAAAATCAGGCGCTTAATGCAGCATGGGGCGGCCGCACCCGCCTCGCCTGCGCCGGCAGGTGGGCGAGCCCGCTCGCCGCACCCCCGCGACACCACACTCTACCTGGTACCGCGAGCTTCGCTCACCGCTCGCGTGGCACCGCGCCGTCCTCGCAGGCTGGTGCTGGGCCCCGACCGGCGCACGCTCGCCGCCGCCGTGTGCTTCATCGTCGTGCCGTACGCGGTCTTCCTGAGCCGGCAGGGCCCCGACCTCGGCGCGCGCCTGTCGTGGGCGCCGCAGGCGGTCGTCGCCGCGCTCGGCGCCGCCACCGTTCTGGTGCTCCTGCGCACCGCGACGTCAGACCCGGGCATCAAAATGCGCGTGCCGCACGGCATGGCGCCGAGCGAGATGCCCGTGGCGACCGTCAACGGGCGGGACGTGCAGCTGGTGTGGTGCCGCACGTGTCTGCGCGTGCGCGGCCCCCGCACGCACCACTGCGCGGTGTGCGACAACTGCGTGACGCGGTTCGACCACCACTGCCCCTGGGTCGGGACCTGCATCGGCGCGCGGAACTACCGGACGTTCTTCCTGCTCATTCACCTCGCGGCGCTGTCCGCGGGCGGAGTCGCGGCGCTGTGTGGCTTGCAGGTGCGCTGCCCTCTCTCGCTCGCCGTCGCGGCGTGCCCGAGCCGATTGCGTGCCTGCACGCATGTGGCCGTGCCGGCTGCAGAGCGCCGGCTTTCGCGTTTGCTGTGCGCGGAACGGCGCGACGGTGTCGTGTGCTGTGTGGCGGCGACGCTCCGGGGCGTCTGTGCGGGCCCCGCGTCGACTTCGACATCTCAGGCCCCGGCGGAGTTCGTTGCGTTCTTGCAGGTCTATCTCGTGCACGACGACGAGGGCTACAGCGTCGGGGGGGTGTTGAAGCGGTGGCCTGACAGCGTCATCATAGGGAGCTGGTGCGCGCTGCTGACCGCCGCGCTCGGATTCCTCTGCGGCTTCCACGTCTACCTCGTCTTCAAGAACATCACGACGTACGAGTTCTACAAGGGCACCGGCAAGGAGGACCTCTTCGGCCAGGGCTGCGTCAAGAACATTGCCGACGCGTGCTGCGTCCTGCCGCCGACGGAGCTGAAACGCGAGGCGCTGCAGGAGCTCGCGCAGGGCGGCATCCCCCGCGGCCTGCTCGAGGAGAACCTGAAGTACGCCGGCGGCCTTGACACGGCGACCAAAGCTGCCGAGGGCGCGTCCATGTATCAGGGAACGGGGCTGCCCTCCCCGCACTCGCCGCAGCTCGGCAACCGCGTAGCACCTCTGCCGCAGTACGTGGACGACCCCTACGCGCCGTGAGGGCGGCCACGCGGCGCGTCAGGCGCCCCGCAGAGCACAACACGCCGCGACTGTAATTAGCGGCGTTTTACACGAATCACGGCCGCGATCAAGGGCTCGCTGGCCTCAGGAAGGGGTCCTCGCGCAGAGCGGCGAGCGGCGGCTGCGCCAGCGCGGCGCGTGCGATGCGGCCGTCCTCGTGGATGCGCTCCTTGAGCGCGTCGAGGCCCGGGAAGTCGCACTCCGGCCGGATGTACGCAACGGTCACGAGCCGCAGCTCCTCGCCGTAAAAGTCCTCCGCGAACTCGTGCAAAATCCACGGCTCCGCGGTCCGCTGCTTGTTCTTGAACACCGGGTTCCACCCCACACTCATCGCAAACTCATACACCTCCGGACGGTCGCCTGCGCCGCACCGCGAGGGGAATGGCTTGGCGGCGAGCCGGCGCTGGGTGCTCCGGGTCACTAGGACCCGTCGCCGCCGGTGCAACGGGTAGCTGGCGCCGGGTGTGAGCGCAGGAACATCCGCTGGTTTCGCATGGCGTCGGAACGACGACAGGCTCGCAGGCGGCGCACGCGGTGCGGCGGCACGCACCGAGGGAGCAGAAGCCGATGTAGATGCCGGAGACGGCCTCCGCGAGCTGGTTCTCGAGGCTCTCGGGGCACAGATTCGCGGTGGGGATGCCCAGGAGCTTGCTTCCGCGGCCGAACCCGCGCACGACGGGGCCCTTGATGCGCCACGGGTGGTCCAGCGGCACGCACCCGCACACCTGGTCCGTGAACCTCGGGAGCCCGTACACCTCCGGGCGCATGTCGAGCAGCGACGGCAGCACCTCGCAGCACCCCGCGGGCGCCGCCAGGTCCGCGGCCGGGTACTGGTCGCGGTCCGTCAGCGACGGCACCGCGATCGAACGCATCCCCGCGGCCCGCGCCGCCTCGAGGCCGTTCGGGGAGTCCTCGATCACGAGGCACTCTGCGGGGTCTGCGCCCAGGCGGCGCGCGCACTCGAGGAAGATGTCCGGGTGCGGCTTGCCCTTGTCGACCTCGTCGCCGAACACCTTGGCGTCGAACAGGTCGAGGAGGTGGTCGCGGCCGGCGATCTTGTTGACAAAGGTGGTGGAGAGGCTGCTGGTGGCCAGGCCGAGGGGGACGTTGTGGCGAGAGAGGTGCTGCAGGAGCCGCTCGGCGCCGGGCATCATGCGCGCCTCGTGCCACTTGTCTGCGGGCGGGGGCGTCGAGCGGCGCGTGGGGGGGGATGTCAGGAGGGGGGGAACGATGGGGGAACGTCGCCGAAGACGGGCCGTGTCACGTTGCGGATCTGGGCCTGCAGGTCTAAAATGAGCTTGTTTGGCTTCCTGCAGCGCTGCGCGGCGACGTCCTGCTGGTGGAGAAGCTGCGGGACGTTGCCGCGCACGCAAGCAGGAAGCCGAACAAGCTCATCGCGGACCTACAGACGCAGATCCGGAATTTGACATGGCTCGACCTCGGCGGAGAGTCGCTGGGGGAGGAGTCGCCTCAGCGCCTCGTCGCGGTGCTGCGGAGGCGTGTGTTGGTATGTGTGTTTGAGTGCGCCGTGGGGACGCGGGGCTCACTCTTGAGAAGAGCCTCGCTCTCGGTGAAGAGCTGCTCGCCGGTCGCTTCGATGCCCAGGCTGTCCGCGACGGTCTGCCAGGCCTCCACGGGCCGCATGCCCAGGGCCTTGCTGCTCACCGAGCGCCTGAGGGGCCTCCCGTGGCCCTCGCAGACCTCCTTCGCGACGCCCATGATCAGCCCCTCCGTGTCCAGCACGAGGCCATCGAAGTCGAACACGACGTGCTTCACGGGCCGCACGCCGGGGCTCGGCTCCTGTGCGGATGGTGCGGGGGCAGCGGCGGGCGCCCCCATGGCGTGCTGGCGGCCGCCCGGGCGAAGGATGCCTGAGGCGAGCGGAGGAGGGCGGAAGCCTTGCGTGCACGCGACTGGAAACGCGGCGCGAAGGACCACAGAGGAGTGGCAGCGAGCTGCTGGAATGCAGGTCGTGAAATGGGCTTGACTTCTGACGAGATGAAGGAATACGTAGTGCTACTACGAGCGTTCGCCCACAACGGAAGAAACGAGCCCCAGCCACCCCCCCAGGGCACGCGCGCCTGCCTCAGGGGCAGAGTACTCCCGGCGGCTCCGCAAGGCGGCGTTTCGTGGTCTTTGGGGGATCTGAGCTCGCGCACAAGGTCATTTCTGACCTCACAGCGATTGTATCAAGTGCATTCCCAATCCCCCTAGCGTGTTTCGCCGCGGGGTGTACCTCAGCTCCCCTCCATCGCCCTGGTCCTCTCGATGATCCGAAACCGGGCAGCGCGCCTTCTGCGCGAATCACTCGCGCTCTGCGCGCGGAGCGACGCGCGTCTCCTGTCCCGTCAGGCCGTCGCGAGCGCGCAGGGCCCCCCCTCGGGGCCTCCAGACGCCCTCGCGGGCTTCCACGCGGGCCGCCTGGCTCCCTCCGCGCCCGTTCGCCACCTCTCGTCGACCGCCACGCCGCCAGAGACAGACGCGGACACCCCGGCTCTCCCGAAGAACATCCTGCCCGAGGTTTCGCGGCTGATCCTTTCTGCACGCCACCGCCTTCGCAAGAGCACCGCGGGCCCGACGGCCGTCGCGCCGAACAAGTCCAACCTCAACCTCATCCGCGTCCACGAACTCAAGACCGTCCTGGAGACCGCGGGCATGGACCCTACGCTGTGGAAGAAGCCCGAGATGGTCAACAGGTGCCGCTTCCGCCGCTCGCCGACGCAGACCGCACGCACGGCATCCCGCGCGCCACGCAGGCGCCCACACCGCCCTCCCGCTCCCCCGCGTCGCAGGTTGTACGCGCACGTGGAGTTCCTGAAGCGTCAACTCACAATTGCGCAGGCCGACGCAGCCGCCGCGCAGCCTGCCGGCCCCGCGCCGGGCAGCCTGCCGCCGGGGGTGGTCACGAAGAAGCTCTCTGAGTTCGAGGCGATGCGGCGCGCCGCGGCCGCGTCCTCCGAGCCAGCGACGCCCGCGGCGGTGCTGGGCGTCGCGGAGAAGCACCTGTGCGACATGCGGTGCCGCGACGTGTGCGTGATCGACCTGACGCGGCGCGAGGGGTTCGCGCCGGCGGACGCGGTGGTCCTCGCGACCGTGGACTCCCCCGAGCAGGTGTGGGCGTCGGCGGGGGGACTGATGTACCAGCTCAGGGTGACGTTCCCGGGGGAGTCCTGGGCGCACACGCACATGTACGGGAGCGAGGGGAGCGACTGGGTGTGCATCGACCTCGGGCGCACCATGGTCAACGTCCTGACGCAGGAGGGGAGGGAGTATTACGACATTGAGGGGCAGTGGGCCGACGCGGACGGCGGCAACGTGCGGCGCGTCGCGGGCGCACCGCCGCCCAGCGCGCCGCAGCAGAGCATCGCGGACCTCGCGGACTGACCCGCTGCAGCCTGTGATTCACACACAAGGAATTCACCCGACGCGCCTGCGTGTCGTCACCATGTTCATCAGATTGCGGCACACCCCACCACGCCCCCTGTCGCCCTCCAGCGCCGCCTCGTCGCCACCCCGCCGTCGCTGTCGCCGAAGTCAGACTCGGACCACGTAGGGTCAGAAACATCACTGCGCGTCCCGTGGCCGTTCCGCGCCGCCCCCCCGCCGCTGTCCCCCGAGTCGCTACCGGAGTCGGCGCCCGCCGTCGTCCTCCAGGTCCTGTGCCGCACGGCGCTTGCGCCCCGGGGGCAGGCGCCGTGTCCAGGAGCGCCCGCGCCCCCTTGATGGGGTTGCCAGACCGACTGCGGGCTCCGACAGTCTCCGCGGCCTTCGTCAGGTCCATGGCGTTGCGCACCGCCTTGCGATGCTCCTCCGTCGGCTTCTCGAAGTGCAGTGCGACCATCGCCTGCAGGTGGTCGCAGTACTTGTCCCTGTCGGCCGGGGAGCCGTACCAAGAGGTGCCGACAGGGACAAGTACTGCAACCACCTGCAGGCGATGGTCGCGCTGCGCTTCGAGAAGCTGACGCAGAAGCAGAGCAAGGCGGTGCAACGCCATGGACGTGACGCAGGGTGAGAGCCCCGTGATCGGGCCGTCCGATGCGGTTCTAACGCCATAAGTCGCCGTGAATATTCTCAGAAATGACGTCGAGGGTCAAGCAGGGCGTCCATAGCCGCTCATCTGCGCGGAATACGAACCGATCGAGGTTGCAGCAACGAACAGTCGGAAGCGCACCTTGGTCCGAGGAAGGTTCTCGAGAGGCTGTCGTGGCTTGAGACGCCAAGCTTCGACCCAGGTCTTCAGAACTGGCGTTGCAGCGCACTTCGCGTCGGGAGAAGGAGGGCGGAATTGCGGATAAGAGGCAGTTGAGGTGTGACCTCCCAAACGGGGCACACCGCTCTTACGAGTGAGGCACAGAGAGGCGTAGACGTGTGGAGACTGACGTGGCGGCGCGCCCTCGCCGCTCCTCAAGCCGTACTGCCGCCCATCCTATCCCTGAGTCGGCCAAACAGGGGCCTGATGTCAGCGCTACCCCCGGGGTCGCGGGACGAGGCAAGCGAAGCAGATCCTACGCCCGCGTCGTCCACGGTCCCTGCGCGCTGGACCACCAAGCCCCTTGTCATGCCTGTCATGTGGTGGTCCCGGGCTGGCGCCCCCTGATCCGCTCCAGGGGCCCCTACGAAGCGCAGTGCCAGTTCGCGACCACCCCTGCCTCCGGCGACCAGCGCCGGCTCTCTCGGCGAGGATGAGGGTGCCTCGCCCGGGGTTTTCGTGACCGGCGGTAGCGCAGCGACCGTCGGCACACTTCACGGGCTGTTGGGACGGCGGGGGGGGGCTTCGGCCGCTCCCGCCTCCGCCGGCCGAACGGGGCAACCCGGTCTTTATAGTTCTTCGCTGACCTTTGTGACTCTGACTCTGACTCTGACAAGTAATTGACCACCTGCGCAAGAAACGAAATGTCAGCGCCACATAAAGTATTGATTGACCACCCGCGCACGAAACGAAAAGCGGGTGTGCTATGTGTTTGCGCGTACAGCACGGCCGCACGCGTCACAGCACGGGGTCGTTGACGCCCGCCAGGATGTCGTCGCACTTGGCCTTCTGCGTCGCGGACAGCAGCGCGCGCCGCAGCACGTCGTCGCTCGCCGCCGCCTCCTCCTGCGCCGCGGGGCTGTTGCTCAGCGCCCCCGCGAACGACAACGCGAACGGGCCCTTCTTGCTCTTCCCTTTCCCGTCCGACCCAACAACCACCTTGGCGTATCCAAGACTGACATGGACCTCCCCCCGGCCGCCCTCGGGGCACACCAGCTCCGGGATCCGCGCGACGTCGCTGGCGTGCAGCACGCCCGTGTCCACGAAGCCCCCCGGGGACAGGGAGTACTCGACGCCCTCGCGCTTGCGCCACAAGGCGCTGTTCGTCGACAGCCCGGAGCCCCACGCGGCCCCGCCTGGCTGCACGGCGCGCGCGAGGAGGTAGACGAGGCCGTGGATGCTGGCGTCGAGCGGCGCGCACACCGTCGCGGGCGGCAGGCGCACGCGGATGACGCGCCGGGACGGGCCCAGCGCGACGTGCCACGCGAGCCCCGCGCGGTTCAGCGCAAGGTCGCTAGCGGCCTTCGCGTCCTGTACCGTCGTCCACAGCCGCATGCCCGCGCTGAAGATCAGCGGTGGCGCGCCGACCTCCACGGATGTCATGAGGGCGTCCGAACACGACCCCTGCGGGTAGCCAGAAGGCGCACGCACTGGTGAGATCGGGCCGCACGTGGCGCGGGGGGGCGTCGGCGGCGGTGTGGAGGACGGGTGGGCGCACACACCGCCGCGACGTCGCACGTGTAGAACTCGCTGGCGTCGTCCGGGACCGCGAAGAAGACGTCCGTGAAGCCGTATGACTTGCCGGGCACAGGGGTGCCGGAGAACAGCGGCCCCGTGTCCGCAAGCACGCGCCGCCGCGTAGTGGTGTTGCCAACGCTCGCGTTGCCGACGTTGAAGTAGTTGTCGATTGGCGGCGCTGGGCGCGGCCGCAGGAGCGTGCATCGGCCGTCCGTCGTCGCGGGCGGGTCGCACGACAGCGTGAGCTCCTCGCTCTCGCCCTCCGCGTCCCGCTGGAACGCGAACGACACCGTTGCGCCGCCGACGCTCTCGTCGCCGCTCTCGAACGCCTGCTCCGCGGCGCACACCCCGTCCAGCGCCGCGGCCGGCACGACCACCGGCCCGAGCACGTCCCCGCCGGCGATCGTCGCGTCGTGCCCCGCGGCCACGGACGCGCACGCGCCCTGCACGAACGCCGCGCGCCCGTACTCAGCCACGGGCTCGAGGGTCGGCAGGACGGGCGAACCGGCCTGCATGCGGCGCGCGCGGGCGCGGGCCCGGCGACCCTGCGTGGACGCAGCTTCGGCCGGCACGTTGACGGCGCCCGCGCCGCCGTTGACGACCGCGCCGGCGCTGCCGCCTCCCGCTGAGCGCATCGTGCCGTCGCTGCTGGCCTTGACCTGCTTCGCGAGCTCCACCGCCGCGATCGAGACGCCGAAGGTCGCGAGGAGGAGGACGATGAGCGCCCCGAGGAGCAGCCCGATCGCCAGCGTCAGTCTCTGCGCGCGTGGCAACACGAAGAAGGAACAGCACATGGAGAGGGGTTTCTGTGGCGAAAGAGCGTGAGGCGCGCTGCTCCGCGGGCCGGTGCGGGTCGTTCGTCGCCGGGCCCGGGCTCACCTTGCGTATGCGGCGCTCGAAGGCGAGCTGGTCCGCGGCTGCGCGGAGCTCCTCGAGCGAAATGGTGCCAGAGCCGTCGAGGTCGAGCATGGCGAGGAGCTCGGCGGATCGCGCGTCGAGGTCCTCGATGCGCAGGGACTGGACGTGGTCCAGCTTCTTTTGCCCGATGAAGGTCGTGAGCCTGCCCAGAAATGTTGGTTTCCGTTGGAGGGTGACAGATGGCCCCAGCGCGCTATCTGGCCCTGCGGAAGCGGGGACACGCCGCGCAGGAAGATGTCCATGGGAGCACCTGCCAGTGGGCGTGGCTGTGGATGCCGGAGAGGACGTGGTGCGGCGCCGCGCTGCCCCCCACTCGCGGGACGTAGTGCGGCCGCCGGGTGGTACGGCGGGGCGGTCAAAGGCGCCCCCCGCGCGCGAGCGTGGTGCGTTGGCGGGGAGTGGTACCTTCGCGCGGGCTGAAGCGGTGGCTGCTCATCCTGGCGCCCCTCCCGCCCCGCAACCGCTCCTCCTAGCACCTCGCCTGCGCTCGCACTCCGGCAAGCTTGATTCGCGCGCTAGCGCAGCAAAAACAGTCGCGCTTGAGCCAAACAATACGCTGACAACCGCCCCGCGCAATGCGGCCCTGCACTGAGGCGTCCCGCCAACCGAGACAGTAGCGCCAACCGTGGCTGCAGCTTATGAGTGACGCAACGCGGCGTGACGCAGCGGGGAAGTGGTCTGCATGGCGGCCGCGTGCGCGTCACGTCCCTGCGCCGCACGCCAGCGCCGTCGGACGGCGTCCGCCTGTCAGGCGGCGATTATGGCCCGGCCGGACTCCCAGGGCGCCTCACGTGTCGCGCCGCGGGGCGCTTTGGGGCGACGGCACCGTGCGGCACTGGCACTCGTGCGTCGCACGCACAGTGGAGGTCGACGTCGACTCATCTTGCGTGGTTCTGGGCCCCCTCGCGCCGCGATATCGACCCTCCCTACTACCGGTGGCAGTTGGCCGCCCCCTGCACGCGCAGCGGCCCTAGAGCAGCTCTCCTGCCCAGTTTGTGCACTCGATCCGAGCCGCCGTCGACTGGCGAGCAGCCTAGACTCAGCGTGCCGCCGCGCGCAGTGCAGGCCGCCTGAGGCGACCTCTGCACGCCACTGGCGGCAGGGCGCTCGCACGCCCGAACCGCTCTGACGCGGCCACTGAGGTACGAAACCCGCCCGACATTCGAACGAGCCACCCGTCGACTGCACTGACACGGTTTGGGTCGCTCAAGCATCCTCGCGGTGAGGGTGCCTGTAGGTCAGCAAGGACAAACGGGGATTTCCGCCCGTGCCTCGCGAGACGCGCCATGCTGCAAGTCTTGCTTCACACGCGCGCGCCACCTCCCCGAACGCAGCTGCGGACCTCGAAACCGGTCGTGCAGGCGTCACGCAGACGCCAAGCCAGCCTGGACCCACCTAAGCGGACATCGACATGGCGGGCAACGGGGCAGGCACGCACCACAACACAGTCGCACCTCGCTGCGATGCGCCGCGTCATGCGTGCGCCCTCCCACGTGCCCACCGGCGCTCATCCCCCCGATCCTCCCCGCCGCAGGCATCCGCTGGGCCGACGACGACGACAAGCGCGTCACGTCGGACCACACAGCGCACACCGAGGCCGCGCTCCTCCACGCGGACTCGGGCATGCCGCCCGTCGCGGGGCCGCTGCCGTCGGTGGGGCCAACGAACGGCCATGACGATCCCGTGAAGCAGCCGCGGCAGATCCACAGCATCGCGTACCGCACCGGGACGCTGGACAGGTGCGAGAGAGCGGCGAGGTGTTCTGGGTCGCACAGATCGAGTCCGATCTCTGCCTCGAAAGCTCGCATGCGCCCGCGTTTGTGTCCGCAGGCAGCTGGTGGCGGTGCTGGAGGCGCTGGACCTGGACGGGAGCGGCACGATCGGCATTGCGGAGATCAAGGCCGCCGCCGATCGCCTCTCGTTTGAGCGCGGCGTACGCAAGGGCCTGACGATCGGGGCGGTCGTGCTGGTCGCCGCGCTGCTGCTCTTGGTCGGCGTGACGTTCGGCGTGACGCTCGCCGCGGCGCAGCTCAGCCGGGAGCTGGAGACGGACGGCGACGTCCTGGTGTCGCACAGCGGCGGCGTCGTGTCCACGGGCGCCGGGGCCGTGGCCGTGACCCCGCGCGCGACCACCGACGCCGCGTTCGCTGCGTCGGCGCTGGTGCCCGACGGCACGTTCGCGGTGGCCGCGTTCGTGAAAGGCGACTTCGTGGCACGCGCCTGCGCCATCCGTGCCGCGGGCCACACCGCACTGACCATCACTGTCGGCGAGGGGGCGGGCTTTTTCCGGTATCCCACATCAACGCTGCGCGACGTGTGTGTGGCGCGCGCGGCGAACGAGACCGACGTCAGCCTCTTCGCGGCGCCGTCGCAGTCCGACCTCGGCCTGAGCTGCCAGCCCGACGGCACGCAGGACGCCTCCTGCGCCGTGCTCGCGCGCCGCCCGGCCGCCGCCGCGGGTCGCCGCCGACGCCTCACCGCGGACTTCGAGTCCCTGGCTGCGCGCGCGCGCACCGTGGCCTCCGGGACCGTCGAGCGCACGTTCTACCTTGCGTTGCCCACGGACAAGAGGGAGTTTTACGACTGCGAGGACTGGGTGCCTCAGAACACACACCAGGTCGACGACGACGACGGTTCGGGCTCCGACTCCGACTCCGACGACGAAGACGACGTCACGGAGCTGCAGTGCGCGCGCAGCGCCTTCCTCGAGATACAGGGCGGGGACTACCCCTACGTTTTCGCGGACACCATGCTCGAGAACGCGCTGTCGCCAGGATGCTCCGAGGAGGACAAAAAGGGCTGCCGGGGCGACGCGGCGAGTCTCACGGGGCACGAGGTCGCCGCGAGCGCGCCGGCGACGCACGCCGAGTACCTGCTCCGCGCGAATCGTGCCCTCAACGCGCGGCCGGTCCTCCGCGTGACGTTTCCGGCCGCCGACGCCGTCGCGGAGCCGTCGCGGTACACGAACGCGTGCAACGACCTCCCCGCGATGTTCAGCGGCCTCCTGATCGTGGCGCAGCGGCCGTCCAAGGGCTCCCGGCCCGCGCCGGTCTTCGACAGCGGCGCGCTGTCCAAGCGGCCATCGCGGCTCCGCACGTACGAGATGAGCGCGTACGCGTGGGCGGAGCAGGACAAGGAGCTGCGGCGGCCCGCGTTCGTGCACGCGGGCATCCGCGATGGGTGCCACTCGTTCGACATTGGCGACGCGACGCGCGTGCAGGCGACGTACGCCTACTTCGACCTCGTCGGCGAGGGGGGGCTGTCGGCGACGGACCACTTCACGCTGGTGTTTCGGGGCGGCGCCGATGCCGGCACGGCGTGGGACAACATGGTGGCGATCGAGCAGCGGCTGCTCGGGCTGCAGGAGCGCAGGCAGAAGGAGCAGGAGTGCGCGGACAAGCAAAAGGACTGACGGCATCACGGCGGGGTGTCTGAGGTCACAATATTGTGATGGTGTACCCGCATTTCGTTTCGTGCGCGGGTGGTCAATTAACACAGCGTCCTCGCGGTGAGGGTGCTTGTAGGTCAGCGAAGAACTGTCCTTGTAGGTCAGCGAAGAACTAACACTTTGTGTGTTGTGCTAGTGGCGTCAGGCGGCGGTGCGTCAGTACAGGGGCACGCCGCCGCGGCCGCCGATCTTGACGAAGACGGGCGCGCTCGGGTCGACGCCGGAGGGCGGCCGCCGCCTCTGTAGCGGCAGTTGGAAGTTCTTCAACTGCTTGAGGTCGCTCGCGCGCAGGTTGGTGCGGTTCGACTTGAACCCGCGCTTCACCGCCTGCGAGGGAGGGGGCCGGTGCCGGGGGGCGGGGCGTGGTGGGGCGTGGTGGGGCGGGCCGGCGAGAGCGGTGGTGCGAAGGAAGAAGAGGGGGCTGGGGTGACGGGGCGCGCGGTTTGGGGCGGCGGCGCTGGGCTGGGGCGCCGACCTCCTTGACGATGCCCTTGTGCATGAGGGGCCGGAGGCCGCGCAGGCGGCGCGCGCGGTCGGTGGTGTGTTTGCGACGGTACTTGTTCCTGCCCATGGCCCAGTGCATCAACAGACGCTCCTTCTTGATCTTGCCGTTGAGCAGCTTGTACTTCTTCTCCACGAGGATGAACCTGCGCGCCAGCGGTGGCCGTCGCCCGAGATCGGGCCCGCACGAGCGCAAGGGTGGCCGTGTGCAGCCCGCCGCGGTCCGAGGCGACGATTGCGCGGCGCCGTGTGTCTCGTACCGGCCCTTGAGAACGGTCGGCGTCTTCTGCTTGACCTTGCTGGGCTTGGGGTGCTTGTGCTCCGTCCGGCGGACCTTGGCTTGCTTGAGACCTCGCGTCTGCACCCCGTGCCCGCTGCAGGAGACAGACTGCGCGCGCAGCGCGCCCGGGGCCGGCGATCGCGTGAATATCGCCCGGTGCATCGGCGCGCGCCCCAACGCCGCGAACCCGTGCGCCAGCCCCGCGCCCCAGCTCGCCACCCCCGCACCAGGCGCAGCAGGGGCGACGCCGCTCGCAGCCCGCGCAGCCCCAGAGGCGCACAGCGCCGGCACCGAGCCGCAGCCCTCAAACCACGACGCAAGCGCGGCGCCCCCGCCCACCGCCCGCGAGGCACGCCCCCCGAGCGCCCACAACCTGCTCATCGCACCCTTTCCAGGCCCCGCGCAACCTAACGCAGTGCTCTGAGCTGCCCTGCGACCCGAACTGGACGACGTCTGCTCCGCGTGCTGTCATTCGACGCGGCAATGGCAGCCGTGGCGACGAGGGGGCGCCGGTCACGCCCCCCCCTGATGCGTGGTGGGGTACTGGGCGCGCGAAGCGGCCTCGGGGCTTGGGCCGCCCAGGGCGCGCGGCAGGCGTGGGTCGGGTCACATCTCGCGCGACGTGCGAGCAGGGGGAGGAGGCACGGGCGCCCAGTGCGGCCGGAAATTCGAACCGCGTGCGAACGCCCACCTGAGGCCCGCGACAGGCGGCCGTCTGGCGGGCTCACGGCGATGTCGCCCCCGTCCGACTCGTGGCAGGACCGCTTGGCGGCGATCCTGGACTCGAGCCGTCGACATCTCGGCGCGGCGCCCACGCCGCAGACCAACGGCTTGGGCGCCTCGCCCGGGGCAGGGAACGGCCTCCCGCCGTCATGGGAGTCCCCCCCGCCGGCGCATTCCGCGGCCCCGGCGACGAAGGCGCTGCAGATCGTTCCGTCCGTGCGCGACAGCCTGTCCCGCGAAGACACGAGGCGGCACAAGCAGGAGCTCACGGACCTCCTCCACGCCGTCCAGGGCACGCTCTCGGAGCTGCGCGTCGAGTCAGAGGTACCCGCACGCCCGTGCACCGCGCCGTCTCACTCGCCCGCCACCCCGATCCTCCCCTCGACCTCGCACGGGCCGCAGACGCTCTCTCTCACGCACAGCGCCACCACAAACGTCGCCGCCGCGCGCGCACCACGCCCCGTCGCACCCGTCCCGCGCCCCCGCTCGACTCCGTGGACTGGCACCGACGTCGCAGGCCCGTTTTCCGCGCCCCCGCAGGCCGCCCGCGCGATCGCCCGGGACGCTGCCAACGCCATGCGCGGGTCCACCCGCGAGGTGCTCCGCGAACAGTCCGGGATGGCCGAGGTCGAGACGCGGCTCGCGCAGCTCGAAAGCAGCGCCGCGCAGGGCGACCAGCGCCTCGCCCGCGCGCTCGCCACCGTGCAGGAGGCCGCGTCGCGTCTGCAGGTGCTCGAAGCGTCACTGGGGGACGTGGACGGCAGCCTCGCGCAGGTGGAGGCCGCGGTCGGGGCGCGCGCGGGGGCCGCGGAGCGCCGCGCGGGCGAGGCGGCGAAGGCCGCGCAGGCCGCGTCTTCGGAGATCGAGGCCCTGCGCGCGGGGCTGCGCGACGCCAGCGACGGCACGCAGGTGCGAGGGGCGCCGCACGGCGCGCGCAGGGCGCGTCGCGGGTCGCGGGCGCAACGGGTTTGCCGTGCTTGTGTTCTTGCGTGTCGGTGACGTGTGTGTTTGTGTCTCTGGCTGCTTGCAGCGCGCGCTGCGGGAGGCAGGGGCGCAGGTGCGCGCGATCGAGTCCCGCGCGGTGGCCCTGGAGCGCCTGACGCAGGGCATGGACGCGCGCACGTCGGAGCACGCGACGCAGCTCGCGGCGGCGGCCCGCGCCGTCACGGAGCTGCGCGCGTGGCAGTCCGAGGTCACGCACACCCTCACGACGGTGCGCGCGCTCGAGGCGCGCCTCGAGAGCCTCGACGGGCGCATCACGGATCCCGCGACGCTGGCGCGGCAGGTGGCGGACGTGGAGGCGACGGTGCTGCGGCGCGCGGACGAGCGGCTGGCGTCGCGCGCGGCGGAGCTGGAGAGCGCGCTGCGGCGGGTGGCGGAGGCGCAGGAGCGCGAGGCCGGGAGCGCGGCGGCGGCAGTGGGGGCGCTGCGGCCGCGGGTGGACGCGGCGGTCGCGGAGGCCGGCCGCGCGGTCGCGGCGGCCGAGGCGGTGGAGCGGGAGCTCGCGTCGCGGCTCCCGAGCGGCGGCGCGCCGGCGGCGTCGCGCGAGGAGGTGCGGGAGCTGGCGGCGAAGGTGCGCGAGGCGTGGGGGCTCAAGGAGGAGCTGCGGGGGCTGAAGCGGGAGGTCGACGCGGTCGTGGCGGCCAAGGTGCGCGGGGTTGCGTGCTGCGCGGCGGGCCGACTGCTGCCTGGGTGCTCGGCGCCAGGCGTGCGTGACGGTTGGGTCCTGATGTAGTGGTTTGGCTTCGTTGGTCGTGCAGGAGGACACGTCGTCGGTGGAGAATGCGCTGAAGGGCGCCGCAGAGCTGCGCACGCGGCTGGCGTCCGTGGAGGCGCGGCTGGAGACGGCGTCGTCGATGGTGGCCGAGTCGGGCGCGGCGGCGACCAAGCTGCCCGGGCTCGAGGCGCAGCAGAAGGCGCTGGTGCGGGAGGTCGCGGAGCTGCAGGAGCGCATGACGGCGCTGTCGAGCAGGCAGGACAAGGCGGCGGCGGCGGCGGCGGCGGCGGCGGCGAACGCGCCGGTGGCCAGCGTCCCCGACAAGAAGGCAGTGGCGCAGCAGATCAGCGCGGCGCTCACGGAGGCGATGCACGGCGAGATGCGGGAGAGGAAGGCCCTCGAGGTGCGCAGCTGCGGCCGCGCCTCCCGTCCCTGCGCAGCGCACCGCGGGCACTGTGGTGCCGACAGCGCCCCCGTCCCGCTCCCGCGTCGCAGGCGAGGCTCGCGGAGAACGCGAGCGCGGTGGAGAAGGCGCGGTCCGCGGCGGAGGCCCGCGCGGCGGAGTTCGACCGCATCGTCGACACCATCCACGAGAACATGGAGACCATGTATCAGAACATGACGTACCTCGAGGAACAAATAGAGGCGGCGCGGACCTCCGGGGCGGCGTCCGCCAAGGGCGCGAAGAAGCCCGCGGGCGGCGACCCCGGCGACCTCGCGGACGCCCGGCAGCAGATCCGGCGACTGCGGGGCGCGGTGGACGGTCTGCAGGGGCAGGCCGCGGTGTCGGACGCGAACATCAGCGCGTTCAAGGCCGCGCTGGAGAGCGTCGAGGCGCGCGCGGGGAGCATCGAGGAGTCGCACGTCGCGCTGCAGCGGGAGCTGGCCGCGCTGAAGATCGCGGGGGGGTCCGGGGGGGGGTTGGCGGGCGGGGACCCGCAGGCGACGCGCGAGGTGCTGGAGCCGCTGCTGCGCGCCGTGCAGGACGAGTCGTTCGCGGCGATCGAGACGCTCAAGCAGGGCCAGGCGAACCTGACGGCGCACGGCGCGCGGCGCGACCAGGACCTGCGCGCCCTGCGCGCCACCGTGGCGCGCCTCGAGGCCGGCCGCGAGGACATAGTGCGCATCGAGCAGCTGCAGCAGCGGCTCGAGAGCGTGCAGGCGCAGATCGACGGCCTGCGCGGGAGCCGCGGCGCCGACGCGGGGGCGTCTGCTCACGCGCGGGGGGGGGCTGTTCCGGGCAGCGCGACTGCGGCGGAGGTCGAGGCGCTGCGCTCGGAGAACCGCGCGCTGCGTGCGGCCGTGAACGGCCTCCTGCGGGACGCAGGGAAGCCGCCGCTCGCCGCGCCGCCGCCCGCCGAGCGCACCCCCGTGGCCTCGCCCTCGCTGCGCGGGCTGCAGCCGCTGGGGTCCGCGGGCGGCGCACCGGCGGCGGTGCCGCTTCAGTCCGTGGAGTCCCCGGGCGACGTGACGGCGCTGGCGGACCCGGCGGGCGCGGCGCAGGACCCGTTCAGTCCACCGAGCAGTTCTGGCGGGGCGAAGTCGACGAAATCGACGCTTCGCAAGGCGATGGCGGCGGCCGCGGCGACGACGACGGCGACGTACGAGGGCGAGGGCGGCAAGCCGTCCGCGGCGCTGTCGCCGCGCGGGGCCGTGCCGCGCACGCCGTGGCGCGCAGCGGGCGCGGTGACGTCCCCGGGGGCGAGCCGCGCCGAGCAGGCGTCCCGGAAGAGCCTCGGAGACTCCCTGGACGACCTCATCATGTCGACGGGGTCCGAGCACCTCGACCCCCCCGGGTCCGCGCAGCGCACCACGTCGGGCGTGCAGATGGCATTCGGGTTCGAGGACGAGGGGGAGCCGGCAGCGGAGGCTGCGGCGGAGCGCAGCACCGGCTCCCGCGACGAGCCGCTGTCGCCGTACCTGAGCTCGATCCCCGTCGGCCCCGCGGGGGCGGCGGAGGACAACCCGGCCGCCGCGGGCGCCGGTGCGCCGCCGCTGCCGGCGTCGTCGATGCCGCGCGGGGTCGACGTGAGCGGCGTCAACGACAGCTCGCTCATGCTCGACGTCGGCCCGCGCGGCGCGGGCGGCGACGCCGAGGAGGTCCCCCAGATGCAGCGGGGGCGCGCCAACGGCGCGGACGCGGGCAGCGGCGACGAGGACGCGAGCGCGCGGGGCGCGGGCGCGGCGGCGCAGCGCGGCGCGTTCGGGAGCCCGATGAAGCCGCAGTCCGCGGCGGCGTCCGGGAGCGGCAGTTTGAGCAGCGACGGCGTTCTGGAGATCGACGAGATCGGGGACGCGGAGGAGGAGGCGGCGCCGGTGGAGGCGGACAGCGGGATCGGCGCGGGGCTGATGCACAACCCGATGTTCGACGGCGGCGCGGGGGGCGCGCCGGCGATGGCGACGGCGCGGTCGCTGGAGCTGAGCTCTCTGAGCGGGATGAGCTACGGCGGGGCGTCGCCGGGTGGGAAGACCGCGGGCGAGGACTCGACGCCGACGTCGGCGCAGAAGAAGCCCGCGGCGTCGCCTCCGCGGCGGCCGCCGATCGGGCGGTTCGACATGTTCGCGGATGACGCAGGGGGGAGTTGGTGGAGGAGGACATCCCGGTGCTGCCGCTCGAGGACGAGGCGACCCCGCGGGCGGCGGGGCGGGCGCAGGGGCGCGGCGCGATCGGGAGCTTGATGGTGCGTCGAGTGCGGCGGCCGCGAGCGTTCATGTCTGCGTTGCTGTGTTGCGTGCGCGTTCTGCGTGGAACATGTGCGTGCGGGGACTGATTCGCGTCGTGCCTGCGTGTGCGTGTGCGCGTGCAGGGCGGGGGGGTGGATGAGGGGGCGTCGAGCGACGAGGACAGCGCGCCGTCGCAGGGGGCGTTCGGGCAGTCGGACTCCGAGGACGACCCCGCGGAGCTCAGCGCGAACATGGAGGAGGTGCGCGCGCGTCTGGCGGACAAGGGCCTGGACGAGTTCGAGAGGGGGGTTTTGCAGGACACCCTGCAGGACCTGAACCGGCGGTCGTCGCGGCAGTCCCGGCGCGCGCCGAGCGAAAGCACGGGCCCGGCGAACAGCGAGAGGAAGTGCGCCGCCCGACCCGCGCCCCCGCGCATGACCATACCATCGCTATGAGCCCATCCTGTGGAGCATTTCTGCTACTACAGCTCAGATCAGATGTGCTTCGCCGACCTCCCGTCAATCGGAGGTCGATCGTCCCGCCGTGCGCAGGGAGGTGAGGCCGATCGATCTCTTCGGCGCCAGCGACCCCATCGACGACTCGGACTCCGACGCGAGCCTCGAGGCCGCGTTCCGCATGCAGCCCGGCCAGCCCACACCCCCCACCTCAGCCCCCCCACACAACACCGACACCGACGCGCCCGGCGACGCCGGCAGCGACGCCCTGGTCGGCTACGCCGACGACAACGACGGGTGGTCGTCGTCGGTGGACGCGCAGGAGCTCGAGGAGGAGCTGGCAGACCTGGACGCGCAGCTGGGGCGCGGGGACCTGGACGAGTTCCAACTGTCGATGTTGCAGGAGGCGCGGCAGGACGTGCAGAACAAGCTGGACGCGGTGCGGCGGGCGACGTGACCAGGCGGGCGCGCGCGGGTGTGAGGATGCGTGGTGTGTGAGTGAGGTGAGGTGAGGTGTCACATTCTTCGCGTCGTCAGCCATAAGGCTTTGGGACCTGAAAAGATCATTCGACTAGGTGGCGAGTCATGCTAACCCGCCACCGTTATGGTAGCAACAGGTTCGGCAGCTGTGACAGAGTCAGCCTGGAGCAGATCCTCGATGCCACGAGCGAACATCGCCATGCCTCGCTGATTCGGCAGGTTTAGAAGATAACGCACTGCAGCGTTGGCAGCGACTTCCGAGTCGAGTGTTGCAGCGCCGTGCAGGTCCTCGAGGTGCTGGCGTACCCGGCGATTGAGAGCGAAGCGGCGGCGCTGTCCAACAGTTGCCGTGGACGACAGGGGCACATCGGCAGCGGGCGGGGAGTGTGTGGCGCGCTGGAGAGGGGGGGGGGGCTCGTTGAGGGAGAGGAACCGATCAATTGACCAGGGGCGTCTGCGACGCGAGTCCGCGATGACGCACCGTCACGTCGTCCTCCGCGTGGCGTCCGGCCCGCTGGACTGCCCTACATACTGTCACGCACCAAAGATAATCGTCATCTCAGGGACCCTACGTGACAGGGTGGCGCAGCGTCACATCATCGCGCAGCACGACTTCGCCGCGGGTTCCTCCGCCTGCCGCACGCCGCGTTTCGACGTGTCCAGGTCCAGCGACGTGCGTGCCGCCGCCGCCTCCTCCGTGACCAGCACGCCGTCTATCCACACCTCCGTGCGCGTCGTCAACATGCCCGCCGCGTCCGTCGCCATGTGCGCCAGCCGCTCCTGCACCTGCTGGTCCAGCGGCGCCTCCTGCCGCCCGCCGTTGAGTGCCGCTGCAATCTCCACACTCCCCAGCGACGCCTCGGACGGCAGCTTCTCGCGCGCGATCTCCAGCGCGCCGCTGCCGTCGGGCGGCGTCTCCACGACGTACACGGGCCCGCTCGCCGCGCGCGTCGCCGCCAGCCGCGCAGCACTCAGCTGCTTTGCCAGCGCCGCCGCTGCCGACCGCTGGTGCGACGGCGCGTCCGGCCGCGCGCCCGTGCCGCCGCTGTGCGGCGACTCCATGCCCGGATCCTGCAGCGCGTCGAGCAGGAGCTGCTCCTGCTGCGTCAGCGCGCCAGAGATCGCTTTCAACGGCCCCGTCGCCCCCGGGGCAGCAGTGGACCTCATCGACGCCTGCTTCGCCGGCGACGGCTCCTGAGCCGGCCCGAGCTTCTCCCTGCATGCGATCGAGAGCCGCCGGGGACGTTGGCGTCGGAGCAGACGAGCGTGTAGAGCGCATGCGTGGTGGTGGGGGTTGCGCGTACCCTGGGGAGGGTTGCGCGACCCAGTTGCCCTTCCCGCCGTTGACGAGGATCTGGCAGCCGTGCACGTCGACCTTCGCTCCGTCCTGCGAACAACCCCGCGCACGCACTCACCCTGAGGGCGCGCACAGCACCGCATGTCAACACTCAAGTGCGCGACGTGCGTCGGCGGAAGAGGTCGCCCGCACGCGCGCGAGCGTCGGCGCCGTACCCGTGCGAACAGCGCCTCGTGCCTCTGCCCCGAAATGACCACCTCCGTCGCTTCGAGCTTGCTCTCCTGGCCCGACGCAACAATGCCGTGGCCCAAGTTGTCCGCGACCACGCCGCCCGTGACCGCCACCTGCGCGCCGTTCCGCGCCTCGATCCCCGACGCGCTGTTCCCCGTCGAGCGCAGCCCCTTGACCAGCACCACCGTCCCCTGCCCCCGCGCCAGCACCCCGCACCCCTTGTCGTCCATGCTCTTGGCGTTCGCGCCGCCCGTGCCGCTCCGCGACACCTCCCCGCCGATGACCATGCTCTGCGCGCCCGCGTCGATCACGATCCCGCTCCCCGTGCACCCGGAGACCGTGCAGTTGATCATGCGCACCGCCGCAGCGCCGCTATGCATCAGCACGCCGTGGCCCTCCGCGTCGGCGATCGTGACGCGGTCCAGCACGCACGTCGGGGCCAGGACGTGCACGGCCGCGAACCCGCCGCCGGGGCTGACATCCTGCGAGCGGGGGCGGGCGGCGGGGGCGGGACGTGAGCGCTGGGCCGCGCGTGCTGAGGCGGGGGGAGCCTCTCCGGGCCGCGGCGGGGAGGCTTTGAGGGGCCTTGTAGGAGCGCGTGGCCGATGAGCACCGGCCTGGTTGCCCCCGTGCGGAGCCGCGGCGTCGGAGGCAGAGTGCGAGATCCTGCGCGGGCCATGTGTTGCGCGAGACGTGCGCCCACGCGCTCCGGCCGCGTCACCCTGGCGCACAGAGCTCTTTGTAGCGCGGCGGGATTGCCGATCGTTCGGCGCGGGCGCGGGGGGGGGCAGGTAGGGCACCGCGTGCCACACCTGCTTGGGGTCCGATGACAGGGAGAACGTGCTCTTGAGGAGGTTCCTCGAGAAGCCCTTCAGCGTGCCGTTCTTGATGATGGTCCCCGGCCGCGAGATCACCAGGCCCTGGCCCTGCGCGCACGTCGCGGCACCGGCATCAGCTGAGGTGCTGGCTCCCCCGCACCAGTGCTGCTGGGGCAGTGCCGTGACGAGAGTGCAAAGTGCGGCGCCAGCACAGACACCGGGGTACTCGTTCGCTGCGGTCCGAGGGGTCGCAGGGCCCGGCGACGGGCTATCCCGCCCACGAAGCTGGCGCGCTGGCAGAGCACGACACCGGGCGCGCTCGCACGCGCGCCACGTACCGTCTTTCCGCAGATGGTCGCGCCCTCGAGATCCAGAATGCGTATCTCTGGGTTGTCCGCGGCGGCCTGGATGTCCTCGACCGTTCGGTACATCGCGCCCCGCGCAGGGATGATGCGACCTCGCTGCCGCCAACCGGCGCCTGACGTCACTGAAAGGGCAAGGGGTCGATTGCAACGGACAGCGTCGACACTGGCGGGGGTCGCGTGCGCGCCCGGGCGTACAAGCGCCCTCAGGGTCGGGCTGCCGGGGGGGTCTGGGCTACACGTCAGCGGAGGTGGCTCTCGGGGGCCTGTGCGGCTGTCGAGGGGGAGTCGGAGCGCGCACTGCCCGCATGGGGGCTCGAGCGAGGCGCGGTGCTTGCACTAGCCCGTCCATGAAGCAGCTCGAGGTCTGTACAGGGCGGGAGACGCGCTTGGAGGCGCTGAGGTGGCACCCTGCACGGGGCCACTCAAACATGCACGGATTCGGGGGGGAGGGGGTGCGTGCAGCCCGGCTCGCGTGATACGCGCACGATGGCTGGACGCGTCCGGCCGCTCTGGCTGCTCCACGCCGCCTGCGCGGCGCTCCCCGCGGCGTGCATCTTCCACTGCGGCGGGCAACTGGCGACGACGAAGCTCGCGAGCGTCCTCATGGTCGGCCTTCGCCTCGCGACGCATGCGGTCACACGCAACCCCGCGATCATCGTGATAGACGACGTCGTCGCGCTCACGGCGCGCACGGCAGCGATGTTCGTGCTGGCTGTGCTGCTGGGGGCCTCGCTCTCCGCGCTCCCAGAAACGCTCGTGTGGGCGCTGTACGCGGCTGCCGCCACCAGCAGTCCCAGAGCTCTCCAGGCGTACTGGTTCCACGGAGCGCGGTACCGCCCGCTCGCCCTGCTCGCCAGCTGCCTGGTGCCGTACGCGGGGCCGTCCGCGGCGCTCAAGGGAGAGCCGATGCCGACGGACCACCAGATCATGGGCGCAACGGTCGCGGCGGTGAGTCGGCGCTGGAAGCTCGCTCGCGTGACGCGCTGCCGGCCCCGGTCGCGACACAACACGACGCTGTTTGTCTCACAGTTGCATGCGAGGCGGGAACACCCGCGCACTGTGCGAACACGCGTCGCAGCGCCCGCGTACCTCGTGGGGCACGGCGTGGAGGGTCCTATCGGAGGGTTCTTGCGTCCCGTTCATGCAGGGGGGGGTGTTGGGGGGTGGAAGTATTCTTCTCGACTGGCAGCAGACGTGGCAGATCTGGCCGACGCCCGTCATCCGCGGCATGGCCGTCGCGGCGCCCCTGGCGTGGCTGATCATGGTCGTCTGGTCGAGGCCGCCCTGGCCGGAGGCGAGCGGCGTAGCTGCAGCCTCCCCGCGACGCAAGAAACGGGCGTGATCGGACGCCGCTGGGGCACGCGCTTCGCCGCAGCTAGCGCTGTCACGTCGAGCCCGTGGCGCACGGATGCTAGCTGCGCGACGAACGGCGCGCGCCGGGCTTCGAGGACGCGAATGAGATGCGAGGGATGTCGAGCTGTTTCCTTGTGGCCGGCGTCGTCGCGCGGGGCATCCTGGACGTCGCGGGCGTTCGCTCAGCGCTCGGAGCGGGCTGCAGCGGGCGCGGGAGGCCGGCAGAGGGCAGGTGAGCAGCTGCAGCAGATTGCAAGGTGCACGACGGGCACACTGGCAGAGCGCGCAACGGCCGCCGCACCTGCTCCGGCAGCGGCGTCTGGCTGCACATGTGCGTCCGGTCGAACTGCTGCATGTCGGCCTGCATGGCTTGGAACGCTGACATGATGTTCCTGGTCTTCTCTTGCAGGGGGGACACGGCCGTGTACGGCAGCGGAGGCGGCGACGAACTGGCCGCGCCCTGAGGGTCTCGCAGTGTTCCGATCTCCGCGCGGAACGCGAGCTCCGTCATGCACGTTTGCCGCCGCTGCGTTGGTGTGATCACGCGCAGTGGTGCTTCGGCGCGACTCGACGAGCGGCCTACGAAGTCCTCATAGGTCGCCAGAGAAGCTTCGCGAGGAGTCGAACGCCATGGGCGCCGCAGCTGGTCGGTGGCGGCACGGGTCTGCCCGCGGGCGCGCATTTCTTCTTCAAGCTGCGGCTGCAGCATGGGGCGTCAAAGCAGCGCGTCGATGGCGCAGCAACGACGCTTGGCAAGATGAATTCTTCGCAACAGCGCCGAGGAGTGCGCGTCGATGCGTTGGGGAGGCGTGCGCTCACCACGACGCCGCTCGAAGCGTGCAGCTGCTCCGCGACCGTCACATCAACCACCGAGGCCGTCATGACTGCGACGGTCGGGGCGAACGCGAGAAATCCCTCGAGGTCGAGCTGCCGAGGGCGGTCTGTGTCGGCTCGCGGCACCGCAGCGCCACTGTCGCGCAGGACGCGACGCGTCGTGCCAGACCCCTGGCTGACGCTTTCAGCCCCCGGCGTGGGCGTGTTGGCGCAGGGCTGCGGATGCCATCGGGTGAGTGGTCCTTCTCAGGGCGAGATACATCGTTTCGTTTTGCGTGGTCGTGTTGACAGCGGCGGAAGTGGTCGTCGTTCGCCAGGATGGGCTGCTGCAGGAGAGCCGCGGGTATGCGGCGACTCCTGCGCGTTGCGACGACTCCTGCGCGGACGAACGCAGCAAAAAAATCTTTCGCATCTCAGGCCGTCGACTGAGAGCGTTGAGACAGCCCACTGACGCCCGAGCGCCCCATGTTGGCTCGCAGGTTGCACTTGCGCGATTTTCAGGTACTTTCCGCTGCAAAACTCCTTCGCGCTGGCGCTGCTGATCGGAGGAACGGTACTCTGGGCCAGTGCGGTGGCCGACGCGGCCGACCGCACGCTGGACGTGTTCGATCTGCTCGGTGCCAGTAACGAGCTCAGGAACATCTGCGCAGCTTACGTGTCCAACGTGACGGCTGTCTCCATCGCCGTCCTGGTCACTGCGTTCATCACAGCGGTGATGTCGGCGTGGAGAATCCGGCTCAGGCTCCGCAAGCGGGGCAAGAAAACCGCGACGGCGCCACAATGTGTGGGATGCGCGCACGGCGCAGCCGCGTGGACGCTCATCGTCGCGGTCTACGTCCTCACGGCCTACCTGGTGGTCCTCCTTGCCGTGGACACGACGTGGTTCGCCGGATCAATCGTGACGAGGGAGGGCGCGACAGCTGTTGCAGGTGCATCGACGACGATGGTCCCGGGGATCGCGGACGACCGTTCGCGTCCCTGGCACGTCCTCCGCTAGCATTGTCGCTGGCGATCACGTTGTCAAGCCCGAGGGGGCGTGAAATGCCCACGGAAGACAATTCGCTGTCATCATCCACGTGCGCTGACCTGCAATGCAAGCAAGCATGCCGTCGGCGCACGTCGATGAGGACATTGCCCGCCGCGCGTCCACGTGCACATGCATCCGACGTGTGAGCGGTGGCCGTGTGCGCTCCGCACGTGCCGTTCAAGTGCAGCTCGGCCCTTTATATTTGCGTGCCTGTCCCCGGCGGACGCCACAATCAGCCCGTCCGCGCCTCCCCGTACTCCTACGATGCAGACCTGCACGCCCAGCTCAGGGGCGCGACCTCCACGGCGCTCGCGGCCGCGGACCAGGTGCTTGGCGCCGTCAACGCCGTCATCTCCGTCATCGACGAGCTCCCGCCGCTCCTGGCGCGCGAGGTCAGGGAACTCGCCGCCAGCGTGGGCGTCCCGACGACCACAGAGGAGCTCTCCAGCGAGGTCCGCCGCGCAAACGGCACACGCGCACCCGTTGTTGCCCTGCAGCGACCCCCCCACTAGGACGCCTTCAAACCCGATCTGCGAACCGCGCCAGTGCACGCCCCCTCCGCGTCGCAGGTCGGCCGGGCGCTGGACGAGATCGAGCCGCTCCGCCGCCTGACCACAGGCAGCCCCGCACCCATCGGCGGCTGCCCGCCCACGTGCCTCAACCTCTCGTACTACTCGTTCGTGTCGTCGGACTCGTGCGTCTGCGAGCCCGAGGCAAGTCGCTGCCCCCTTCCCCCTCGCTCCCCCACCGCCCGACGGTTCGTCACGGCACCGGAGACACAACACGCCCCCCCTGTGCCGCTGAGCCGCATCACGCCGTCGTCGCCGCCCCACGAACGTCCCACGCGCCGTAGTGCAGGCGGTGCTCGAGGTCCGCGACCACGCGGAGGCGGCGCGGGAGAGCCTCCTGTCCGCGCTGATCGGCAACGCGCTTATGTACCTTGGGGGCAGCTGGCTGCTCGCGTCGCTCACCGCGGACCTCGTCAACGTCCGCCGCGACTACCGCGCGCTCCGACGCGTGTCCGGGTCCGGGGACAAGGTCGCGCAGGAGGGCGCGGTGCGCGCGCATGTGCCGCGGGGGGGAGACGAGCGCGGAGCGGTTCGCGGCATCTGGACGCCGCAGACGGACGACGTTGCGCGCGTGCGTGCTGCGCCGCGCGCAGCGAGCGGCGTCGCGAGCGGCGCTGGCGCGTCGACCTCGGTGCCGCTCTCACAAAGCAGCTGGCAGCCCTGGCCCGCCAAAGCGCCGCGGCTGTGACGCTGCTGGCCGCACCGCGTCCCTCATCAAGCCGCCAGCACGCCATCTACGCATACCCGAGCCTGCTCCGCGCACCCCATCGCCTCTGCGCTCACTCCCCCCCCGACTACCGCGTACAATCGATCATCAAGCTGGCCAAGCGTCGCCGCGGGACCGGTCAGCCCAGGTCGTCGCCAAGGACGAGGCGGAAGTCGTCGAAGCTGCGCTCCAGGTCGATGTGCCCCGCTGCCACCAGCGCCTGCCGCTCCCGGAGCTGGTCCACGATGTCCTGCGCCTCCGGGTCCAACTCGTCGTAGCTCTGCACGGGCTCGTCCGCGTCGACCATCTGCGCCAAGAGCACCGCAGGACAGGGCACGTCTCGCGCTGGGAGCTCTGCGGGCGACCGGTGAGCCCACGCCGAGCTGCCATGCATGCTAGGTCGCGTCACGTGTGTGCGTCGGCACACCTCTTGCAGGATCTCGAGGTGTGTTTTGCGCAACACACCCCCTTCGAACAGGGAGCGCCAGAAGGCCGGGCCAGACTTGGGCAGGACGATGTGGACGACGGAGGCGCTGAGCGTCTCGTCCTTGTCGCTGTGCTCGAGCGCCCACAGCGCGTCCGAGGCCCGGCACGGGCGCTCGAGAGGCCCCTCCAGCAGCTCGCCTGCACACGCACACACAGAGCGGGCAGGCGCAAGGTCGGCAACGGAACGGCGCTCTCTGGCCCGCGGGCGGCGTTGCGCAGCGACGCTGCAGGGGAGCGTACCGAGCCACGACAGGGAGATTCCGAGGCGTTTGGCGGCGATGTCGACTTTGACGTCCTTGCCGCGCGTGCCCCGCGGCACCGACACGAACACGTGCACGTCCGCAGAGGTCTGCATCCAGCGCACGCGGTCGGCCAGCGGCGCCGCCAACCACCTCAGGCGCGCCTCCTTCACGGCCCCGCGGCCCCACATGCTGCTCTCCGCCACCACGCGCAGGCCGTCCGAGTCGTACCCGTCGCCCTCCGCGGCCGTCTCGGGCGCCGGTCGGACCGGGGACGTCTCGAGTGACTGCTCCGGGGTTGTTTTGCCAGACACCACATCAGGAACCGCTGCGCCGCTCCGGGGCGCTTCGGGCGCCGTTGGATGGCCAACCGCTGGCTCCGGATCGCCGACATCGCGACGGCCCGGCGAGGCCAGCGCCGAGAGCCCGTCGCGGATACCAGCGAGGTCGTGGCTGCTCTCAGCGACGGTCCGGGCGTCGCCGTCGGTGGCGACGCGATCGAGGAAGGCCCGCAGGAACTCCGCAGCGGCGTCGACATCGTGCTCGCGCTGCTGCGCCCCCCCCGCCGCGCAGTTTCGCGCGTGATCGTTCAACAGGGTGGTGGCGTGCGCGAGCACGCTCGACTTGGGCGCCCCGCCGCACAGCTGGCCGAGCTCTCCGGAGTCGAGCGAGGCGCAGAGCGACGACAGCCGCGCGAGCGCCGCGGTGCTGACGTGGCGGGCCCGCGCGTGCCCTGCTGCGCCTGTTTGGCTCGCGGGGAGGACCGCTGCAGCGGCCAGCGCGGTGACGTGTCCGGACGTGACGATGCGCTTCAGGACGAGCTTGCTCCTGCGAGGTCCGTGGCAAGAGAACTCTCTCTCTCTCAGGGAACATATGAAATCATGTCTATGTTTGTCGGCACCACATCTACTTGCCACGCATGTTAACAGCGGATCGCGCTGGCTCAGCGACGGGCCGCACCTGCACGCGAGGAGCGCAGCCGCGCGCGACCCCGCCTCCCGCGTCTCCGCGCAGTCGTACTCCCACGTCGCCCCGAGAACGTCCATGACGTCCGCGGCTGCCAGCCGCTGCGCCCACACACCTGCGCCGGCCCCCGCCAGGGCGCCCACGGCACACAGCGCCTCCACGAGAGGCGGACGACCGAGCGCCTCGTGGTCGGGCGGACTGAGCAGCGCCTCGACGCCAGAGCTCGCTGCGGAGTCGTCGTCGGAGGTGGCGGTCGTGCCGTCCTGCTGCAGCGTGGCTTGCACCGCCCGGGCGACGCCGACGACGTCGGCGCCGAGCGGGTTCGCGCGGTAGTCCGAGGCGTACTTCTTGAGGACGTACGCGGCGCCGCTCGGCCCTCCAGCGCGAACCATGCGCTTCGGAGACACGGAATCCAGTCTCTCGAGCAGGCGCACCAGCCCGACCGCTGCGACGTCGCGCCCGGCGCGCCGCGGCCCCGCCCTGGCATCGCTCTCACGGCGCAGCTCCGCGCGCACCAGATCGTCTCGCGCGCACAGCGACGCGACGCAGCGGAACCCGCATCGCAGCGCATCCGCGGACGCAGCGTTGTACGCCGAAGCCAGCGCTGCGAGGGCCGGATCCGCCGCAGAACCCGCAGAGCCGCTGTCCTCGTCGAGCCAGCTCGCGCCGAGCCCCGGCAGCGCGCGCAGGACCGTCGAGACGGGGCCGAGCTTGCTGCACGCGCCGAGGAGCTGGCAGCGGCCTGCTGGGGTCGCCGCGACGCGAGAAAGCGCCCGCAGGGACAGAGCGGCCACGGCGAGAGCGCTGTCTCCACTCCGTCGGTCAGACTTGGCGGCACCGCCCGTCGCCGCGGCGTCGACGTTCGCCAGCAGCGCGCCGGCGAGCGTCGCGCTCGCGTCCCCGGCTGACGGCGAGGCGGCAACGAGGTGGCTCGAGAGGAGGCGGTCAGCGAAGAGGCCCTCGAGAGCGAGTGCCGCGGCGGCGCGGACCCCACATTCGCCGCGTTGCAGGCCGGTGAGGATGCGCGCTGCGAGCACCTGGGCGCTGCCGCCGGCGTGGCACACGGGGCTTCCGTCGCCGGCGCGCCCCACGCAGCACGCGCGCACGATCGCTCTCGCCGCGTGCAGGGAGACGTTGGGCGGGCCCGCGGCGAGGTGGGCAAGCACGACCCAGTGTCCGTTGCAGGCTACCAGGGCGGCCTTCGCCCGCAGCGCCGTGACGTCGCAGGGCCCCACGAGGTCGCTCAGGTGGCGCAGGGCGTCCAGGATGGCCCGGTCCGCGTCCTCGTCGTCGGAGCGCAGCGTCTCGACGAGCGCACGCACGCGATCTTCGACCGAGTGTGTTTGAACGACATCGTCCGGTGCGTCCGAGGCGGGCTTCGAGGACGAGGTCCGCTCGACGGACCCGCTGACTGACCTGGTCTCGCGTAGTGCCTCGTCCACGAGGGTCTGGAACGCCGCGAGCAGCCGGGCGCGGTCGACAAGCAGCGTTTCTTCAGCGGTGCGTGCGTCGGTCGCGTTCGGCTCTCTCGTCGCGTCAGACTGCGAGGGCTCGTCGTACAGGCGAAGGGCACCGTCGAAGCTGCCTCTCTGGCAGTGTGCGACCGCGAGGCGGTAGCGGGCCTTGCGGTTTGTGGGGTCCAACGACAGAGCTTGTGCCGCTGCTTGCGACGCGTCCTCGAGCTTCCCGATGCACAGCTGCGCCTGTGAGAGGTTCGAGTGCAGCTGAGATGCCAGTTCGCTCGCTTCGAGAGACGGATCGTGCGTCAGGTCGACCTGCACGGACCGAAACCGTCGATGAGTGAGGCTGCTATCAGGTGGAATGGCGACCCGGGCTCCGAGGACACGCGCCGTCTTGCCACTGCTCGCGCCTCTGCCCCGGGGAGCAGCACACGGGCCGCGTGCGCCTCCGATCGTGCCGAGTGAGTTCTGATCAAGACACTTCCTTTCAGCGCGCGGCAGACCTCCGACACCGACCTGAACCAGAGCGTCCCGGTAGACGGCAGCAGCGCCTGCGAAGTCCAGCAACCGGCACAGATCGTTGCCGCGTTCCTTGAGCTCTCGGGCGCGCAGCAGCCCGTCGACACAGGCCGCGCCGGGCGCCCCTCCCAGCGCGGTGCTGGACGCCATGGAGCTCTCTCCTCTGCACAGCGCCGTGCTCGCGGGGGCGGCGGGAGTGCGCACGATGCGCCGCGCGCGCTGGCGTGACCCGCTCCGGCTCCGAGTCCCCACAGCGACCCCCCTGGAGGAGCTAGCGACCCCCCCGGACAGTCACCTTGCACTGGCGCCCTCTTTGTGTTCCGTGCTTGCCGCGCCCGCGCGAAAAGATACTCTCGCGCCGCGCACGACAAGAAGTCCCCTGTGCCTCCGTGCTCCGAAGAATCGCGGTCGCATCGGTCCGGAGGGCGCGTCTGCTAGCATCCCCCTTGCGCTCGCTTGCTGCGGGCAATTGAGCAGTTCCTGACCCTACAGGGGGGCTGCGGAGCCCCACACCGGCTATGATGCACCTGAAGGGCGCGGCCAGGGGTCTGACTGTACGCGGAAACGCCGCGATGCGCAGCGTCGCCCGGACAACGCTAGTGCGGGCCTCTCCTCAGCCCAGCGGCGCCGCACCGCTCCCCCCCGCGAGCCACGTCAAAGGCGTCCTCTTCGACATCGACGGAACGCTCTGCGACTCCGATCCGCTCCACTTCAGGTGCGCAGCACCGCAGCAGCGCCGTCGCTTGCCGCGCACCGCCTCAACGCGCAGCTGCACGGCCCCCCCCGTCCCGGCGAACCGTCACACCGCGCCCCGTAGGGCTAGTCTTTGGATACACGCCCCGTGCGTCGCGTTGTATCTGCGCTGTTGTCCCGCAGGGCGTTCAAGGAGTACCTGGTGGAGGTGGGGTACAACAAGGGCGAGCCCATCACGCGGGAGTTCTTTTTCAAGAACATCTCCGGGCGGCACAACCCCGACATTGCCCGCGACCTGTTCCCGGCCTGGTCCGAGGAGCAGCAGCGCGAGTTCTACCTCGAGAAGGAGGCGCGGTACCGCGCCATGGCCGAGCACGACCTGGACCCGGTCCCGGGCCTGTTCGACTTCCTCGCCTGGCTGCGCATGCGGAGCGTCCGCACCGCCGCCGTCACCAACGCCCCGCGCGCCAACGCCGAGGTCATGCTGCGCGGCGTGGGCCTCCTGGACTACTTCGACACCCTGGTCATCGGCGAAGGTGCGGAAACGAAGCGCGCACGCAGCCGCTGCACTGATGCGCGCGGCGCGGGGCTCGAGCGACGCAGCGTGTGTGGAGAGAGAGCGTTGCGTGGCTTGCAAACCCCGTGGTCGTGCCGTGGCGTTCGTTCGGCGCAGAGTGCGACAACCCGAAGCCGCACCCGGAGCCGTACCAGCGGGCGATGCGGACCCTCGGGCTGAAGCCGTCCGAGTGCATCGCGTTCGAGGACTCCCCCAGCGGCATGACGGCGGCGGTGACCGCGGGCGTGCCGACCATCGGCATCCTCACGGGGCAGACCGCGGAGACGCTCGCGGGCGTCGGGGCGAGCGCGTGCGTGAACGACTACCACACCGTCATCCGGTTACTCGAGCAGGTCGAGCACGTGGCGGCGTGAGCGAACGGCACGCCCCACAGCGCCGGCGCAGTGCACCGCGCAGCCTGCGGGCGCCGGCGCTCCCAGTGCCCGCGCATGACTTCCGCTGACCGATGTGATGCCACGTCACTCGCGGTCGCGCACTCGCGCCGGCCCCTGGTGCTCACATGCCGCGCACACGCAGTTCCTAGTGGCGGCCAACTCGACCGACCGTGCGCTGGCTCTCACCGGCGCCCCATCGTTCACCGCGACCGCGCATTCCGTTGCGATCGCGTCTAAAACGGCTGTTCGATGCCCTCTTCGAGCATGGACCACACAAAGGTGATGGTGTAGGCCACCACGGAGATGGCCACCGCGATGGGCACGAACAGGTCCCGCTCCTCCTCCTCGGGGGGCGGCGGCCGCCGCGGGGGCCACTCTCCTCTCCGACCCTCCTCCTCGGCAGGCGCCTCGTTCGCGTCCGGCGGGAGCGACCTTGCCGCTGCGTGGAGCAGGGCCGCAGCGGCGACGCGTGCGATGAGCGCCTGGCTGTCAGACACCGCTTGTGAGAATGTCAGGCCCACGGTGCGTGCGCGTTCGAGTGTTCTGGGACCAGGGAGCGGGGCAGGAGGGCTCACCTCGCGCCGAGCGCTGCGCGCAAGGACGGGCGCGTTGGGTCCCTGGCTTCGGCGGGGGGGCACGCTGTGCTGTGGTACGAAGCGAAGGGGCCACGCGGAGCGTCATCTCGGCGACTGGCCTGCCCGGAGCCCGTGTCGCTTTCCTGGCCCCGGTGCAAGCGCGGTCTGCGCTCCGACGGGGAACCAAACGAATCACGCTAGTGTCCTCGAGGCCTGCTCGTCGCTCTCTCGTCCAATCCGACCGCGATGTCGCACACCCCTCCGTCTCACTGGGCCAAAATACGCCGCTGACGAACCCAGCCTGACCGCGCACGCTCCACCCCCGCTGACGCAGCCGCCGGGCGCGGGGCGGCCACGGAGCACAAGGGCGCGCCGAGGCCGGCCCCTGCTGCGATCCTGGACCGCACCCAGATCACAGTCGACGCCATGCCGGCCGCCAGCCTCCGCCCTCCGTCGGCGCTCGTTGCCGCGCAGCGCCCGCGGCCCGCCCAGCGGCGCGCGGCCCGGCCTGCCGTGGTCGCCGTCCGCGCGCACGGCCAGGCCGCCGGCCACGGCGGCGGCCACGGCGGCGCGACGGCCGCGCCCCCGACGGGGTTCATCGCGGAGATGAGGACGGCGGCGATGAAGCTCCACACGCGGGAGCAGGCGCCGAAGGAGGGGCAGAAGGTCGCGGAGAAGCCCGCGGAGCAGCCCGTGAAGAAGTGGACGCCCACCCGCGAGGGCTACCTGCGCTTCCTCGTGGAGGTCCGCGGCCCCGCACCCCCGCAGGCCGCAGCGCTCGGTCGCGCGAGTTCCCACGCCGCACGGCCCGATGCGGGCGCGTCGTGCGCCGCGGCGTGCCCTCCGTCGCGCGAGACACCGCTTCGGCGGTGCGCGGCGTGTGGGAAGCGCCGTGATCGGGCGTGCGGGCGCATCGCCCCTCGTGTGGTGCGCGTCCAACGGCAGCCGCCTGCGGGGCCGCCAGGGTCGGCCGCGGGTCCGAGGCGCCTCCGCACGCCGGCTCCAGCCCGCTGCGACCGCGCCAGCCCCGGCCGCGCCCTCGCCTGCTGCCCCAGCCGCGCAGAGAGCCGCGCCTGGGCCCCGCTTGCCCTGTTTGCACGACCCGGGACCCTCGCACCGGCGAGCGCGCTCCGACCGGCCCGCCGCCCCGCAACCTGTTCCCCGCAGTCCAAGATCGTCTACGATGCAATTGAGGACATCATTGCGAACTCGGACCACCCCGACTTGCAGCGGTTCCAGAACTCGGGTGCGCGCGCACCCTCCCACGCCCGCCCGCGCGCGCCCCGCGCACCCTCGCTCCCGCCCCGCGCCCCCGCGCGCACGGTGCGCTCATGCGCCGCCGCGCCGGGGCCTCGTCGCCGCCCCCCGCCCCCCGCGGCGGCTGCTGCGCGTGCCCTACGCACCACACGGCGCTGCGCGCTCAGGCCCGCGCCCGCTGTGTTCGCGTCGTTCCGCAGGGCTGGAGCGCGGCGCCGCGCTCGAGAAGGACATCGCGTGGATGAAGGAGAAGTACGGGGCGGAGGTCGGCTGCAGCCCGGAGGGGTGTGCTGCGTGCAACGGGTCGTCGCCGGGCCACACGTACGCGAGGTGCGCCGCCGCTCCCTCGCCCCGAGACGCCGCCCGCCCGCTGCTCGCGCCCGGGCCCGCGCGCCCGGGCCCGCGCGCCCCCGCCACGCTCGCGGCGACGGCACTGGTTGCGTGCGCCTCCGCCGTCCGCGCGCCCTCGCACGCGCGGCGCCCGCGCCGAAGCCCCGCCGGTCCGCTGGCATGCCGTGCAGCTCGCTCCGGAAGATGGCCGCGGAGTCTCCGACGGCGTTTGTGTGCCACTACTACAACACGTACTTTGCGCACACGGCGGGGGGGCTGATGATCGGCAAGAAGATGTCCGACGAGCTCCTCGAGGGCGCCACGCTCGAGTTCTACAAGTGGGACGGCGACGTGAAGGAGTACCTCGCCGCGGTGCGCGACCAGATCAACGCGGCGGCCGAGGGGTGGTCGCAGGAGGAGAAGCAGGCGTGCCTGGACCAGACCGCGGACAGCTTCAAGGCCGGCGGCGCGCTCCTGGGCCTCGTCGCCTCGTGAGCGACGCGCCGGCCGGGCCCGCGGTGGCCGTGTGACGCGCGTGCCGACCTGGGCGGGGTGCTGTGTGGGGTGCCTGTCAGAGCCTTCCCTTGGCACATGATGACATGCTCACATGGCATTTCGCGCGAGTACTCCTAGCACGCTGCCGCCTTGATCAGGACGATGGCACACCCGCATTTCGTTTCGTGCGCGGGTGGTCAGTTGCTACTCTGGGTGCGAGCGCGCCGCGGGCGTGGCGGGCGGCCGCGGGCGTGGCTGCGGCGGCGGGCTGGGGCGCGGGGCGGCGCGGCGGGCGCGCGTGCGTGTGCGTGGGTCGCGGCGGCGGGGGCGGGCGGGGTGGTGCGGCGCGCGTTGTGTGTGGTGACGTGTGCAGCCTAGGTCAGCGGGCGGAGCGGGGGGAACGGGGGGTCGGGCGCGCGCGGCGGCGGCGCAGACGGGCGGCTGGGCCCGGCACAGGCGTCTCTGGGGCGCGGCGCGGGCGGGGCGGGCCCGTGGGCGCGGGCAGGCCCCGGTCAGCCAGGGGAGGGTCCCGGCGGGCGATGGCCCGCTGGCGCAGGCGGCGACGTCGGGTTGCCGCGCGGGGCGACGGGAGCACTTGGTTTGGTTTGTGGGAGGGTCCACGTGTGCAAGGAGCCTAACGACAGACAGGTGCGTGTGGCGAGGTCGGCGGCCACTCGCGAAGGCTCGTCCTCTGCTTGCGTCGCCCGGCCGCCGTCGTGGCGGGCCTCCGCCTGGGCCGGCAGCAGCCGGGTGCGGGCGAATTGTTTGTCCACAATCTGGGCTCGAGGCGCTCTGCGGGGGCGCAGTGACCGTTCTCGCCTAGGGTCACTGCTGCAGTGCCTCCGCGCGCAGCACTGCTGGCGCGAATACCGCGTGTCACGCGGTCCCGACGCGCTGCATTTGCCCACTTTCATGCCGTCCGGCCCGCAAGCACCCGCTGGCCCGGCCCCACCGGGCGGGTTTCGTGCCGTCAAGTAACACGACCAGGCGAACGCGTTCGTGGTCCCGCAGGAGCCATGTTCGGCGGCGACAAGAGCAACCCTATGCGGGGCCTGATCCAGGCCTCGCTGGCCCCCCCGGCTGCGGCCACTGCCAGCAAGAAGACCTCGGCTGCTGCCGCGGGCAAGGTGAGCGCCCCCGCCGCGCCGACGATACCGCCTCATTCGCCCCCTTTCATGTCTCGATGGCGTGATGCATTTCCCATCTTCGTTTCGACGCCACGGAGGCCCTCTGCGCGCGCCCTGGATGCCCGGGCCCCGGTGCCCTCGCTGTCAACTCCCACGCTCCACGGCCCCGGGCTGCGCGGCCTGTCGCCCCCTCCGCGCGACCCGCCCCTGCATGAGTCCGCCACGGCCGCGGCGCGCGCGCCCGCTCCTCCCCGTATCCCGCCCCCACGCGCCCAGCCCTGCAACGACCGCCCCGCGCTGCTGCCACGCCGCCCGGGCCTCACCCGCCGCCCACGGCGCCCCGCCCGCGCAGGAGGACGAAAACAAGACGCTGCGCTTCTTCGCCGACCTCGCCGCCGGCGGCGTTTCGGGCGGTATCTCGAAGACGGTCGTGGCTCCCATTGAGCGCGTCAAGCTGCTCCTGCAGACCCAGGATGCCAACCCGCGCATCAAGTCGGGCGAGATCCCTAGGTCCGCGCCCCACGCACCCGCGCGCGCCGCCCGCGCGCCCGGCCGCGCCCGCCACGTCGCCCCCGCCGGCTAGGGCGCACCGCCCCATGCCCCCCCGCGTCCCCTGTCTCCGCCCCGCGCGCGCCCCGGCGCCGTCTCGCGCGCCCGCGCCCACCCGCGCCCCCCGCGTCCCCCGCCCGCGCGCAGGTACACGGGCGTGGTGAACTGCTTCACGCGCGTGGCGAAGGAGCAGGGCGTGTCGTCCTTCTGGCGCGGCAACACGGCCAACATCATCCGGTACTTCCCGACCCAGGCGTTCAACTTCGCCTTCAAGGACACGTTCAAGGCCATGTTCCCCAAGTACGACCCCAAGACGGAGTTCTGGAAGTTCTTCGGCGCCAACATGGCCTCGGGCGGTGCCGCGGGCGCCTCGTCGCTGCTCCTCGTGTACCCGCTCGACTTCGCCCGTACCCGCCTGGGCTCGGACGTCGGCGTGGGCAAGGGCCGCGAGTTCAACGGCCTGTTCGACTGCATCGCCAAGACGGCCAAGCAGGGTGGCCCCCTGGCGCTGTACAAGGGCTTTGGCGTGTCGGTGCAGGGCATCATCGTGTACCGCGGCGCGTACTTCGGCCTGTACGACACCGCGAAGGGCGCGCTCCTGGGCAAGAACGAGAAGGACGCGTCCATCCTGGCCAAGTGGGCCATCGCGCAGACGGTGACGGCGGCGGCGGGCGTGCTGTCGTACCCCTTCGACACCGTGCGGAGGCGCCTCATGATGCAGGTCGGCGCCAAGGAGCAGCTGTACTCGTCCACGCTCGACTGCTGGGCCAAGATCGCGCAGAACGAGGGCGCCGGCGCGTTCTTCAAGGGCGCGTGGTCGAACGTGCTGCGTGGCGCGGGCGGCGCGCTCGTGCTCGTCATGTACGACGAGTTCAAGAAGGCCATCGACAAGGCCCTCGCGCCCCCCGCCGACGCGTAAGCCGGCACCGCGGCCGCCATGCCCGGGCGGGGGCACCACGCCCCCCGCCCCCCAGACCACCTCCCCGCCCTGCGGAACAGGGCACCTCGCTGACTCGCCCCGCCTACTCAGGCGGCGCGCGTGTGACCTTCCCTCAACGCTCCGGCCCCGCGCCGTCACGGCCACCTCGTGTCGCGTCTCTCGTCTCTCGCGCGTGCACCCATGTCGCTGTCGCAGCTCGCCCGGCCGTGCGTGCCGCCGGCCCGGGCGACGGCCCGCGAAGCAGCCAGCGTCGCTTACATCGATCGACGCGGGGGCGGGCGCCCGCGTCAGAACAGCCCCTTGTCGCGTTTGAGCGCTGCCTGCCGCCACCCAGCCAACCGCGCGAAGGCGCTCTTGCTCATGCCGAACACCTCCAGAAAGTCCTCCTCCGTCAAGTACTGCTCGCGCGCCGCGGGGTTCACGTCGCTCGGCCACTCCCGCCCCGCCTGCAGCCCGAACGAACCAACGCACGCGTCATGCCCCCCTCACTTCCGCAGCGCATCGCGCTCCCCCCGCACTCGTCACGCCACGCGACCAGCGCATGCACCTCGCCCCCCTCGCACCTTGAGCGCCTCGTAGGGGTAGTGCAGGCTCCCGTCAGACACCTTGTCCAAGTCGACCCCCCAGTCGTTCCCCACGACCGCGGCACTCCCGGGCCCCGGCGAGTCGACCTCCTTGTTCCCGGACGACAGGCGGCCCTCGGCGGCCAGCTTCAGCGACGCCAGACGCTGCATCACGCCGCTCGCGGGGGCGTGCCCGCCGCGCGACGCCGCCGGGGCGGCGTGCGACGACGACGCCTGCAGCGGCGCCGCGTCGGTCTCCAGCGCGGATCCGTTCCTCGCGGCCACGTGCTCCGACGTTGTCTTCGCGCGCACCGCCGCAGATGGTGGCGCATCGCTGGCACCCTGCGAGGCGCCGCGCACGCTGCCGCCGCCACCAGGCGCCGGGGGCCCTGGATCTATCGCCGCAGCGGCGTGCAAGGCATGTGACGCGCCGCTCGGCTGCACGTCGTCGCCGGGGCTCGTGCCGGCCCGGGGCGCCGCTGCCCGACTCGGTGCGGCTGCGTCGGGGTCGCTGGCGCGCGAGGCCGCGGGCTGCGTCGAGCTGCGCGCGCTGTGGCCGCTGGGTCCGTCGGACGCAGGGGCGGGGCTCGCGTGGGCGCTGGAGACGGGCCCGTCCGACCCCATGCCGCGCAACGGGTCCCGGGGCTCTGCGGCGCAATCGAGGGGGCGAAGCAGCCGTTGGGGGTGTTCGTCCGTCGAACTTTGTCGCTGATGTCGGTGCAGGCGCGGTTGCGGCGCGCGGTGACGCGTCCCGGCAGGCGCAGGTGGTGCGGGAGCGGTGCGGTGCTGCCGTGTGCTCGTCTCGCCGGAGGAACCGGTGGGTATGTCGCCGGACGTTGACGATGAGTCGAGGTCGACGTGCGTCGAACGGTCTACCAAGCCGTGCAGGGGGCGCTGTCCCCCGCCAGGACGGTGCGTAGCGCGCCGGGGCTCCACAGGCGCCCAGCGCGGAGGGGGACGGCCCGTTCGCCGTTCAACGCACCTCGTCCTGCGTGTCTGCGATCTACGCGTGTCTCCTGGCCGCGCGAACGGGCAGGCGGACGCTTGCGCGCGTTTCACGTGCGACTTGTGTGTCGCGCAGCACGTTGGCGGGTCACCGCGGCATCAGCGGGCTTCGCGCACGAGGGGACGGCCGACCTCGTGGCCGCTGCGATGGTCCTCGCGGGGCGGCGCTCGCTGGACGTTGCACGGCGCGTCCCGCGTCGAAGTTGCGGTGTGCTTGTGGTGCAGGTTGCCTCGCGCACGTGAGGTCGCCGCGCGGCTGCAGAGGGAGCCGCTCCGCGCTGCGGATGCGCACGGCGCGGTCTGTGCGCACGCGGCGCGAGGCCGCCTGAAGGCGCCCGCACGCGTCGCTGACGCACCAGTCAGCCTGAGCCGAGTTGCACCGGGCCGGCGCGTCGATGCTGCGCGGGGGCGCGTCGCCCGCCCTCTTTTCCATCACTACATAACGGACGGAGGAACGTGCGCGCAAGATGGCCGGGGAGCGCATCAGGTGCGACGACGCTGCGCGACCAGCTCGATGGCGAATGCTCGCCCCGGGAACGACGCGCGGACGTCCTTTCGCCCCCGCTCCGCCTTGCCTGCAGGTTGTACGTTCGCGGGTCGATCCTGGGCTTCAAGAGGTGCGCCCCCGCCCCTCGAACGGAACAGCCGGCTCCTTTCCCCGCCCGCCGCCCGGCCTGCGCGGACCGCGGCGCGCCGGTTCGCCGGTCACGGCGCGTTTATTGACGGACGTGTGCGTCGCTGGCGATCCCGCAGGTCCAAGTCGAACCAGAAGAGCCACACGAGCCTCATCAAGGTGGACGGTGTCGAGTCGCGGGGCGAGGTGGACTTCTACCTGGGCAAGCGGATCGCCTTCATCTACAAGGCGAAGACGGCGAAGAAGGGCACGTACTACCGCTGCATCTGGGGCAAGGTGAGCCCGCCCCGTCGCGCTGTCGGCCCCCGAAACGCTCGTTCCGCCGCTCCCGCCGGCCACGCGCGGTCTCCGCGCACGCATCTATCGCGTACCCGTTTTCACGAAGCGGAGGGTCCGCCCAGAGCTGTCGTATACGTCGCAGCCTGGCCAGCGGAGCGTGCAGACAGCGCTTTGTGTACAGAAGCGGCCCACCAGGGCCTCTGCGTCCCGCTCACGGGGCTGCGCCGCGCTCCCGGCGGCCCACACCGTCGGCCACGGCGACACGCGCCCGGCGGACGCACTCTGCGGCCACCCGCGGCCCGCGAGCCGCGCGCGGAGCCGCTGCGGCACCGCTCGCACGCTCCCCTCGCCGCCGCGCGGCCCCTCTGCGCCTGCGAGCCCCGCGACGCACGCGCCGCACCGTCCCCATCCCACGACATCTCGCCCCCGCGTTTCCGGCAGCGTCTCCGGCCCGCCGCTCCCCCCAGCGTGGCGCCTCCGAGTGCCCGCCGCCGCCCTGCTCGCCCCGCCCGGCCTCTCCCTGGGCCCGCGCGGCGCGCGCCCCACCCCGCACCGTCCGCGCCCCGTCCCCCGCGCGCGCCAACACCAACACCCCCGCGTCCGCCCCCGCGACATCGCCCTGCAGGTGATGCGCGCCCACGGCAACTCGGGCGTCGTCAAGGCCAAGTTCCAGAAGAACCTGCCCCCGACGTCGATCGGCGGCCGCGTCCGGGTCATGATGTACCCCTCGCGGATCTAGACCGCCCGCCCTGCCCATACTCCCCCCCATGTGAAGCGGACCTTCGCACCACCACTCCCCACGCCCGCCCGCGACGTCGCCGCCGGGGCGCAGAGCGGGGCGCGCGCAGAGCGGGGCGCGCGCAGAGCGGGGCGCGCGCAGAGCGGGGCGCGCGCAGGCTCTGCCGCTCGTCCGAGCAGTGCAGACGGCCCCCGCGAAGTGCCAGCGCCTCCGTTGCCCCCCCGCGTGCAGCCAGAGCAGCCGCGCGACGCCGACCACGCGGTCGCCGGCACCTCCGCCTCCGCGCGCGCACGCCTCGCCGCCGTCCCTGCGCGCACAAGCCCCCCTCTCTCCGCCACCACTGTCAGTCGGACGCGACGTTCCCGCTCTGGCGCGCCCGCCCGGCCCGCGGGCTCGTCGCCCCGCGTGCTCCCGGGGCGGGCGCATTCCGTCCGCGCGTCCCGCGTCTCGTTTCGGCGGTCGCAGGCGCCGCGAGCGGGCGGCATGACGTTGACCGTGGCCCCTCCGAAGGCGCCCGCGGGCGGCAGCGTCACCCCGGGCGCGGGGTCCCCGACCGGGCGGCGCGTGATGCGGAGGAAGACCCGCGACGTCGAGGACGACCTGGACCGCGCGCTCAACGAGGGCTGGGTGGACATCAGCCTCACGCCCTTGGCCCGCGAGCACGTTGTCAAGCTGGCCGACCGCCTGGCGCAGAACGGGAAGCCGCTCGAGGGCCTCAAGATGGTGCTCTTCCCCAAGGGCACCGAGGACGAGCTCCGCGTCGCGGCGTTCATCGAGCGCGCCGTCACGCGCAACGAACCGTACGAGTTCACGGGTGAGCTGGCCCGCTCTCGGCGCGCGGCTCCCCGCCCCGTCCGCCGCTCGCGCGCCGCGCGGCGCCGGCGGCGGCCCCTGGGGCGGACGTCTGCGTCTGGCGCCGCTGGCGCCGCGCGGCGTGCCCGGCAGCGTGCGCGCCGGCGTCCGTGGGGTTTGAAGGCGGGGTGGTGGTGGTGGGGACGGAAACGCGCTGCGTGTTGCGTGGTGGGGCCGCAGGGAACCTGAAGCAGGGCGAGCTGAACAAGAACTTCGCAGAGATGCTGCAGGCCGAGCGCGCGGGGCAGAAGTTCGTCGCGCTGCTCACCAGGTGCGCGCCCCCGCACCAGCGCGCGCAGCCCGCCGCCGGCGTTCCGGACCTCGCTCCCGCGTCCGGCGCATTGCGACGGACCGTGCATGTAGCCTCCGCGCCGCGCGAGTGCGACGCGCGCCGGCGGCCCCACGCGCGGCTCGCGGGCCGGACGTTGCCCCGCAGGGCCTTCACGCGCGTCCCGGGGCCGCTCGACCGCCTGAAGGAGCTGCAGCTGTCGATCCCGCTCGCCCCGAAGAAGCTCAAGGACACGCACGCGGAGGTGTCGCACCCCATCGTGCGCGCGCTGACGCAGTCGCTGCCCAGCATGACCCACCTCCAGGCAAGCAGCGCCCCGCACGCCGCGCCCCGCACGCGCACGCGCCTCGCTGCGCTGCTTCGGCACCGCAGCTGCTGCAGCGACGACGGGAGAGCGAGGGTGCAACACACCAGCCCATTTGTTTGCGCGGTGCAGGCGGTGGACTTCAACGGCTCGAAGATGGGCGACCTCGGCGTGATGGAGCTGGTCGCGGCGCTGCGGAGCTGCACGTGCCTGCGGCGCGCCAGCTTCGCGGCGTGCGAGCTCACCGACCGCTCCGCGCTGCAGTTCGCGTCGCTGATCAAGGCGCACGCCGCCAACCGCTCCGTGTCGATCAACTTCGACGCCGCGCTCCGCACGTACCCCGCGACGGACGTCCTGGGCCGGCAGAAGAAGCGCCCGTGGGAGAACCCCGGCAGCAACGTCCGGGAGTACGACGCCGGCGCGCAGAGGCCGCTGTCCGGCCTGCAGTACCTCGACCTGTCCGAGAACCACATCTCAGGCGCGCGCAACCCCGACCGCCCCGCCGCAACGCCGCACGTCTTCACGCATCACGCACGTCGGTCGGCACACCACGCCCCGTCCGCGACGCCCCCCCCGCACCGCCCGCAGACCTCGGCGCCGTGGAGCTGTCGTCGGCGCTGGAGATGGACACGGCGATGCTGGGCGTGAGCCTGCGGTACAACCACGTCTCGGTGGTGCCGAAGAAGAAGCGCGGGGACCCGCGGTACAGCACGGGCGTCGACGCCCTCCGCGCGGTGCTCAACCCGGACCCGCTCGACGTCAGCCAGAGCCACGAGAGCCTCAAGTTCATCGACATCCGGTTCCAGACCGCCGCCTCCAAGGACTGCGCGTGCCAGAAGCCGCGCGGGCTGCACTTCAGCGCGAGGGGCGCGCGGCAGTTCGGCAAGACGCAGTACACCGGCGCGCTCGTGTCGCTCAAGCACCCCGACTGCGTCAAGTGCGCCGCCCGCCCGCCCCGTCGCCCCCGGCTCTCGTGGCCGACGTGACGTGTGTGCGTGTCCCGCTCCCGCCGAGCTCGCTGCCCCGCCGACCGCGCGGTGGGCGCCGTCGCCGTCGTTCGCAGGAGGGAGAAGTCGGTGTTCACGCGGTACACGATGGCGGACAGCACCCTCGGCAACAACAAGCGCGCGGGGGGGGGCGTCGGCGCGGGGGGCGTCGGCGTGGGGGGCGTCGGCGCCGGCCGCCCGGGCTCGTCCCGCGGCAACAGCGCCGTCGCCGCGTCGGCGAACCACAGCGGGTCCGCGGGCAGGCAGCGCCGGCTCGGGCCCGTCGCGGAGGGCGCCGAGGGGCGCCCCGCGGACTCCCCCGTCAACGACTTCTACCGCCCCGACTCCCCCGGGGGCGAGCCCATGGCCGAGCCGCCGGCGCCCGGCGCGCGCGGCGCCCGCGGCACCCGCGCGACCAAGCGCCCGCGCACCGCGCCGGCCAAGCGCCCGCGCACCGCGAAGCCGCGCCGCCAGCGCATCTCCGACATCGAGCAGGAGGTCTCCAGGCAGATCGCGGACCGGTTCGGGATCCGGGGCGGGGACGCGGCGGCGGGCGACGGCGACGGCGGCGCGGCGAAGCCCCGGCGGGCGAAGAAGAAGAAGGGCAGGGCTGCTGCTGCCGCGGGGGGGAGGGCGGGGAGGGCGGCCGCTGCTGCGGGGGCGCTGGGCCCGCTGGAGGCGCAGCACGCGCAGCTGGCGGCGCAGCTGGCGGCGATGCCGGCGGGGCGCGGCGCGGGCGAGGGCGGCGGTGCGGGGCAGGAGCAGCTGGTGGGGATCATGGTGGCGTTGGTGGAGCAGGTGGACAAGCTGAGCCTGCAGATGCAGGGGATCATGGAGGACGTCAAGTCGATCCGGGGGCGCGCGAAGGGGCCGCGCAGGGGCGGGGCGAGCCGCGGGGGGTTTGGCGCCGCGTCCGTCGAGGCGCTGGGGGAGGTGTGTTAGGGCGCTTCTTTGGGGGCTGTGACGCGGCTGGTGTGCGCGGTGGGAGCGTGGTGGACGAGGGGGGAGTGGGCGCTCGCACGAGCGCAGATGTCTACGAGCGCGAGCCGCATTGCGACGACGATGATGCAGGGAGCGCGCGTCGGGGTCGGGAGGAGGGGGGCTGGGGGCGCGGTGGTGGTGGGCGGTCGTTCTCGATCGATCGCGGCCAGGGCGACGAACACCAAGTGGATGGACTACAAGCCGTTCATGCGCAAGCTCGGCGACAGCGAGCTCCTCGTCCCAGGTGAGGCGCACGGTCGAGGGCCCGGCGTGCCCACACCATCCCGGGGCGCGCGCCCGCCGTGCGGGGGCGCCGTGGCCGCCGACCGACGACGTGTGCCGCAAGGCTCGACAGCACGCGGGTCGGAACGATCGACGGCCGCGTGAACCGAGGCGCGGGGGCGCCGCACGGCGGCCCCCATCCTGCTCTCTCTCGTGCTGCCCGCGCGCCGCCCGGTCCTCGATGGGGACTCGGGAGCGGAGGACGCGTGCGCGGAAGCTTCGACCTCGTGCCGACATGCCATCGCGGCACGCGCGAGCTCAGCTCTCAGCGCTGCCTCGAAGCACGAAGTCGTCCCGTTTGCCGCGCAGACATCTGCCTGGGCACCATGACGTGGGGCGTTCAGAACACGGAGGAGGAGGCGCACGAGCAGCTGAGCTTCGCCCTGGACTGCGGGATCAACTTCCTGGACACCGCGGAGATGTACCCGGTGCCGCCCACCGAGGACACGCAGGTGCGCGCGCGCCCCGCACGCACGCACGCGCGCGCGCGCCGCCGTCGGCGCGGGGCCGCGCCGGCCGACGCGCTCGGGAGCCCCGCCGTCGCCGCGCACGCGCAGGGGCGGACGGACCGGTACATCGCGACGTGGCTCAAGGACCAGGCGCGCGACAAGATCACGCTGGCGACCAAGGTCTCGGGGTACAGCGACAAGGCCTACCTGCGCGACGGCGCGGACAAGACGCGCGTGGACCGCGCGAACATCCTCGAGTCGGTGGACAAGTCCCTCGCGCGGCTCGGCACGGACTACGTCGACCTCCTCCAGATCCACTGGCCCGACCGGTACGTGCCGCTGTTCGGGCAGGCCGGGTACGACCCGTCGCAGGAGCGCGAGGCGGTGCCGTTCGAGGAGCAGCTGCGCGCGCTGGAGGAGGTGGTCCGGGCCGGCAAGGTGCGGTACATCGGCGTGTCGAACGAGACGACGTTTGGCGTGTGCAAGTTCGCCGAGCTCGCCGCCGCGCACTCGCTCCCGAAGATCGTCTCCATCCAGAACGTCTACCACCTCATGGCGCGCGGGGCGTTCGAGACGGACCTCGCGGAGGCCTGCGCGCCGTCCAACTACAACGTGGGCCTGCTGGCGTACTCGCCGCTGGCCGGCGGCGCGCTGAGCGGCAAGTACCTGGCGGCGGACCCGCCGAAGGACTCGCGGCTCAACCTCTTCCCGGGCTTCATGGAGCGGTACAAGGCCTCGCACGCCGCGAGGGCCACGGCCAAGTACGTCGAGGTGGCGCAGAAGCACGGCGTGACGCCGACGGAGCTGGCGCTGGCGTACGTGAAGAGCCGCTGGTTCGTCGCCAGCAGCATCATCGGCGCGACCAAGATGGACCAGCTCAAGGAGGACATCGGCGCGTTCACCGTCGAGCTGCCGGACGAGTGCCTCGCCGACGTCGAGGCCGTGCACCTCGACTTCACGGACCCGTCCATGCGCGCGTAGCGTAGCGTGGGCGGTTGGTGTGGCGTTGGTGTGCGTGTGCGTGTGCGGGGCGCGTGCGTGAAGGACACGTGGGGTCGGTTTTGGATGTAAGTGTGGGTGGCGGCGGCTCCAGTGTGTCTGGCCTGTTGGGCGCGGCGCGCGTTGTTTCACGGGCGCCGACTGTCGCGGCGTCGGGCTGCGCGCGCGGCATCCTCGTTACGTGATTGTTTCTGCTGCAGATTGTGCAAACCGCGAAGCCTACATTGCAAACTACAAATTCTGTTCTGACGTTGCTGTATTTGCCCGGATGCATCATGCACAGCCACAATGCTCGCTTAGCTCAGTCGGTAGAGCGACAGGCTGTTAACCTGCAGGTCAGCGGTTCGAATCCGCTAGTGAGCGCCAGACCTTTTTGCGTGTTCCTGGGGCGACAGCGCATCCGTTGACGGGCCGGGAGGCGGTCCAGGGGCCCTAAGCACAACTCCAGGGCCCCGGAGGCGTTTCGCCGACCATACGGCCTTCATTTTGCCCGCCACGCGGCGATTTCGGAAAACATGCGTCGCGAGGCACCTGCACCGCTGATCAGCGCCGCGAACCACGCGACGTGGGGCTGCTGCGGACCCCAACACCTGTTCGCTGCCCCCGCGCTGCCGCGCGACATCCGCAGGCCCAAGCGCGGTTCCCACCACCGCACACGAACGTTTGTCCATGTCACGACGTGATGCACGGACGGAACCCGCCTCGGAATGGCGGCGGGCGCGGCACCACTCGGCAGGACGTGCAGCTGGGCATTCGCGTCCGCCGCGGAGCCGCTCGCCGCGTTACCGGCAGACTGGCGCGCCGCTCGCTTATGGATGGAGCACCGCGGGCCTGGGCGCAACGCCGAGCTGCGACGATGCACGGCACGCAGCGGACCGGTGCTGCCAGTGCTGCGCAGGAAGGTCGAGATTCGCGCTCACGCAACGACTGAAAGCACACCAGTTTGCAAGGCTGGGACGAGGACGCGCAGATACTGAACTGTGCAGCGCGAGGGCGGCGCGACGAGGTCGCTGGCCGTGCCCACGACGTGGCACGTGCAACGCCTCCTCCAGGCCGGTGGACAGAGGCCCCACGCCCCCGAAACAGGCGCCAAGGGACAGCGCTCCAGCAACCTCCGCTGCATTCGCGGCCATGGGGGCAGCCTGCGACATGGCGCCCCCCGCGACGGGGCCGGCCAGGCTGCTACGCAGTCCCACCAGCGGGCGCGCGCAGGGCCTGCGTGCCGCGCGTGACCCCGGCTGCACACCAGTCCCGTGCGGGAAGCAGCCGCCGCCAGGTTCGGGTCCCGCACCAGCGCCCCGCCCTGGCGCGCTGCAGCAGGCGACCGCGTGTGTTTGTATGCGTCCGCCGCGGCTGGCCGACAGCCCCGCTCTCGCCGTTCTCCGACAGAACAACATGCATGTACTGTTCGTAACTTGTCCGCAGGCAGGAAGCGCGCCGTGCGCCCGCGCACGCTCCGCAGTGGCGACGTGCAGCCCCTTGTTGTCGGCCCCCGGCGCCCACAGGACCCGCACGATCGCGAACGGGGCCTCTTGCTGCGCAGGATGTGAGCGAGGTCGAGATTCGCGACCGCGCGCGTCTCCAGAGACCGCCTCCGGGCGGATGTGCGTCGAAGAGGCACATGTCGACGCAGGTGGGCGTACGTGCTGCGCGCGGCGGGGTCGTCCGGGCGCTGCGTGCCGGGCGTGCCGCCTCGCCGCGCAGCCCCGGCCGCGGGCGGGCGGAGAACGGCCGCTGGTGGCATGCTGCGGGCGTTGTGTTTTGTTCTCGCGTTGCCGCCCCAGCGAACGCGCCATCTCCGCCCGTCCGAGCCGCAGCGCTGCGGGCGGCGGGCACGCGGTCGAGGGTCGAGCTGCGGCGGCCGCGGAGCTGAAGCCACCGCGGCACGGTCGCGCGGCCCTCCCGCGACGTCGCGGTGGACGACTTGAGCGTCGCGCGCCCAAGGCCACGCAAAGAAGGGGCCCGCGCGCCGCCGCGGCCTGCCGATCCCCCCTTGCGGGTGGGCGCGTGGCGGCCCGCGCGACGCAACGAGCACCCCGCGCGCACGTCAACAACAACAACAACAATGACAACAACACGTGTTCGAACGTGGGGGCATCGAACCGCCTCCACGGCTTGCGTCGCGGCGGACGACGCGTCGGCCGGGTCGGGCGCTCGACTCCGGTCCGTCACCCCAGGCGCGCCGCGGCCGCGCGCCCCCCGCGGCCTGCCGGGTCACATCGAACGCCAGCGAGACCCCCCCCCCGGCGCCGGCGGTCGGGATCGCGCGCGCGACGTTGCGGCGCGGAGCGCAGGCGGCCGGATAGACTGCGTTTCGTCTTTCGCGGGACCGATCGGGCCAATCTTCGTACTCTCCGTCCGTGGAACGGAGGAGCAACCACAGCCCCAGGTGAGCGACTTGCGCAGCAGGCCCGCGAGGCAGCCGCACCGCGCCACCCGGCCCGCCAACCGCGAGAGATAATTGTGCGGCGTCCATGCGCGCGCGCGCGGGACCACCAGCGCGCCCCGCGCCCCCGCGCCGCGGTCGACCATCGTCCCCATCGAACCCACGCTCGTGCTTCCCCGGGCGCCCGCCCGCGGCCCTGATCCCGCGTGTTCCCGCTCCTTGCATCGCGACGTATGTCCCGACCGCGCCGTTCCCCCCGCGCGCGGCAGACGGCGCCGCCGCGCCCCGCGATCTTGCGCGAGGTGACCCGCAACGCGAGAGGCGCGCTCCGCGGCGCCGGGCGCGCGGTGGCGCTCCCCCGGGCGTGCGAGCGACCGACGTACATCGATCGCGCGCGCCGCCGACCGACCCACGACCGACCGACGGCCCCCGCTCACCGCCGACGCAGGTGCACGTTGTCAGCCGCCGCTGACGGACCCGCGCGATGCAGTCGAGCTCCGGGGACAGCGGCCCTCCGAGGAGGAGGACGCCGCGGCGCCGCACCCTCCCGCAGATCCCGGCGGCGTCGCGGGGCAGCGGCCGGGGGGAGAGCACGGCTGCGGAAACCGGTGCGTCGGTCCGCGGCGGGATGCGCGGGCGGCGCGGGAGGGGCCGCGGCGGCGGCACCGGCGGGGAGATCGACTGGCGCGACCCGTCGACGCTGCGGAATCCACCGGTAGAAGCGGCCCTGCTCGCGCGTCAGTTGTACAGACTGGAGCGCACTCGCGACGAGACCGCGGGCGCAGCCGAGGTGCGTCGCGCCGCCGTGTGGTCGCTCGCGCTGATTGCCGCCGCCGTCTGCCTCTCCACAACCGCGGTACCGGACGCGCTGTCCCACCGGCGCGGGTCGCTGCGCCCACGACGCGCTCGCAGGCGGAGCAGCAGACACGAGAGAAGCGCAAGCGGGGCGCGGAGAAGGCAGCCGACGCCTTGGGAAGGTCCCCGGGAAGGTCCAAGTCGCGCAAGGTACGCGACTGCGCACGCCCCCAGCCGCGGGCCAGAGCCCCACAACAACAACTCTGCACCACCGTGCAATCACGGGGGGCGTGCAAGGCGAGACGCGGCATCCCTCGTCGCGGTCCCGTGCAGGTCGACGACGCGCCGGTGTGCGGGGGCGGCGGGGGCTGCGGGGGCTGCGGCTGTGGCTGTAGCGGCGCCGCGACGGGCGCGGACGCGGCGTGCGCCTCGGGGAGCGCGGCGGTCGCGATGGACGAGGACGACGACGGCAGATCCGAGTCGGGACGTTCGGCCTGCAGCGACTGGAAGCCCGGTGACGACGACGCGGCGGAAGATGTCTGCGAAGACCTCCTCGACCTCCTCGACGACGACGACCTCGACGACGGCGACCTCGAGGAGGAGATCGAGATCAGGGAGACGGCTCTCGAGGTCGCACGGGATCCGGCGGCGGTGCGCGCCGGCGAGGCGTGGGGGGCGAAGCAGCGTCAGCACTTGCGTCAGCACTGCGCCACGATGTCGGACGGGGAGAGGAAGCTGGCGCACCAGAAGATCGACCTGGCGGTGCGGGTCGCGCCGCTCAAGTACGGGACCTCCTTCGCGTCCGACGTGGCCAAGGGGCGGCTCGAGGGCCTCAAGGACCTCCCGCCTCGCGGGGAGCTGGCCCGCCTCTGCGTGCCGGTGATCGCGCGCGAGATCTACGAGCAGTTGTACCTCGCGGTCCCGGCCGGCTCCGAGCCCACGGCGAGGAAGGAGTGGTGCGTCCCGTGCGTCCACTCCTCCGCGCCCCTCGCTCTCGAGGCGCCGTGGGACAGCGGGTCGCTGTACGCGACCCTGGAGAGGCTCGACGCCGAGTCGCACGTGGAGGCCTTCTTGCGACACGACCGCGACGGGGGCGTCCGGGCGTTCGGGTTCGCCGCATTCGAGCTCAACGTGCTGCAGGGGCAGTCGACCGCGAACTTCACGGACGCCGGGGGCACCGCCGAGTACCTCTTCCTGTCGTCGCCGCCGCGGGAGCTCGCGGAGTACATCCGCGCGCAATTAAACCCCTACTACGTCCTCTGCCAGGAGAGGCCGGAGCTGCGCCGCGTGATCAAGTGCGTGCCCCCCTCCGCGCTCACGCCGCTGTGCAGACCCCGCGCGTGCCCCGTCCGCGCCACACAGCCCCTCTGACCTGTCACCGTGCCCCCGCCCCGCTGCTCGCAGGTTCACCATGCTGCGGCATCTCAGGAATTCGTACCACATCGATCGGAGGCGCCTCAAGCGCCCCAGGAGCGTCCTCGCGCGGGCCAAAGCGGCGCTCGGGGCACGGTTCCGCGATCCGGAGCCACCGTCTCCGCAGCACGTCGACAGGCTCGTCCGCGCCCTGGTCGACAGGCCCCATGGCTGGCTCTGCCCTGGCTCGCCAGACGGCATCGCCCCGGTCGTGATGCATCCGCCCGGCTCGCACGGCAAGCTGGGGTACTCCGCCCCCGGCGCGCAGTACGTCGCGAGCCTGGACGCCACGGACTCGGGAGGCGTGCACTCCTCTGAAAACACCCAGTACATGAGCCGCGCGTTCAACCTGGCGTTCAAGAACTGGATCGCCATGGTTGACGGCGTCAAGGCGCTGGCCGTGCTCGCTGGGTGGTTCGTGGCGCGCGACCGGCTCCCCGCGGACATGTACGCGCGCCTGTTCCCGGCCGGGGGCAGCGCGCAGGCGGTCGTGCTGGCGGGGCCCCTCGCGGTGCCCAGTTCAGGCGAAGACGTGCCGGACCCGAAAGACATCTCCCTCCCCATCCCCCCGCCCAGCCCCCCCACCCCCGGCCCCTTTGGCGACCTTGTCCCCATGCCCCGCCTCCCAAAGTTCACGGAAGCGCAGGGCCGCCTGCTGTACTGCCAGATGCTGGCCCTGATTCGTTGCGGACTCGAGCAGTGCAACAACCAGCTGCAACGACAGCTTTTGGTGTCGCAGTACCTCGACGACGAGTCGACGTTCTGCCCGCACAGCCCCCACTGCGTGGTGAACGTACCGCACGGGCCTTGGCAGTGCGCTCTGCTCGCCGTCGTCCCCGCCAGCCAGGAGGCGCTCAAAGAGAGGCGCAAGCAGCAGAAGCGCTGCGTAGACTGCGGGAAGAAGCGCATCAAGCGCGTTTTCCGGGAGCGCGTCACAAAACGCGCACACGACGGCACGCGTGCGTTGGTCAAGGACGCGTCCGGTAACGACATCTGGCGCGACAGGGTCAGTCGCGAGGGCGGCCGCGGGCGCTGCAAGCTCTGTTATGAGCGGTGGTGGCGGGCGAAGAAGCTCAACCGTGAGCAGCCCGACGCGGCGCCGGACCATGGTCGGCACGGGTTCGAGGGGGAGCACAAGCACCGGGGCTGCCACCGCTCGGCTCGGTGCTTCCTGCCGATGAGCCTGGATGGCACGGTCGGGCACATGGTTTGCAACGAGGCCGAGGAGGACCTGATCTCTCCCGAAGAGTTCCAGAAACTGCGCGCGAAGTGGTGCTGTGCCAACGTCGCGAATGGATGCCCGCGCAGCACCTATGAGGGGGCCTTCCCTGGCGGACGCCCTTGCGCCGTTAAAATGATGCCGTGCGGCGACCATCGCCGCTGCAACCCGTGCTGGAAGGTGTGGAGCAACCCCAACTCGACACCCGATCGCAACATGCACGGGGTGAGGCCGGAGCCACACGGCAGCAAGTTGTTCCACCTGCCAACGTATCCCGAGCGCTCCCTCGCGTGGGGGGGGGGCGCTGACGGCGCGTCGGCCGGCTGCATCCAGGACGGCCGGTGCTGCACGTACGCGCCGGGGGGGTTCCATGAGAACCAGTGCGCGATTGAGGACTGTCTGCGCCCGGCCTCCCCCGAGGCCCTCCGCGCGCGCCGCGACGCGATCGTCGGCGACTTTGTGTGCGCGAAGTGCAAGCGCCCCGCCGTGGAGTGCCTCGAGGACGGCCTCCACTTCTACAAGAAGCTCGAGATCAAGTCGCAGCGGCTCTGCGAGCGCTGCAAGCACCCGCACAGGTACCCGGACCACTGAGCTCCGCCCGCGTCGATTGATGCCCTCGCCCTAGTTCCGCCGCGCAGATCCTCCGGACCGCTCCCCGCGGTGCGCTGTGAGCCGCCCTTGCACTTGACGGTAGCGCCTGCGTTCGTGCCTGCATGTCATACACACTGACTCTATTCGACACACACTGACAATGCGGGGATCGTTCAGGAAGCGCACAGCGTGCTGCGCGGAACTCTGAACAACCCCAGGCGACGACGGTCCTTTGTGCCTCGGTTGTTGCATCGGTCCAGCAGCACGTCCAGAGAGACCGACATGAGTCAGTGTGCCAGTCCGCCCGGGGGGTGTGTTCCCACGCTGCCACCGCACCGCCGTACGGGGGCACGGGTGCAGCAGGCCTTCGCAAACTTCCGTGTGTTCGAAGGGGGTCACGGGTGGAGTACGCGCCGAAGTGCTGGTCCACGTCCTAGACTGCTTGTACCAGGGGGTGTCGGCAGCCGGCTGGGTGACAGCGATGACTGACTCTGCGGCGTTGTCCGCGTTGCGTGGCGACGTGCCGACCGCTACTCAGCTCTCCTCCAGCCGTCTTAGCACACACTCCAAACAGCAGGAGATGCGCGTCACACACACGCACGCACGCACGTGCGTGCGGCACGTGCGGTACGTCGTCGTCGTTGCCAACGCGGGCGGGCGTGCGGGCGGGCGGGCGAGGTGCGCAGCGTGCGCGGGGCGAGGTCGCGGACGTCGGCGCTCCCTGCTCGAGGCTCTAGAAAGGACAAGGCACAGAAAAATGTCTCGAGCCGTCGGGGCGCGCGCCGGCCCCTTGCACCCTCGCACCCTCCTCCTCCTGTGTCGCCTCCCTCGCCTTCAGGCCTGCGCGCCGCCGCGTCCTCCGCCCCGTCCTCCGCGCCCCGCCCGCCGCCCTCGCGCCGCCCCGCCGCCCTCGCCGCGCCGCGCCCGCAGCGCCGCCCCGCCGCCGCGCCCGCCCTCGCCGCGCCCGCCGCCGCGCCCGAGGCGCTGGGCTCGATGGAGCTGTGCGCGCCGGGGCCACCTCGACCGCGCCCGCGGCGAGCGCGGCGGCCGTCACGGCCTGGTCCGCGAAGGCCACGATGGCGTGGTCGTTGCGCACGCTGACGTGCGTCGGCGCGCCGAACGCCGCGGAGAACGCGGCGCGCACGGCCGCCTCGTCGGCCCCGGCGGGGAGGTGCTTGACGAACACCGCCAGGGGGTCCTCCGCGGGCCTGCCCTCCACCGCGGGGGGCGCCGCGGCCGCGGGCGCGGGCTTGGCCGGCGCCGCGCGCCGCTGCGGGGCGGCGCGGGCGCCGACGCCACGTCCACGCCGGCGCCGCGCGCGGCAGGCCCCGCCCGCCCGCCATGGGCGGGCGGCGCCGCGGGCTCGGCGGGCGCCGCGGGCGCCTTGGCCGGCGCGGGCGCCTTGGCCGGCGCCTTCGCCTTGGCCGGCGCCGGGACGTCGACCGTCTCCGGCACCGGGACGGGCGCCGGGAAGGCCTCCCCCGCCGCGGCTGCGGCGGCGCCGCCGTTGGCCCGGGCGGGCTTCTCCTGCTGCTTCTCCGGCGCCGGCGCGGGCGCCGGCTGCGGCTTGGTGGCGAGGAACCGGATGATGCAGTCGGTCACGTCGCAGGCGGTGACCTGGGCGTCGGCGCGCAGCTTGATCACCACGGTGAGGAGGAACTCGCGCGGGGCGTGCGCGCCGGCGGCGTCGGGCCACTCCATGCGGCCGTGCACGTTGATCAGCACGCAGTCCTGCTGCGCGGACAGCGGGACGTTGTCCAGCGAGTACACGTTGACCTTGGAGCCCGCGGGGAGGTCGAGCTTGGCGAAGAGGTCGCCGATGGCGGCCGAGCCGCTGGCGAGCTCCTCGGCATCCTTCGCTCCCTTCGCGGGCGCGGCGGTGACGACCTTGAGCGACGCCGTGGGGTTGAAGTACTTGTACAGCTCGCTGGGGTCCTGGTGCGCCGTCGTCAGGAAGGCCTTGACGAAGTGCGACGCGTACGCGTGGGCCTGCGGCGACGGGGCGCGGCGCGGGGGCGGCGATCGGCCGGTGCGCGCGGCGGGGCGCGCCGCGCGGCCGGGGCGGTTTGGACGCCGGGCCGGACCAGGGGCTCCGGGCGGGCGCGCGGGGAACTCCGGGCGCATCGGCGGGCGCGGCGGCGAGGGCGGGATGTGGAGCGCGCGCGGGGCCTCGGGGCCGCGCAGGGCGGGGCGGGCGCCCGCAACGGACCGGGCGAGAGGGGAGAGGGGAGCGCTGGTGGCGCGGCGCCCGGGGGGGGTTCGCCGGGCGGGGGCGGCGATGCGGGCGCGAGGACGACATGGAAACCCGCCCGCGGGCGGGGCGCGCGGAGCGCTGGGCGGCCCCGCGCGCGCCCGGCGGGCGGGGCGAGCGGTGGGAGCTGCGTCGCGGGCCCCGACCGAGGGCCGCGCGCGCGGGGTGCGGGGGGCCCGGGCGGCATCCGTGCGATATGCTCCGCGTGACGCACCTGCGGCACCTGCGCCATGGTGTTCCGACCGCTGTGCCGAGGGGCGCCTGCCAGGCCGGTTGGAAGGGACCTGCGTGGGCCAGGGGGGGGAGGTTCCGATTCCGATTCGCGCGCCGCGGCGCGGTGGTCGAACGAGATACGCCAGGTAGCCATCGCGCGCGGGCCCCGGACCCCCGGGCGGGCGCCTTTGCGGGCTGGGCACGGGAACGACCCGCTACGCAGGGCGCGCCGAACCCACGCGCCGCCAGAGCTCGACGACCCGCGCCCCAGTCCACGTCTCCGCGGCCCGTTCGCGACGGGCGCGCCCGCGCGCGGGGAGCGCTGCGGCACCGGCCACGACGGGGGCGGGCACGCAGCGAGGCTCACCTGGCACGAGCGCCGACGCCTGAGTGATCCGATCCCAACTCCCACCTGTACCACACCGGCCGGAAGCGCCCGCCGGGGCCCCTCGAGCCCCGCGCGGCGCGCCCGCCGCGCCCCGGGGGCGTTGCACGAGCAGTCTGTCCCGCCGGCCCCGCCGCCTCGAGGGCCCTCCGCGCCGGCGCGCGCCCGCAATCGCATGCAGCCGCGCGCCCCGACCCACCGCCGCGGCCCCGGCGCCCCCAGCACCCGCGCGACACCCGCGCAGGACCGCCGTCCCCGCGCACCCCGGGCGCCCGTCGCGTCGCTCGCGCGGCGCCCCGCCCACGGACCGCCCCGCCGCGCGCGAGCCCCGCGGGGCCCCCACCGCAGGCCGCGCCCGGCCGGCCGACGTCGGCGCGGGCACGATGGAGTGCGAGGGCGAGATGTCCAAGGCCGCGCTCAAGCGCATCTGCAAGGAGGCGGGGGGCTTCAGCACGCCGAGCCTGAACGACAAGCTCTACGGGAACTACAAGGGCTTCACCGCCATCGCGAACCTCGAGGAGTACACCGGTGCGGGCCCACGCGGCGCGCGGACCCCGCGGCCCGGTGGCGCATGCGCCGCCGCTGCTGCTGCGCTCCGACGCCGCCCGCGCCCCGGGCCGGGACCCGCCCGTCCCCGCCCGCGCAGACGCTGCGCCGCTCGCCGGCCCGGCGACGCGTCCGGCGCGCCCGCACGCGCGGCGCCCCCGCGCGCGCACGCTCGTGTGGCATGCGCCGCTCCGCCCGCGCGGCCCGCGCACCGCGTGGCGGCCGCCCGACGCCGCGCCCGCGCCCGCGCCCGGTGCAGGTCTGAAGGCCGTGTTCCTCGAGGGCAACGCGCTGGACTCGCTCGAGGGCCTCCCCGCGCTCCCGGAGCTCAAGTGCCTGTACGCGCAGCAGAACTGCATCCACGACATCAGCGGCCTCGAGGGGTGCCCGCTCCTGGCGCACATCGACCTCTCGCGCAACCGCATCAAGGTGCGCGCGCGTCGCGTCGCGTGGCGTCGCGTGCACGGAGAGGGAGCCCCGCCCCCTGCCCCTCGGCTCCCCTGCTTCCCCCACGCCCGCCGCCCGCCGCCCGCGCGCCGCAGGTCGTGGAGAACCTGGACCACCTCGAGCAGCTCGCGACGCTCCAGCTCGCCGGGAACGACCTCACGGACAAGGCCTCGATCGCGCACCTGGCGCGCTGCAGCGCCGTCGAGACGCTCGACCTGTCGGACAACCGCATCGACGACCCCGCGGCGCTCGAGGTGCTGCAGAGCATGAAGCAGCTGCGCTGCCTGTACCTCAAGGGCAACCCGATCGTGTCGGCCACGCGCAACTACCGCAAGGCCGTCATCGCGGCGCTGCCCAACCTGTCCTACCTGGACGACCGCCCCGTGTTCGACCTGGAGCGGACGACCGCGGAGGCGTTCGCGGAGGGCGGGATCGAGGCCGAGCGCGAGGCGCGGCGGGCGTTCAAGGCCGCGGAGGACGAGCGCCACAAGCAGAACATGCAGCACATGTGGGACATCCGGGAGGTGCGGCGCGGACGGCGGCCGCGCGGGCTGCGATGCCGCGGTGCCGGCGCCGCGTGGTTGCCAGCGCCGCGTGGTTGCCAGCGCTGCATGGTTGCCGCCTGCGTGCGTGTGTGTGTGTTCGTTTGTGTGTGCGACGGACGCGCGGGCCGGTGCGGTGCAGGCGGCGTGGAAGAAGCGGCGGGAGGCGATGGGGCAGGACCCGGACGCCCCCGGGGACCCCGCGTTCGACGACCTCGACGACACCGAGTGGACCGAGCCCGAGGAGCCGCCGGAGCTCGTCGCGGCGCGCCGCAAGCTCGCCGCGTACACCGCGCGCCCGGGCGAGGAGGAGCCGCCCGAGCTCACCGCCGAGCGGACGCGCCTGGCCGCCGAGGGCCGCGCCGTGGTGGACGCGCAGTGGTCGGCGCTGGCGCCCGGCGACGAGAACGCACGGCGCACGGAGGGCGCCGCGGGCGTCGGGCGCGACGACCAGGGGTCCGGGGAGACGTCGCCGTCGTCCGGGCCGCGCGAGGGCGTCAAGGCGGAGGCGTCCGACCTGCCGGACCTGGAGCCGCTGTCCGTGCAGCCGTCCGAGGCCAGGGCGGCCGCGGGGGGCGACGCGCTGGACGGGCTGGACTAGACCGCGACGTGTGAGCCCCGCGTTGAAAGGTTCCGCGAGTCGTGTGCCTGGGCACCGTGCAACGCGCCTCAAGGGCGCTGTGCCGCGCGTGGGGACCTGGACCTCGGGCGTGCCTGGCACGACCAGACCCGCACAGCGTGCGAGGTCGCTGTGAGGGCCACCGGCGCACAGTTGCCGCCGTCGGGCGGGCCGGGGGACTCGGCACTCCCCCTCCCCCGGCATCCGACATGCCGGCGGCCGCGCGTCGAGGTGGGCCCGGCGGACACGCCGCGCGCGGCACTCGCGACGGCGTCGCAGCAACCTGGTGCAGGGCGCGAACCGCCGACAGCCCGCGCAGGGGCAACCAGCGCGCTCTCGGTGCGTGCACGCGCTGCCACGCCAGCGACGTTTCCGCGACCGGCCCGCTCCGAGGGCGGCACGCGACGGACGGACGCGCCGCGCGCAGATCCGCCCGCCCGAGCCCGCCTGAGCGCGCGGGTCCTCCCCGTCCGCGGCAGGGGGGCGCAGCGACGATGTCGATTCTGCACACGTCCGTCGTGGCCTCGCGGTCGCGCGCCGCGGCGCTGTCCTGCGTCGTCGGCGCTCCGACCATCCTCGCCGTCGCGCACCTCGACCGCAACCAGATCGGCCTGTACAACGGTGCGCGCGACCTCCCCCTCGCCCGCCACCACTGCCGCGGCCCGCGCGCCGCGTCCCGGCGTGGGTCCCGCCCGCCCGTGCCCCGGGACGCTCCCGCCGGCCGTTGCCCGTCGCCCGGCGTCGCCCCGCGCACCTCGCGCGCCCCGCCGGGCGCGTGCGCGGCCAGCGGCCCGGCCCCGCATGGGCTCCACCGCGTGTCGCTCCGCGCGGGCCCCGCGCGACGAGGCACGCCCGCTGCGTGCCGCCGGTGGCCTCCCCAGGCCCGCACCATGGCCGGGCCGCCGCGCGCCCGCCACGGCGGCCCCACGCGGCGTGGGGCCCTCCCACGAGCTCCCAGGCCCGGGCGCGTCGTCCTGGCGCGGCCCCGAGCACCGACCCCCCGCCCCGGCGCCTCTTCGCTGCAGAGGAGGGCGAGCCGTACATCCCGGGCAAGGAGTGCCCCATCTCGAACACCGTGGGCAAGCCCGCTGCACAGCTGGCGTGGAACCCCAAGCAGCAGGTCCTGGCGATCGCCTGGTGCGGCGGCGGCATCGCGCTCTGGTCCGACGACAGCCGTAAGCTCAAGGAGGACCGCACGGTCCACAGGTGCGTCCCTCGCGACCGCGGCAGACCCCGCCCGCCCCGTGCATGTGCGCAGGACCGTCGTTCAAACCGCCCGCGCCCCGCCGGCCGCCAACGCCCCCCCGCCGCCGCCGACCACGTAGCTCGCGACGCCCCGCGCCCCCTCGCTCCGCCGCGCCGGGCGCCCGCGCCCGCACGGCCGCCGGTAGCGCGCCCCCCCCCCAGTCTGGAGGCTCCCCGCCCCCGGGCGTCCGCCGCAGGGAGACGCACAAGGAGGAGGTGACGGTGATGCGGTGGTCGGACGACGGGGAGCGGCTGGTGACGGGCGACGTGAAGGGCAAGGTGGTGGTGTGGGAGGTGACGTCGAAGCAGGAGCCGCGGGTGCTGCAGGTGTACGAGGAGGGCGGGTCGCGGATCGACCTGATCCGCGTCGGGGACGTCGCGCAGTCCCCCGTCGACATCATCGCGACCGCGGGGGACCCCGAGGGCGCGCAGCCGAGCCTCCTGTTCTTCTACTCGGCGCAGTGGCCCGACGGGACGTGCACGCTGGTGGTGTGCAACGACGCCGGCAACCGCGTCGGCCTCCTCCGCCACGAGAGCCGCATCCTGCGCGTGTCGTTCCGCCCCGGGGCCGGCCACATCTGCCTCGTCGACGCCACGGGGAGGCTCACGCGCTGGAAGCCCGAGGCCGCGGGGTGGACGCCCGTGTCGCCGATCCGCCTCCCGGGCGCGCCGGCGGACACGAACGCGCGCTTCATCACGGCGTGGGCGGGCGAGGACCTCGTCGTGTCGACCAGCACCGCGCAGACCAGCGTCCGCATGTACAACGTGGCCACGCACGACAACTTCGTGCTGCCGATGCCGCACCTGGGCGCGCCGGGCGGCAGCGGGGACCCGCCCTTCACGTGCCTCGACTACCTCCCGCGCGCCCGCGCCGTCGCGGCCGCGACCAAGTCCGGCCACGTGCTGGTGTGGGCCCGGCGGCCGGCGGCGGCGGCGGCGGGGCGGGACGGCAAGGGCGGGAAGAAGGGCGCGGCGGTGAAGGGACCGGCGGGCGCGGCGCCGCAGCAGGAACACGCGTGGGAGCTGCTCAACGTGCACCTCGTCAAGGTGAGGCGCGACGCCTGCCGCCCCCCGCTCGTGCCCGCGGACGCCAGCCGCCGCGGGCGACGCCCGGCGACGACGTCGCGCGTCGTGCCGGACGGACGGGGGCGTGTCCGGGGAGCCGCAGCGTCCGTCCGCCGGCCGGAACTGGAACGGGGTCCCTGTTGCACCTCTGTCTGACGGGCCGACCCTGCCGTCCGACGGCCGCCCCGCTGCGTGCAGACCGCTGGGCAGGAGATCAAGGCGCTGGACTTCGGCGCGGGCGTCGAGCTGATGGCCGCGGTGACGGCGAGCGGCGTGCACGTGCTGCGGGAGGAGCGCGCGCAGTGCCGCCTGCGCGACGGCGTGGTGGCGGTGCAGACCGACGCGACGCACGTGGTGATCGACGCCGTCGACGGCGGGTACGCGATGTCCGTGGACGTCGGCATGGCCGTGCAGGGCGTCGACGTCACGCAGCAGCACCTCCTGGTGTGGAGCAAGAAGGCCGCCATCATCTACCAGCTCACGGGGCAGGGCCCGCAGCTCATCGGGCAGCTCCCGAGCAACTCGACGTCGATGACGCTGAACCGCGACACGCTGTACCGCGTCGGGGACCACCGCGTGGAGGCGTGCGCCCTCGACGGCACCGTGCGGCAGACGCTGGCGTTCGACGAGCCGCACGGGCCGCCGTCGGTGCTGTCCGTGGGCGGCGAGTCGAAGCAGGCGATGCTGGCGGTCGTGACGCGCCTGGGGTACCTGTCGATGTGGCGCGTGGGCGGGCGGGAGGCGCGCGAGGAGCTCAAGCCCCCGCGGCGGCTGGTGCACGACGGGGCGCGGCTGGGGCCGTGCGTGTCGGTGCGGATGAACTGCAAGGGCACGCTCGCGTCGCTGCTCGTGCGCAGCGCCGAGACGGGCCACCCCGAGCCCAGGCTGTACGTGTACGACGTCGAGGTCGACCACGTGCAGTGCTTCGACTTCGGGGCCAAGGGGCGGATGCCCGTGTCGCACACGTGGGACCTGCACGAGGACAAGCTCGTCGCGTGCGAGACGGTCCCGTGGTCGGCGGGGCAGAGCGGGCCCGTGGGCGCCGAGGGGGACGCCGCCGAGCACGTGGGCGACACGGAGGTCGCGACGCTGTTCGTGTCGGCGGACGCGGGGATCGTGCTGCAGGACGCGATGAAGATCGAGCAGAACTCGCTGCTCGTCGGCGTCGCCGCGCCCAAGCTGCACCTGCACGCCAAGAGCGCGCCGCCGCCGCGCGGGAGCCCCACCAGGGGCCCCGCGGGCCAGAGCGCGGACGGCAGCGAGGCGAACGGCACGGGCAAGCTGGTGCGGACGTCGTCGTCGATGGCGAACGCGCCGCGCGGGGCGCCGACGTCCGAGTGCCGCATGGTCGTGCAGCTGCTGCGGGACTTCCAGGCGCTGCAGAACATCGACGAGGAGACGGCGCGCACGCTGATCAAGTTCTCGTACTGCGTGGCCACGGGCGCGATGGACGCGGCGTACCGCGAGGCCAAGAAGATCCACGATGCGTCGGTGTGGGAGTCCATGGCGTACATGTGCATCCGGAACCGCCGGCTCGAGATGGCCGAGCACTGCCTGGGCAACATGGGCCACGCACAGGGCTCGCGCGCGCTCCGCGAGTCCGCGGTCATCGGCGACACGGACGCGCGCGTCGCGGTGGTGGCCATGCACCTGGGCCTGCTCGTGGACGCCGAGAACCTGCTCGAGTCGTCCAAGCAGTACAAGCAGCTCGCGGACCTCCTCCAGGCGAGCAACCAATGGCCGCGCGCGCTCGAGGTGGCCGGGGCGCACGACGCCGTGCACCTGCGCGACACGTGGTTCCACTACGCGCGCGCGTGCGAGCGCCACGGGAAGATCGAGGACGCGATCGTGGCGTACGAGCGCGCGGGCGTGCACGCGGACCAGGTCCCGCGCATGCTCCACGACCGCGGCCTCGAGACCCGCCTGGCGCAGTACTGCGAGGGCAGCAAGGACGTGGCGGTGACGCGGTGGTGGGCGCACCTGTGCGAGTCCCGCGGCGACCTCGTGCGCGCGATCGCCGCGTACGAGGCCGCGGGCGACCACCTGTCGATCGTCAAGCTGCGGTGCATGCAGGGCGACCTCGACGGCGCGGAGGCCGAGGTGAACAACGCGATGGACGCCGCGGCGGCGTTCCAGCTCGCGGTGCAGTACGAGGGCATGAGCCACGACGACCCCGCGCTCGTGGGGAACGCGATCAAGTACTTCGTCAAGGCCGGGAAGCCCGCGTACGCGGTGCGCCTGGCGCGCAAGTACGAGATGGACCAGGAGCTCTTCCAGCTCGCGCTGGACGCGCCGCGGCCGGACATGCTGGACGCGGCGGCGTACTTCGAGGAGAGGGGCGACCTGGACCGCGCGGTGACGCTGTTCCAGGCCGGCGGCGCGCAGGGCAAGGCGCTGGACCTGTGCTTCAAGCTCGGGCGGTACGACGCGCTGGAGCGGATCGCGAACGAGCTTGACACGAGCGCGGATCCGGGGCTCCTGCGGCGGTGCGCGCACTTCCTGCAGGAGCGCCAGCAGCCGGGCAAGGCGGCGCGGTTCATGGCCATGGCGCGCGACTACGAGGGTGCGCTGGCGGTGCTGGAGGCGGCGGACGACGCGGGCGTGCCGGTGGACATGACGGAGGAGCTCGCGGACGCGATGACGCCGGCGAAGGACGACGTCGCGGCGGCGGCGCGCGAGGCGATCCTGCGGCGCGTGGCCAAGGTCTGCAAGGGGCAGGGCCTGTTCCACGTGGCGTGCAAGAAGTACACGCAGGCGGGGGACCGGAAGCGCGGGATGAAGGCACTGCTCATGTCGGCGGACGTGGAGAAGATCATGTTCTTCGCCAGCGTGTCCCGCGACAGGGACGTGTACCGCATGGCCGCCAACTTCCTGCAGACGCAGGACTGGCGCAACAACGCGACGATCACCAAGAACATCATCGCCTTCTACACCAAGGCCAAGGACATGCGCGCGCTCGCCTCCTTCTACGAGTCCTGCGCGCAGATAGAGATCGACGAGTACCGCGACTACGCCAAGGCCCTCACCGCGATGCGCGACGCGCTGCGGTGCCTGCAGCGCGCGCAGGGCGGCGACGGGGGCGGCCCGCCGACGATGCGCGGCGACGACCTGGGCGTCTCCATCGTGTCGCTGCAGGACCGCGCGTCCATGGTGGAGCGCTACCTGCGCGCCCGCGCCACACTGTCGAGCGACGCGGGGCCCGACAACGGGGCCCCGGGGTCGCGCACGTCCGTGGACGACGCCGAGCGGATATGCCTCGGGCTGATCAACGAGGCCCCCGACGAGGTGTCGCCCGACGAGGCGTCGATCCGCGTCGGCGACGTGTTTGCGCTGCTGATCGAGCACAAGTACCGGCAGGGGGACATCGGGCAGTCGTACGCGCTGATCGAGCGCATGAAGGAGCGCGGACTCATCCTGACGCCGTACATGGACGCCGACGTGAGCGCCCGCGCCCCCGCAGCGCCTCGGGCGCACTCTGGACATGCACGCAGCCGCCATGCCTGCTGCAGCCCTTCACGCGCCGGCGCCGCGCGTGCAGACGACGTCCCGCGCGCACCTGGCCCGCTGCTTGCCCGACCGACCCCGCGCCGGCCCGTGTCGCACCCCCGCAGCTCGTCGAGGAGATCCATGGCGCCGTGGGAGCTGCCGCCCAGAGCCAGGACTTCAGTGCGTCCGGCGGGTACGACTCGGGCGTCGTCGACGACAGCGACGTCGACAACATCTCCCCGCAGCCGGCGGCGGCGCCCCGCGCGGGCAGCAACGCGTTCAGCCGCTACGACAGCGGGTTTGGTCAGACGGGCGGGGGCGACGACGACGGCAGCGTGGTGGAGGAGGAGGGCGACGAGGTGATGGACGAGGAGGACGAGGTGCCGCTGGAGGAGGGGCGCGGGTGGGGCGGGCCGGCGGTGGCGCGGTCGCCGTCGCCCGTGGCCATGGGGGGCACCTCGAGCCGGCGCATGATGACAGGGAGCCTGGCGGGCGGGGACGTGGACGAGGAGTCGGTCTCGGAGATGGACGAGAGCGTGGATGACGCGTAGGCGGGTTGTGATGGCGTGACGAGCGGCGGCGGGACAGAGGACGTCGCGTGGTTGTTGTACTTCGCTGATAGTTCTTCGCTGACCTACAAGCACCACCCTAGGTTTCAGGGCACTCGAGAGCATTTGACGTGGCACGAGATGAAAGCGTCACACCTGGGGAGATCATAGCGATACCGTGCTGGCGAGGGTAGTGGCAGGTGTGCAGGGCGAAAAAAGTCAAGACTGCATGCGAACAGAAGCACTCTATGGCTGTCGTTTCCTTCCTTCCCATTGCCGTCGTTAGGGCCTAGTGCGCCAGGCATCGCGCTGGCGAGTCCTCAGATCCCTTTCGAGATACGTGTTTCCTGCTTCTGTGAGTGTGGTGAGTCGTGTCCAAGTCGGGGGCTGCCATCCCCCGAGCCGCGCCCCGCTCCCGCGCGCTCTCACGCGCACAGCCTCAGCAGCGCGGCGAGCGACGTGATCCCGAACCGCTGCGGCGCGCGCGTCTCGAGCACGTCCTTCCCGCGCAGGTGCCCGCCCACCACGTACTCCTTGCCCATGCGGCCCTGGCACCACGCGATGACGCGGTCCATGCAGGGCGTCTCCACCGCGACGATCTCCGCGATACCCTTGGTCACGGCCAGGCCGAACGGGACGTCCTCGGACATGTAGCGCGCGCGCTCGTCCGGCAGCAGCTGCCCGGGGGCCACCTCGCGCATCGGGTGGCGGTAGCCGACGTAGGCGCGGTTGGTGGCGATGGAGGTCGCGAGGGTGCTCTTGTCGGCGATGTCGTTCTTGTACGCGCGCAGGACCCACTCGCGCACGTGGTGCACGTTGTGCAGGTCCAGGTGCGGCGCGGCCTGCTCGAGCGCGCGGCGCACGGCCATGACCTCGTTGGAGACGCCCGTGAGGACGTTGCCGGCGATGTCGCCGACGCCCTCGTAGAAGAGCGGGGGCTCGGCGAACGGCGTCTTCTGGTCCCACGCGTGCGGGCCGAAGCGGGCGTAGGTGATGCAGGGGTGCCACACCGAGTTGATGTTCATCAGCGTGGATTCGATGAACGTCGTGGCGTTCAGCTGCGGGTACGCATGCTCCGTCAGGGCCGTGCCCTTCTTCGTCGTCACCTGGCGCTGCGTGCCAATCTGCGACACACATGGAAGGGGGCAGTCGCAACGTGAGTGACGGCCCCGTCGCGACGCGCGGCAACTGATGCGACCGAGGGGGCGATGCAACCACGCACGACGGCCGCGCGACGCACGGGACCTAGCGCAACCACCACCGCTGTTGCTGCTGGCTGGCCCGGTGCGGCGTGCGCGGGCGCGCACCAGGTCGTTGATCATCTGCGCCACCTCGCGCCCGGCCGCGCGCGGGAACACGGAGATGTCCACGTCCTCCTTGACCCCGGAGATGCGCGCCTTGCGGCCGTACTCCACGATCTTGCACGCCCACGGGAGAGTCTCCATCGCGAAGATCGACAGCCTGGCGCCGTGCAGCATCGGGACGCTCGACACGTACGACAGCGCCTGCCAGTCGAAGCCCCCCTCGGCGACCATGCAGCCCACGTGCATGTCCTCGTGCAGGTGCGGCACCGCACGCTCCAGGTAGAGGCCGTGGAAGGGCGCGGGGACGGACAGGAGGAGGAGGTCCGTGGCCGGCAGGAGGTCCGCGGGGTCCGAGGACACCTTGGCCACGCGCCCGAGCGTGTCGGGCTTCCCGTCGGGGTGCTCAACAGCCACCATGCTGCAGGGGGATGTTGGCGATGAGCGGCGTGAGTCGCGCGAGCATGTGCCCGGGGGTGACGTGGCGGTGCGTGGGGCTCGCTGGGGGCGACGTGCGAGGTACGGGGTTGAGGGGCAGGTGTGTGCGTGCACGCCGTGCCACGGGGCGGGCGGTCGTGCAGCGCCGTTCGGCGGCGGATCGGGCGCGGCGCGCCGTGGCACACTGAGATGGATCTTAGGGGTCATGAGCGGGGGTTCGCGGCCGCTGTTTGCCGCTATTTCGCGGCAGAAGACGGGCCTGATGGTCATGCTGGGAGGAGCGGGACACGTGCAGGGGCGCACCCGCCGTTCGCCGCCAGCGCGGCGCGGAAGGCCTCGACTTCGTGGCTCAGGGTGTCCCAGAGCTGGACGGTGAAGTTGGGGTTGGAGCCGAGCAGGGCCAGGACGACGTGCGCGGCGTTCCCGCCCCCCGCAACAGTGATGGTCGCGCGCGTGTCCTTGCCGATCATGCGCGGCGCCGCCACGTGGTCTTGCTGCAACGTGAGATGAACGACGTGCGCACGTTGCGCCTCGAACGTCAAATGCGTCGCAGTACGCGCGGGACGCCGTGCACATTCAGTGGCAGCGAGGAAAGCGGGGCACGCACCACGAAGCGCTCGATCACCGACGAGTACTCCTCTGTTGCGTACGACAGACGAGGGTCTTCCTCCAGCGGGGAGATCAGCGTCCGCCTCGTCACCTCCGCGCGCGCCTGGACACGTTGACAGCAAGGCACACCATGAGAGGGGGTACGCCCGCACCGCTGCTGCGCGCGGGCCGTTGCCAGCCCGGCGCGAAACGTCGAGATCGAACTGATGCTTCAGCGGCAGGGAACACCTGGCCGGGAACAGGCGGGAGTGCGGCGGCAGGCGGCGAGCAAGGGAGGTAGTTGGGACAGCGTGTACGTTGGCAGCGCGGCACCGGCGCGCGGTACCAGGGGATTTTGTTCGCCGCTATTGCACGTCGATAAGCAAGAGAAGGCCGTCAAGGTCCGCGCGCTCTCTCTCAAGGCTCGACGCGCCGCGAACCGCGGCGAGTTGCTCGAGGTTTCGATCGCGCTCGTTCGACGCGGATCTGGCGGCCGGAGCAACAACACGGGGCGCGTTTCAGTCCCCACCTTCTCGCGGCTGAAGCTGTCGCTCGCGAGCGCGCTGACGCCCTCGACGTCGTCGTGCGGCCTGTTCATGGTGCAACTGCTGTGTTCCTGGGCCAGGTGCGACGCGACCCCGGCGAATCCGGGATCCGAATACAGCGGTACTGGTCGTTTTGACACGTCTCCGCGCCCGGGGGCGCTCTTCCGGCCCGCACATCGCACGCCGCGGCACTGACGCGCGGACAACCCCACCACGTGGCAGAGTGACTCAACACGTCCCCCTGCGCAATGCGGGCGGCGATCCCGCCGGTGCGACGATGCGCGAGGCCGCGGCTTTTGCGCTGCAGCGCACGCCATCGCCGCGCAGCGCTGCAATGCCGCCAGCTGCCGCGTGCACCACACTCGTGCATGCGCAGCGCCCCTGTTGCCGTGGAAAGAGATGACTCGCAGCAAGGCGAACGGCGGAGCCTGGTGGATGGCTGCGTCGGGGAAGCGGCGTCAGCAGCGCAAACGCTCGCCGCAGGGTGGGTGTTGAGCGAGCAGCACGAACGTACGGCGCCGTGGTCTCGAAGCGCGCGTCACACGGCGCGTTGCTGCACGCTCCCAGACGGCGCCCTCGATTCTGCATCGTCGGAGGCCGCGCCGGGCGCCAGCGTGCGAGTGTGTCATGGGAAAGACACCCCCGCCACCCGCGGGCACCGCGGCAGCAGAGACGCGTTGCGCCGCGGCATGCGTCCGCCGGCAACGGTCACGTCGCGCCTGCAGGCGTCCGCGCCGCGCCCCGCGCCCCGTGCGACGTGCCGCGAGGGAGCGCAGCTGCGCTGTGATGTCGGCGCGGCCCGCCGTCACTGGCTGGCCATGAAAGGGTCCTCGCCGAAGGGGTCCGACCCTGTGGTCGTGGTTCGCCGGTGCTCCGCGCGCGCCATGTCTCGCGGCTCGAACGCGGACGCGCGCGTCTCGTGGGGCGGCATGGAGGGCGCCTGGTGCGCGGCCGTCACCGCGGTCTCGCTGGCGGGCGTGGGGGACTCCGCCGCCATCCGCGCCGCCATCGCTGCCGCGGCGGCGGCCTCGCGCCCCTCGAGCGCGGCGGCGACCGCCTCCCCCGGCCACACGTCGCGCCCGTTGTGCAGCTCCTTCAACACCTCCGACAACGCCGCCTTGCAGATCTCGATGTCCGGCGCTGCAAGACGCACGAGAAAGCAAAACATGCAGGGTCACGGACGCGCCGGTGCGCGGGGCTCTGCGTGCACGCCGGGCGCGGCAGGTGAGTAGGGGTGTGTCCGCCGGCGTGGGCCGCACCTGCCATCCGCTTCATCCCCGAGTTCCCCATGATGTCGCCGATCTGCTCCGACAGCTCCTTCGTCACGCCCTCCGCGGTGTCCGTCACCGGGTCGAAGTCGAACTCCATCCGCACAGGCCCTGGGGGGGACCCGGGGGGGTCCCCGCGCACCGGGAGCTTCTGGATGCGCGCAATCATGTCGAACACCCCCGCCGACTCCTCCTCGCCGTCCGGCCCCGTCTCGGGCTCCTGCCGCTGCCGCCCGTAGAACCGGAACGTGAAGTCGATCCCCCGCACGTAGCCCTGCTCAAAGTCGATCGCCGTCGGCTCCCGCTCCCGCTCGGGGGGCGCCGGCTGCGTCGCGCCGCGCAGCGGGGGCGGGTGCTCCTCGCGCGCCCCGCCGCCGTCGTCGCGCCCCCGCTCCCCGTCGCGCCCATCGCCCGCGTCCGGCTCCGCGCCCTCCGTGCTCGTGGCGCGCGCGCCCGCCGTCTCCGCGACCGAGCCGTGCAGCGCCGACGACATGCCCGTCCGGCTGCGCTCGATCCCTTCGCCGTGGTCCCCCATCCGCGACAGGTGGTCGTGGCTGTCCGAGCCCGCAATGGCGCTGGACGACTCCACGCCGCGCAGGCTGGCCGTGCTCTGCCCGCCGTCGAGCGCGCGGACCTTGTCGAGGGCCTTCTTCCCGTCCGACCGGAACCACTCGAACTTGAGCAGCTCCGACGCGTACGGCCGCTCCTCCAGCGGCGCCATGCACGCGCGGATCACCGCCCGCGCGTCCGGGTCGTCGGTGCGCTCGAGGAGCCGCTCCCAGCCCTCGCACTCCTGCGGGCTGAGCTCCTCGTTCGCGACCAGCTCCAGCACGAGGAGCCCGAACGCGAAGATGTCCACGCGCGAGTCGTGCGGGCCCATGCCCGGCTGCTTCAGGCCCTCGGGCAGGCGCTTGCTCGGGTCGTAGCGCTTCGGGAGGAGCGTCGCGAGGCCGAGGTCGCCGATCTTGATCTCCCCGCGGTGCCCGTTGACGTACACCTTGTCGCACCGCAGGTCCCCGTGCACCACGGGGGGCTCCTGGGAGTGCAGGTACGCCAGCCCCTCGAGGATCTGCCGCGAGAAACGCTTCACCGTGCGCTCGCCCAGGTCCGGGTGCTTCTTGTGGAAGTTCCGCAGGTTGCCCGACGTGAACAGCTGCGGCACGGGGGGCGCGGCGGGCGGCGTCAGCGCCGACGCGGGCGGGCGCGGACGGGCGCGCGCGGGCGCGTGCGGACGCGTGCGGCGCGTGCGGGCGGCGCACCTCGGTGACGAAGTTGACCGAGTGGTCGTAGTCCGACACCCAGCACCGGTACATCTTGATGATGTTCTTGTGCGACAACCCCTTGCCCAGCCCCACCTCCTCCATGACGTTGTCCGTCTGCTCAGGCGTGAGCTCCACCTGCGGGCGTCGGCGGGCCGGGGCCGCGGTCGGCCGTGGCGGGGTGCGGCGGGGAGGGGCGGCCCCGTCGGCCGGCGCGGCGCGAGGGGCGCGGGCGGGCCCGCCGCGGGGGCGGCGCGAGGGGCGTAGATGCGCCGCGGGGTCGGGCAGCGGGGCGCGGCCTCTCGCGCGCGGGGGGCGGCGAGGCGGGGCGAGGGGCGGGCAGCGCTTGCCTGCTGGTAGTCGATCTTGTTCCACGCCACGTCGAGGCCCTTGTGCTCGTCGAACGCCTTCCAGACGCACTTGAACTTGCCGTGGCCGACCTCGTTGTTCGTCCTGCGGTCGTGGGGGGCGCAGCAGCGCGCGGGCGTGGGCGGAGGGCGGCGGGGCAGGCCGACGGTGGGCGTGCGGGCGCGCCCCTGGCCGCTCGCGAAGCGACGGCAGCGCGCTGCGTTGGGCGCCGTGCGTCGTCGGGGACGCCAGTGGCAGGGAGGGGCGGACGGCGGGGTCCGCGAGCGGGGGCAGCCGTGCATGGCTGCGCGCGCTGACACGGCCGCGCGCCTGGGACGCAGAGGGGGGGGCGCGCGGCGGGAGCGGTGCGTGTAGGTAGTCCGGGTCGAAATACTTGGCGTCGCGCGCGCGGCGCCGCGGTGCGGCCCGGGTGCCGCGTGCGGAGCACCAAAAGCGTCGGCAGTGTCCAGGCAGGAAAAGGGATCCCGCCCGGCCGCACCTGGCCCATCTGCCCGTCGGATCGCGCTCAACGATGCCGTCCTCGATGTCTCCGTTGCGCAAATGCCGCTTGCGCTGCTCCTCGCTGAAACCGTCGTCCGGGGGCGATTCAACAGCACCGTCCTGAGCCGACGCGTCGTGCGCCCCCGCGCCTGCATGCGGCGGCGCCGCGCCGTTGGGCATACTCATCCTCGAAACGAGCGTTGCTTCGTACGCTGCCAGGCCGACCGCGCGGGCGCTTTATAGCGGAGGCGCCCCGGCTTCGCCCCCCGACCGGGCTCAGACGCGCCGCTCCCGCGTACAGAAGAGGCGGGATCGCTTGCAGAGGAAAGATGAGTTCCTAAACTGGCCGGGAGCGACACATCCCGGCGGATCCCACACAAAGGGCCTGCAGTGGCTGCGCAAGATGACCACCCCGTTGCAGCGCCCAGTTCGGTCGCATTCGCGAACTCGACGGCTATCACCACTTCCGCGGAACGAACAGGATTTTCCAGAGGGATCGAGTTGTGCGCGTTGCGCATCGACTCGCACCCCCCTCTGCCGCCCCGGCGCGCCAAGCGCTGTCGGACTCCTGCCACCGGTGCTGGCCCGCCGCAGCGGCGTCACCGGCCCGCCAGCCCCGGCGCCGCCACGGCCGCGCACAGGCCGCACGGCCGTGCGCGAGGGCACACGGCGGGCCCCCCCTGCGCACGGCGGCTCGTTCCCCTGCCCAGCGGCGGCGCTGCACCCGTGCGCACCGCAGCGACCCGCGCGGGCCCCGACGCACCAGCGCTCGTGCGCCAGCCCAGCGGCGGCCGCGCCGGGACGGCAGGTTCGTTCGCGCGGGAATCACACGCCGCGTTCCGGCACGTCTCTGCTCGCGGCGACGTGGCACCCCAGGTCGCGGCTGCCTACAGACGGCGACCGCGGCGACCGCCCTTGCGGCGGGTGGAGTCCGTCGGGATGGGCGTGACGTCCTCGATGCGGCCGATCTTCATGCCGGCACGCGCGAGGGCGCGCAGGGCCGCCTGCGCCCCAGGACCAGGCGTCTTGGTGCGGTTGCCGCCCGTCGCGCGGAGCTTGATGTGCAGCGCGGTGATGCCCAGCTCCTTGCAGCGCGCGGCGACGTCCTGCACAGGTGCGCGGCGCAACGGTTGGGCCCGTGAGCGCGCCTGGCACCGTCGACGAGCAATGCAACACCGCGGCGCTGCGGGACGCCGCGAGCGGCCAGCGCGGCACGCCCGCGCGGGAAGGGCGCCGCCGCTCGCAGCCTGCGCTGGCTGCGGAGGCCGGTGCGGCGGCGGCGGAGACGCGGGCGGTGCAGCGGCGCGGGCACAGGGGGGCGGGCCGCACCTGCGCGGCAAGCATGGCGGCGTAGGGCGAAGACTCGTCGCGGTCGGCCTTGACCTTCATGCCGCCCGTGACGCGGACCATGGTTTCCTTGCCCGACAGATCCGTGACGTGCACGAACGTGTCGTTGAACGACGCGAAGATGTGGGCCACGCCGAAGACGTTCTCGCCGTCACGGACCAGAGGACCCAGGGTCTTCGCCTCCTCCGCCTGCGAAGCGCACGGGGGCGGCGGGCCGGCGCGGGAGCGGTCGGCAGAGGGCGCAAAGAGGGGCTCCGGCAGGAGGGGGACGCTGCCGCGCTTGGCCGCGAGGGGCTCCGCAGATATCACGCACGCCGAGGGATGGCGGTCGAGCGCTGGCTCGCGTCCGCCGCGCGAGAGCGGCGGCGGGGACCGCGAGGGGTGGGGGCGCTGCGCGCAGCCCCTCCGCAGCGAGGAGGAGGTGCGGCGGGCCGCCACGTTGCGCGCGAAAAAGGGTCGCAGGGCAGCGCGCGCCGTGGGAGCCGATTGGCACGTTCGAGAGGACGAGTGCGGCCGGCGGCGGGGAGGCGCGCGAGCTCGGCCGGCAGCAGCGCCGACCGACTCACGCCGCCCCGGGATCAGCCCGCATTCCCGCTGCCCCTGGTGCAGGCGGGCAGACTGTGCGACGTTTTGAGGACGAGGTCCGCCGCACAGCTCTGGTCGCGGTCACTCACCGGAGCGGCAGCCTTCTTCTTGGGAGCCATTGCGCTTCTGGTGGTAAGGCAGGGGGCCGAGGCTGCCTCCTTACCGCGACGACACACACGGACACGCACCGAGGGTCGTTGAGAAGGGCGAGCGTGCGCGCTGCCGCCCGGCATTGTGCCGCACGGCCGCGCCCTCTAGTCTGTCTGGTCCGACACGACAAACGCGCCCTGCTTTGACGTCGCAACGCTACATCAGGCGCACGAGGCTTCCATCGAAGCCACTGACTGCGCATGGTGTGCGCTGACGGAGCGCTGGATCGAGGGTCGGCAGCGCCTTGCACCTCGAACCCTTGTGCACTCAACCACGAAGATGACCCTTCGATCGAAGGTTTCAAACCTGCTGGGCCTCTCCGGGAACGGGCTGTACGCGTGGGCGGTCGCCGGGGTGGGCGCGTACGTGGTGCGTCCCTGGAACGCCGGACACTGCACTGTGCTCGTGTGAGGGCAAAACACGGCCGTTGCGCCGCGCGCGCGCCAGTATAGGATCGTGTCCGCTCACGCTCGCGCCACATCGCACGGAACTATCGATGTGGTGGCAGCTTCACGGTCTCGCCGGCCCTCCGCGACCGTCACGCGCAGTTCTTCTACCTGCCGGAGAAGCGGAGGGAGAAGGAGGAGGAGGAGATGCGGAGGATGCTCGAGGGACGGTATCGCAACAAGAAGCCCCGCGACTGAGGACCGGAGACCTCCGCGGCGAGGCTCTCCGATCCGGCTCGCTGCGTGCTGACGGAGCAGCTGGGACCCGCCCCGGAACCGCCCCAGACGTCGCGGACGCGGGCGGCAGCCGCCGCGTTGCCCCCGACCAGAAGCAGGGCGCCTCACGCGCGCCTCTGGGTCGGCTTTCGTGGCTGCGTGCTGTTTGGCGGGACAGTGCGACTTGGCAGTGTCAGCGCCGCCACAGAGGCCGACACGGCGCACGGATCGCAGCGATGGGGCAGCCTCGTGCCGTTCCAATACGCTCGTCTCGGACCTCGACGCGCACGTCGTGCCATACGACAACTGCAACATCGCACAAGTGCGCAGTCGCCACACGCGCACCTCACAGTCTGACCATGGAACAACCACGACAGCAGCGCCTCTGCCCTAGTTGGCGTGGTCGGCAACACGCGCGGGAGACGCTCAGGCTGGCATGTGAGAGAGAACCGGCGGACACGCCGCGACGGTGTGCGAGAGGAGTAGTTCTTCGCGAGAGGAGTGCCAGGGTGCGCCGCAGTCGCAAATGCAGCCGCCGACGCGCGCCCGACGCCGCATAACGAGCATGAGCATCGCAGGCACCGCGACGCCTTCTCATAGAGTAGTAATTGACCACCTCATGCAGGGGCGGTTTCTCACACCCACTTGGTTGCCACGTGGCCAGTGACGATGCTCATCGCTCGGCCGTGGGGCAGGGAGGCCCGGGGGGCACTCCCCGGTCGAGAAATCACCAGGTGCTAGAGCTAGAGGGGCGGCCCGATCGCAGCAGGCGTTTGGATTGAGCCGGGGACTGCGTTGCCAGCATGCCATGGCAGGGTGCAGCTTCGAGCGAGGGACCCCGTCGGGCGCGGCTGCGCGATCGTGCGCGCAGTATCCCGCAAGAGTCCTTAGGCTGTCAACGACAACGCAGGGTGGGTGTTATGGGCGGCAATGCGCGAAAGAAAGAGTCCTAGCTCAGAGTGTCACTACTTGTCATCTTGAAGCCGAGCGGGAGGGGTCCCGCGTGCTGGCAAGCGGACGCAGGGTACGTGGGAGTGAAGCTACGTTCCAGGCGAACGTAGGGGGTGGCGTGCGCCGCTGCCAAAGTGCGGCGCGTCAATTGGGGGGGTCGAGGGGGGGCGCGGTGCTCCTCGGAGGCGAGGCCGGCCTCCTCAAGGGCCGCGCAAAGGCTGCTCCGCTCGAAGGTCGCGGCCGCCTACAAGCCGCCGCCCGCCCTCGAGCGTCCGATGTCCGCAGAGGCATGTGTGTCGCGGCAACACGTCCCGCGCTCAGATCTCAATGACGAAGCGCAGGATGTCGGACAGCGTCACGACGCCCAGCAGCTTGAGGTCGTCGTCCACGACGTACGTCCTGTGCAGCCGCGCGCGCAGGAGCCGCCCCATGACCTCCTGCACGGAGTGATGCGGCCTCACCACGACGAGCGACTGCCCGACCAGCGACCCGGGCGGCGACTTGATCGCCGCGGCCGTCGGCGACGTCGGCGTCTCGTCCCTCTGCGCACCACGCGGCACGAACGCACGCACAAGCTCAGCGGCACAACGCAGGCTGCACACCGCGCTGCTCCCCCCGCGCTGCGCGCACAAGCACGAACACGCGCACGCAGACACCTGCTCGCGCGGCGGGGCCCTCACCTGGCGCGTCTGGTTCTTCGCGGCGCGGATGCACAGCTCGCGCTGCAGCCACGCCGCCTGCGACGACGCCTTCCCAGGGGCCCTCAGCGGCGCCGGGACGTGCTCGGCGCCGGACCCGGCGGGCTCCGGGGCGCGCGGCTTGCGCATGTCCGGCGAGGCGGGCGGGCTGGGCCCCCTGGCGTACCCCAGGTAGGTGGCCGAGTGCTCCAGGGCGAGGAACTCCCCCACGGGGAGTGCCAGGGCGCCAAAGTGCTCCGGCGTGATGCAGCGGAAGTCCGACATGGAGATGTTGCCGAGGAGGAGGCCCTGCTCGTCCACGACGGGCAGCCCCGCGAGCCCCAGGCGGTTCATCTTGGACAGCGCGTCGAGCGTGAGCGTCTCCGGCGTGATCTTCACGATCAGGTCGCGCCGGGACTCGCGCACCCACCCGGCCTCCCCGACTGCAAGCGGCGCGGCGGGGGCGGGACGCGAGGTGGGGCGCGATGTGACTGTGGGACGGGGATGTGTCAGAAGGTGGGGATGTGTCTGTGTGGCGCGCGGGGGGAAGGGAAGGGCGGGGGGGGGCACCTGTCATGCGTGCGATGGGTCCGAGCTGCCGCATGTTCTCGTGCAGGAAGCGCACGACGTCGGTCTGGCTGATGACGGCCTGGACGACCCCGGAGGTGTTGAACACCCCGACGCGGTGGACGCAGCGCGCCGGAGTGTGCATCGAGCCGCGCATCGACTGCGAGGCTGCCGGGAGGGCGCGCGAGCCCGCCTTGGCGGGCGGGCACGCCGCGGTCGCGCTGCCGTCGCGCGAGGGCAGCGACGACGTGCGGCCGTCGTCCGCCGCCTCGCTCGCGCTGCCCGTGTTGCGCTGCGTGCGCGCCGACGGGTCCGTCGAGCCGTCCGCGGACGACCGCCCGCGCACGCCGAGCGGCGCCCCGGGGACGGACTGCGTCTTCCCGCTCGACGCCTCGCCCTCATACTCGCCCTCCCCCGAGCGCCTCGGGTGCATGAACCCGTCGTGGACGAGCTCCCACAGCGTGCAGCGCTCGGCGATGCCCTGGAAGAGCAGGTCGCCGTCCTTGCCGATGCTCGGGAGGTCCTTCAGCAGCGTGTGCGAGAACAGGCTCCCTGCGCGGTGACGCGGGCGGGGCGGTGCGGCGTGTGGCGGCCGTCTCCTGGGGGCCGGGGGCGGGAAACGGCATGGAGCCCACGCGGGGGTGCGGCCTGGGCAGGGCGCGGGCGCGTTGCTGCGCGGGAGCGGCGCGGCGGCGGGTGGGTAGCTCCAAGTAGTTGGCAGGTTCCGCCGCCCTCGCGCGCTGCGGGGGGGGAGTGCGGGACCCTCGGGCGCGGCGAAGGGTGGGGTGTGCGCGCCTTTGGACTCGAGGATGGACATTTTCTTGAGCATGGGCATGTCGGCGTCGAACCCGTCGCCGTCTTGAATGAAGGCCATGAAGCCAGCGAGGATGTCGTGCAAGTCGACGAATCCCAGGGGCTCCATGAGCTCCCCCTCCTCCTCCGCGTGCTTGGCGTACACGGGGACGGAGAGGATGCGGTGCAGGGCCATGGTCTGCGCGGGCGGGTCGGGAGCGCGGCGGTGGGCGGCCGTGAGTGACGTGCGGGGCGGCGGTTGCCGAAAGTTCCTGGTCCCGCGGACTGGCCGACGGCTGGAAATACTCGACCGCCGGCGCGGGACATTGGCGTGGCGTCGTGCGTGCATTCGGGGGCGCAGCGCGGACGGGCGCGCGCCGTCGGCGCAGACACGCGCGCGGAGCCCTGGACCTGTCGCCGCAGCCGTGGCAAGCGCGCAAGCGGCCAGCGCGGCGGCTCATTGCCGCCGCGGTTCCCCCGGGTCGTCACCTTCATGGTGTGCGAGATGGTGGCGTGGTCCGGGAGCCACACGATCATCTGCTGCCGGCGGGAGATGTGGGCCAAGTGGGTACACTTGGTCTTCATCAGCAGCGAGCGAGGGTCGTTCAGCCCGCTGTGCTGCCGCCCCAGCGCCCGGGCAGCGTCCCGTTTCCCCTCATTCGAGGCGCCATGCGCCTCCGCGCGCGGGCCGGACATCCCGTCTCTGGCCGCGGTCGTCACGAGACACCTGGATGCTTGACGCGGGCCCGTTTCCGCCGCGACAAGGGCCGAGGTGCGGGGTTCGCGCGTGGTATCAACAATGTAGCGTCGCGGTGACGCACGGTGTGGCTCTTGCCTGCCGCCTAGCGCGGCGTTGAAGCCGCGCGGGGGGGCGGGTAGTTAAAGTGGGACGCCTCGTCCCACCCGGCTGGGTTGACCGGCGCGGAGCGGGTCCGCTCGGCGACGACGTGGTGCTTGTCGCTGCGGTGGGGCGGGAGCGGCGACGCAAACGTCGCGGGCGCGTGAGCTGACGTCGGGGCGGCGGCCGGTTCGAGGTGGGAGTTTGCACTCACCGAGGGGTGGGTGTTTTTCGGCGGGCGGGCTGGAGGCGCTTTTGCGGCGCCGCGCCTGCCTGCCGTGTGCAAAGGCTATCGTATCGCTCGCTGGAACGCCGGACCAGGAGGGCGCAACACGTCCCGTGCGTCCATCTCTCACAGCGTGCGTCAAAGCCCAGCGCTGTCGTGGCGACGTCCGTGCCGACCAGGGCCGGCCCGCTCACGCTTCACGGCTGGCGCAAGTATCGCGATGGAGGTCGCGAACCAGCAGGGTTCCTCGCAGAAGGCCGCTGCGGGCAGCGGTGCTGTTCCGCGGGCGTGGGACTGCGACAACAGGTGTGCGATCGCGGCAGAGAAGGAGGTGAGGCGCCTGTGCATTCACGTGTAGCGCGGGCAGAGATGTGCGCACGTTCGCACGCTCGCGCGCGTCTCCGGCGCGGCATCGATGTCCTCGAGGTGACGAGTTTTCACCGCCGTGGCCGCGCCAGACGGAGCCAGGGACGTGCGATCTCAACGGCCGCGAGGACGCAAAATGTTCGCCGTCCTCTGGGATGCAAACCTTGCCATGACAGTCGACATCCGCGGGGCAAGCGCTCTCTCTGTGCCAAACAACAAAAGCCACCCCCCGAGGCCGCGCGGAAGGCGGCACGCGGGTGTTTGTCTCGTGATCGCACTCTCACGTCGTTAAAATATCACAAATCAGCGCACAAACCGGCCCGCGCGGGGTACCCGCAGGCGGAGATCTTCGAGGAGGTCGCGGACATGACTCACCCGTTCGAAGGCATCCCGACGGTCGGCATGCGCAAGGACATGGACAGGATGGCACGCGCCCACCCGACATGCACCGCACAGTCCTCGCACGCGCTGGACCCGCACCGTGCCGCTTCAACTTCGGTCCGAACACATATCCTTCGATTTGATGTCTCGCGTCAAGAAGCCCACCGCCGCCCCCTCGCGCCCGCAGGCCTTCTTCTGCAACGGCTGCCGCTACCTCGTCACGGCGTACCCCGACTGGACGGCGGCGCGCGTCAAAGAGGCACTGATGGAGGGCGGCATCGAGCGCGCCAACCCGCCCCCCGCCCGGCGCCACACGCCCGGGATCCGCACGTGGGAGGACCTCGAGCTCATCTACGCGGGCCAGATCATGGACAACGACCGCAAGCTCAGCGAGTACCGCGTCCCGCCCGGGTGCCGCTGCCTCATCGCCATTGAGGGCGCCAAGCTGCGCTCCGGCAAACCCGACATGGACTCCGCGTACTGGCTGTGAGACACACGGCGTGTCGCCGAGCGCACCAGGCAGGAGGTCTCACCGCCAGCAGCATGTCGCAGTCGCGACTGGTGTGGAACCGCTCGCGCCGCAGGCCGACCCCGCTCGCCGTGCGCCGTCGTCGCGCGTCACAGCTCAACCCCCCTCCCGCGCGCCTCGCCGCCCCGCTCAGTTCCGCCGGCCCTTGAGCCCCCCGACGCGGTCGCTGAGGCTCATCTTGCCGCCCGGGGCGGGCCGCGTCACCGTCACCGCGCCGGGCTTCCTCCGCGCCTTGCCCGCCACGCCCCCGCGCGCGCCGAGGCCGCCCCCGCCGGGGCTCCGCGTCTTCCCCGCCACGGCCAGCTCGTTCTTGATGGTGATCTTCATGTTGCGCGCCGCCTTGGGCACCGCCGCGGGCTTCGGCGCGGGCGGGGGGGCGCGGTTACGCGCGCCCATCGCCGCCACGATCGCGGCGCCCGCGCGCCCGGCCTGCCCCGGCGCGCTCTGCCCGCGCGCGACGCTCTGCCCGTTGACGGTGATGTTGATGTTCACGCCGCCCTTGCCGTCCGGCGTCGCGCGGACCTGCGTGCCCTTCGGACCGTTGACGTTGATCTTGTTCACCTTGGGCGCGGCGGGCGCGGCCCTCGGCTGGGCCACCGCGACCACGCCCTTCTTCCCGGGACGCACGGCCTTCGCGGGGGCCACCTTCTTCACCGGGATCACCTTGATGCCCGCGCGCTTCTTCTTCGCGGCCTCCGCGGCCTCCGCTTGCCCGCGCTTCGACGCCAGCTTGGCCTGCGCGAGCCGAGCAGAGCACGGGGGTTGCAGGTCGGTTGGTGGGCGGCTGCGGAACACGCGCGCGGGCGGCGGCGTGGCGTGCCGGCTGGCGGTTCGAGCGGTCTCACGCCGGGCGGCGCGGCGGTGCGTGCGCGGCTGCGCGGGGGGCGGGGCGTCACCTTGCGGTTGGCGGCCTGCTTCGCGGTCACGTTGGCCGCGGCCTGGGCCTTCTTCGCCTTCTGCGGCTGGTCAATGTCCATGCCCGAGCCGCCGTTGCCCTGCGAGGGACGCGCCAGCGCGTGGTGGGGGTGGAGTGAGGTTCCTGGTGCGTGGAGATGCAGATGCAGGCGGGTGCTCGCGAGGGCGGGGGTCCAGACAGCGCGACTGGCCTCCACGCCCTCGGAGCGGTGAGAGAAAACGCCGCGGGTCGGCCCGCGATGCCTGAGCGGTGCGCGCCGTCCTCCCGCGCGGGGTCGCTGAGCAATATCCTGGCCTGCATGCCGCGTCTGCCTCCGTGAGAGGTAGTTTCGGAACCGACGTACCTTCTTGCCACCCTTCTTCTTGCCAGCAGGCTGGGCGTTGTTCTGCAGGGGCAGCCGGGCGGAAGCGGCGCGCGGTGAGCGTGCACCTCCGTGCAAGAGGACGGCCGTCGAGCCGGGGGAGGGGGCACCGCGGCATGAAGCCGCCTTATGGGCGCCTGAGGCGACGATCATTCGTTCGGCGCGTGTCTGGCACGGTGACTCCAGGGGGGCGCGCGCGGAAGGCAGAGGAAGGGCACAGACAGTGCCTTGGGGGCCAGAGCGGCCTGGGTGACGCACCGCCTTGGCAGCCGACTTGGGCGTCTTCGACTTGATGATCTCCTCGAGGGGCCTGTCGTACGACACCCCCATGCTGAAGCCGCCGTCCGCCATGATGCCGCCCGTGCCTGTCTGTGGCAGTTGGTGCCGAAGAACGCCGCTCTCGCGCGATGCCGTCCGAGACACACCGGCGCACCTACGCGCTCGTGGCTGTAGAGAGGTGATTAGGCGAGGAACCTGCACGGGGAGGCCCCGGGGGCACGGCGCGTCTGGCTAGGCGTTCAGCGACAGAGGCACCTGGGCGCGTCCGGCGTGGGCAGAGGACGCCAGGGGACGCAGACAGACGGAGCGTGTAGCCTGGTGCGAAGTCAGGCACAGCAGCCGCACGATGCAGCCTCCTTCCGCGCAGCCGCAGCGTGGGAGGCCGGACAGAGGTTCATTGCCAGGGAAGCCGCGGGCCGAAAGCCGGCGTACCTTGAGCTCGAGACTGGAGCAGTGAGGGTCCACGCGACGAGTCACCAAGTGCGCCGGGTGTCCGGGCCTGCCTGCCTCTGTGCCGGCGGGAACCGCGTCGTTCCCACCTCGGGGGTTGGGACCACCCACTGACGTGGTCAGTCGGGATTATCGGCGCACGCGGGCACATGATGCGCGCAATCGCGCGATCACGAGTGCACTTTGTGTCTGTCTCGCAGCACCCGCGCGGACGGAACATTTCACGGCGCCCACTGGCACGCGCGGGCGGTGAACATGGGTCTGCTGCAGCGATGAAGGCTTCGTGCGCCGTTGCGAGGGCGCAGCGTCCCTGTCGCGTTCCCGCGAGGCGGCGTCTGAGTAGATGCGTCCGGACGTGTGCCGGTGGAGCTGGACGCGATTCGCACGGGGAGGCGTGGGGGCCACTGGCGGGATGGATGGCGGCATCGGCAGCGGTGCTTGGGCCGTACTGCGACAGCCAGCACAGCAGCCACGACATCCTGCATTATGTTGAGCCAACCATCCTAGGTGCGCGCGCTTGGGAGCGCTCCCCTTGCCGACGCCTCGCGCGACGCCCCGTTTCATGCCGACGGCGGACGCGCCCCCCTCTGCGCAGCGCCGATCGAGACCTGCTGGTGGGTGCCGCCGCTGTTCGCGGTTGCCGGCGTCATACTCGGTGTCGGACACCCCCTTCTCGACAAGACGCTCGGCGCCGGCGAGCGCGCCCCGGGCTGGCCCGTGGTGGTGCTCGGCATCGCACTCTTCGTCGTCCAGTACTGGATTTCCGGCGCCCTCGAGCCCCGGCTCACGAGCACGACCCTGATGGGCCTGAGAGCGCACGACTGCGTGCTGTTGGCATGGGGTGAGTGCACAACTTGAAACTTTGTGCGGCGCCGTTTCACGCAGCCATCGACGACGTGCCCCGTCCGACCACGGGGGCGCCGTCCCCCGCGCGCAGGTGTGGCGATGTGGGCAGCGCTCGACCGCACGCGGCACGGTCTGGGCCTCGCCCTCCTGACGGCGGTCGCGGGGCCTGCGCTGGAGGTCTTCCTCATCAACGTCCTGGGGCTGTACAGCTACACCAGCCCCGACGCACTAGGCGTCCCTTTCTGGATCCCGTGGGTCTACTTTGCAGGCGCGCCAGCCAACGGCAACCTGGGCCGCCAGATCCGCGCACAGCTGTTGACAAACGAGGGGCGCGACCGTGCGCAGCGCCGGAGCTAGGGCGCGTACATACATGCAGCTGCTTCCTCAGTGAGTCACGATGTTCAACCTGTGCACGGCGAACGATGGACTCGAACGCGACACCGCGAGGCCGGAATCACGCGTCAACGTCAGGCTGTCACAAAGGCTCGCACATCGCCTAGTCGCACGCTGCCCAGCCGAGCTCGCTGGGAAGGTCGCTGAGCCCGCTGCGGATCGAGATGGCTCGGAACTGCTCGACTGACATTTGGCGGAAGCTCTCCTGCGCAAACTTCCGCAGCTCTGGCTCGTCCATGGCCTCGAAGTCGTCGCTGTACGCGTCCGACTTCGTCGTCGTGCCGCGCAGGAACGTCCTCAGCCGCTCGGGGTCGCTGAAGAGCGACTCGGCCAGCTGCGCGGCGCTTGCGTTGCCGCTCTGCTGCTTCTGCACGCCCGACGGGATGCGGCTGGGGATGCGGCGGCCCGCGGGGACAGATCCGGACGCGTTAGATGTCCGCCCGCTCCCGCGGCCCGTGTGCGCGCCGTTCTCGGACCCGTTCGCGCCCGGAATGGGCGGGAGCGCTGACGACGACATCCCGCTCGCGGCGGAGGCGAGCACCGGCGGCGACGGCGACCGCTTCGCCGGCGCAGGCGGCGGGTGCGGGATCTGCGTCCGCGAGGCCCCCTTGTACAGCGGGTGGGCCGCCGACATCCCCGGCGGCGCGGGGCGGAAGGCGTTGCCGCCCGAGCCGGGGGGCCGCTTCAGGGGCGGGAGGGGCGTGTCGGTGGCGGTGCTCGCCGGCCGACTGCGCGTGGAAGACCCGCGGCTTCCTGCGCGCGCCCCGCGGCTGCTCTTCCGCCCGGAGCCGGCGTTACTGCTGCGATCGCGGCTCGGCACGCGGCTCCCCCGGGCGCTCTTGCCCCCCGGCGGCTGCACGGGCGCCAGCTCGCCCGCAACGCCGCCCTCTCGCAAGACCGGCGGCGCCTGGCTCTGCTTGCTCGCGGCGTCGTCCACGTCGTCCACCGAGCGCGCACTGTCGCGCCGCGCCGGCGGCAACCCGGGCGTGGCCTCCTGGTCGACCTCGTCGACCGAAGCGACGGAGTCCGAGGCACGCCGCGCCGGGTCAAGCCCATCGTGGCCGCCGCGCGGCTCCCGGAAGTCAGCGACTTCCTCCACCTCGGTGCCCATGCAGTCCGCGTCCGTTGCGGAGCCTGGCCGGGCCACGCCACCGCGCGCGACCTTCTCCTCGACGGCGGCGCTCGCCGGACGGCTGCTGGTGTCGCTCGCGTGCTGCGCGTCCACCCCGCCGTGGCGGGACCCCCCCTCGGGACCGTCGGCAGGTCTGTCGTGCTCAGTGCTGTCCGGCTCCGGGCTGCGCGAGCCGTCCTCCTCCGCGAATATCATCGTCGGCACCTCCTCCACGCCGCGTGTGTGGTCTGCCTCCGCCCCGGACGCCCCGCTGCCCCGCAGCTCCGCGTGAGAGCGCGCCTCCGCCGCCGCTGACGACGACAGCTCCGCCGCGGCCCGCGCCGCCTCCGCGGCCGCAATGCGCGCCTCCGCATCCTCCTGTACCGCGCGCTTGTCCTCCTGCAGCCTGCGGATCTGACTCTGCGCCCGCTCCAACTCGTAACGGGTCTGCTCCACCGCCCGCCTGTCGCGCAGGCCTCGGAACGCCGCCTGGATCCGCGTCGCCGCCAGATCCTTCCGGACCTCGTCGTCCGCGGCCCCACGCCCGTCCTCGCCGTCCTGCCCGCCGCGATACGGCCCCAGCGCGCGCTCCCGCGCCAGCTCAGCCTTGCGCCAAATGCTCTCCTCGACGCCCTTCCACGGCTCCCCGAGGTCCGAGTCGTAGTCCTCGTCCTCGCCCACCTCCACGTCCGTCAGTCCCGTGCTGCTCACGCTCTTCGCCTCGGACAGCTCCGCGGCCAGCGCGTCGACCACCGACTTGGCGCTCTCTGCTGCCGACCGCCCCCGCCGCCCCTGCCGGCGCTCCTCGCGCGCGACGGCCTCGAGCCGCTCCAGCTCTGCGGCCACGGCCGACGCGTCGTCGACGGGCTGCTGCCACGTGACACCCGCGGCCAGGGACTCCCGCACCCGCGCCTCCTCCTGGGCCCTGCGCTCCGCCTCGACCGCGGCCTCCTCCGCGCGCTTGGCCTCGCGCAGGTCCGAGACGTGCCTCTGCGCGAGGTACCCGCGCGCGTGCGCCTGGATGCACGTCGCGGCCGCGTGCATCTGCTCCTGCAGCGCGGCCTCGTAGGAAGCGGCGGCCGCGGCGGTGGGCGAGTCCGAGCGGGCCTCGGCGGCGCTGGAGCGCTGCGAAGCGTGCGCGTGCGGGTCCGCGTCTGCAGAGAAGGACAGCACCGGGGGAGGGGCGTTGAGGGATGCGACAGGTGACATCTTGTCGTCGATCTGCGCAGGGGGCTGAGCACGGAGAGCGCCAGCAGGGATGGGCGCTTCCGCCGATCTGGTTGAAGGGGCCGTCGGCAAGGACAGCGCGAGGGGATGGGTGCCCGCGGCACGGCCGCTGCCCCCGTGCCATCGGCACGCCACTCACTCACCGTCGTCGAGCATGGCCATCATGTCCTCGTACGTCATCCGCTTCTCGCCGCCCTCCTCCTCGGTCTCCGTCGCCTCCGGCTCCGGCTTCTTCCGCTTCTCGTACGGCAGGATGTTCGGCATGATCACCGCTGGCTGGTACTGCCGCCGCCACTGCGACTCCGCGTCGATCGCCGCGCGCCGCTCCTGCTCCGCCTGCGCCTCCTTCTCCTCGAACGCCTGCTCCAGCTTCTGGAACAGCGGCACGCGCGCGTTCCGCTTCTTCATCGCCTTCTTGAAGCTCCTCTCGCGCTTGGCCGCCTCGCTCTTGTTGGCCTCCGCCGCCTGCCGCTCGCGCTCGAACCGCGCCCGGACCTCCGCCTCGTGCTGCTCGCGCTGCCGCCGCTGCCGCTCAGCCTCCTCCTCCTCCTGCTTCTTCCGGCGCCGCTCCTCCTCCTCCGCCAGCTTCCGCTGCCGTTCCTTGCGCTCCTTGTAGTACCGCGCGACCTGGGGAGAGGGGGGGAAAGGGGGCATGCGACGTGAGAGGAGCTCGATCGCGCGGGGCGCGCGTGCCCGCAAGCTCGTCGTCGCGCACAAAGAGCAACTAGAGAGAGCGTTGTGTCTCGCGAGTGTGGGACGGGCACGCCGCGGCTGTGCCCGGCGTCGCCTGTGCGTGGGTTCGCGGTGCGGGGGGGGCTCACCCGCTCCCTCTCGCGCGTGTCGGGCCGCGAGATCTCGACCTGCTTCTTCCCAGGGCGTTTGTCGCGGTTGTATGTGTTCCACCCGGCCTCGCGGTCCTTGGCCTCCGGCGACGGCTCGCCCCCGCGCGGGGTGCCCGTCGCCTCGCTGGCGCCGTTGGCGTCGTTGCTGCCCGTCTCCGTCGCCGACCGCTTCTTCTTCGGGTTCTTGGTCATGTTGACGCGCCACGGCTTCTCGTACACGCCCACGGGCTTCTTCTCCGGCATCCGCACCTGCAACGCGACGTGCCGACGCGTCTCAGTCACCACCACTTCACTGCCTCGAAAGCTAGTGCGCGGAAACAGCCAGCGTGAAAGCAGACCAGCAAACATTCGTCGCAAGGGGGCGGGCGGAACAGCAACGGCGCCCGCGCGGTGGCGCGTTGACGCGCGTGTGAGGCAGTGTCTTCTGCACCTGGTACGGGTCGGGTCGCTCCTTCGGCACGCTGGCCGACGCATACCGCCGCGGCGCCCTCTTGGCCCGCCCGCCGCCGCCGCCGCCACCGCTGCGGGCGTTCTGCGCGACCGTGCCGTCCCTCCCCCACTCCATCAGCTCGATGCCGTCGTCCCGCGGCGCAGGCGACGCGCTCGCGCCCCGCGTCCGCCCCGCACGCTCCTCGTGGTGTGCGTCCATCAAGGGCTCGATCGCGCCGCCGCCCGGCTCCTGCGCGGGCTCGTACGTGCCGTACGGGTCATCCAGCGGCACGAGCCCCGCGGGCGGGTCCGCGTGCGCCGCCGGCCCGCCCACGTCGCCGGCCGCCGGCGGCGCCTCGTGCGCCGTGAAGCTCTCCTTCATCTGGTCCTGCTGCGCGGCCCGGGCCTTTGCCGCCGCCGCCGCGTGCGGCGATGCGAGGAACGAGATGGGTATCCGCGCCCCTGCGGCCCTCCGCGGGTCGCCCTGCTGCGGCGCCGGCTCGGCTTGTTGTTGCGGCACGGGCACCGGCGCAGCTGGCTGCTGCTGTGGCGCGGGAGCGGGCTGCCGCGCGTGCGTCGCGGGCGGCGGATGCGGCCGCTCGTGCGGCTGGAGGTGCATCGGCGCCGGGGTCGGCCTCGCCTTCGCCGCTGCGGGATGTGCAGGCGCAGCTGCAGGGGGGGCGCGGGCAGCGGGCGGGTGGTGCGGCTGCGGCCCGCCGCCTTGCTGCGCCGCCCGCTGCGGCGGCTGGCCAGGCGCAGGTCCGGCGTTCCCCGGCGGCACACGCGCCGGCTGCGGCGCCGCGGCGCCCTGCTCGTCCACGCCCCCCACCACAGCCTCCAGGTCCTTCCCCGTCACCGACGCCGCCAGCGCCGCCGTCCGCCGCGACTTCTCCGTCTCGAGCTGCTTCCACTGCGCGCGCAGCCGCTCCACCTCCCCGCGCAGCTCCGCCAGCGACTTGCCCGACTTGGCCCCCGGCACCCCGCCCGGCGCCTCAACCGCGGCCGCAGGCGCAGCACGTGCAGCCGGCCGCACGGCGCCGTCCGCGGGCGCGCCCGTCGCCGGCGGCGGCGGCGCCGCGCCCCCCGGCCCCACGCCGACGGGCATGTTGAGGATCGACTTGCCCAGGTTGCGCTGCGCCTCCTCCAGCGGCGACAGCTTCTGCGCCTCGGCCTCCGCCGCGGCCTTCTCCGCGGGGTCCTCGTGCGGCCGCGTGGCCCCGCTCGGCGGCCGGTCCAGCGGCTCCGGTTTGAGCGGGATGTCGAAGATGTCGGAGCTGGTGGGGTCCACCGGGTGGGCCGCGCCGCTGTCCGCGCGCGCGACGCTCGGGGCGCCGCGGCCCGCGGTCTTCGCCGCGGGGACCGCGCGCGCCTCGCCGCCGGCGTCCAGCGACGGCCGCACGGCGCCCGGCGCGAATCCGGAGGGCGCGTGAGGGGCGCGGGCGGGCGGTCTGCCGTCTGCGGGGCGGCGCACGTGGCGCCCGCCCGGCGCGGCGCCTGCGGAGGCCTGCGGCGGCGGGCCGCGCCCGGGGTGGGGCCGCCGCGTCCGAACGACGCGGACGGGCCGCCCGCGTCCGCGACCGGGCGGAGGTCCTCGGCCGCCGCGCCCACGGCCGCCGGGGCGGGCCGCCGCGCCCGCCCGGTGGAGGCCCTCGACCGTTCATGGTGGCGCCGGGGGCGGCCCGCGGCCGCGGCCACGGCCGGGAGGGCCCGGCCCGGGTCCGCCGGGGCTGGGGCCGGGACCGCGGCCGCGCGCGGGGGAAGGAGGGCCCGCCTGGCTCGGCTCGGCTGCTGGGGGCTGAGCTGAAGCACTGGGAGCCTTTGTGGGCTGCAACGGGAGAATGGGCGCGCAGCGAGTGCGTGAGCGCGAGGAGGGCTCCCAGGCAGGGTGCCAGGGCGCTGTAGCCGGGGCACCGGGGGGCGTCCAGGGGCGGTGCGGCGCGCGCAGGGCTGCCGGTGAGGTGCACGCTCCGGGCGCCGCATCGCTGAGCGAGCGCGGTGCCGCGCGGGCGTGGGTCAGCCGGGCGTGCATGGTGCTGGACCGAGGCGTCGCCGGTCGCGGGAGCTGGCGTGGCTGGGACGCGCGAAACGCGGCGGCGCCGGCAGTGGCCAGTTGTTCTCGTGCTGCGGCGCGCGGGAGCGCGACGGCCAAGGCTGCGGGGGCGCCGTGCGACCCAACATGTCTCATACGTTGCTGGAGACTGCGCGGGTGCGCGGCTCACCTGAACTTTGCCTGCCATGTCGCGGAGGCTGCCGTCTGCGGCAGCGGGCGCGCCCGGCTTGGACTCATTGGAGCCCATGGTGCCGCGTGCGCGCGTCCAAGCAAGAGGCAAGGCACGGACTCACGTCGAGTGGTCGCGCTCGTGCATGTCCGCCGCCTGTTCAGCGCATCTATTCGACGGACAAATTAAGCCGTCCGTTTCTGCCCCGGCAGCGCCCACTCGCTGCGCATCGTGTCCAGGACGGCGCTGACACGATCGCCACTCACGTCAACGGGGCTCCCCCAGGGCCGCAAGCGCCGACGACAAGCACTCGCCGGGCCGCGCGCACGGTGGCACGCGCGCACCAGTGCGACCGGCATCCGGCCTCGCAGGAACGCCACCCCTCACGCCCCTCACGGCCGCGCTCGAGAGCCTCTTCTCCAGCTGCGTACCAGGCCATCCCCTCGCACCACCACCGCTCGCCGCCTCGCGCTGGAACGCCGGCTGTCGGATCCGCGCGCGCCTGCACGGCGTTGCCGCCGCTGACGCGCGGCTCGGCCCGCGCGGCCGTCAGTCTGGCGCAGAACGGGGCGTTGGGACCAAACTTGAGCGTGTAGCGGGGCGTGGCGGACACCATGGGGCGCCGGGCGGGCCGCACGAGCCGCCAGCAGCAGGCGTTTGAGTACCTGCTCGAGCAGGAGGACGACCTGCCGATGTCGCCCGCGGAGCTGACGGGCAACGGCACCTCGAAGAGCACGCACCGCGTCCGAGCTGGCTCGGCCCGCGGGCTCGCGGCGACGCCGCTGCAGAGCACGTGTCCGCGGCCGTGGAGCGAGGTCCCCGGACTGGGATTCGTGGGCGACTCGCCAGCCCATCTCGCCGCGAGGTGCGCCCGCTGTCCGCACGGGACCCAGCGCGCAAGCGTGCGCGCGACGGGCCGCGCCGCGTGGCCGATCCCGATCGAATCCGCGAGCCGTCGCGGCCCTCCTTCGCGTCCTCGACGGCCACGGGTCGGAACCCGGAGGTCGGGCGCCGACGACGCCGCCGACGCGAACTGCTCTCCCCTGTCCGCAGTGTGTCTCCGCCGCGAGCGAGCGAGGCGGACTCGCTCCTCGCGATGTTCGAGGGCTCCGAGCTCCCCGGCGAAGTCATTCGCGACGTCCTCGCGTCCTGCGGGGGCGACACCACCCGCGCCATGGACGCCCTCCTGGGCATGGTCTCGCCCGCCACGCCCCCCGAGCCCGACGCCGCGGCCGCGGACGCCGTCGACCTCTGGGGCGCCCTCCCGCTCGACATCCGCACGAAGATCTTCGAGCGGCTCTCCGTGCGCGAGGCCTGCCGCGCCGCCCCCGCGAGTCGCGACTTTGCCACGTTGGCGCGCGCCGCACGCCTCTCCGTCACGTCGCTCGCGCTCCCGGCGCGCGCAGCGGGCCCCGGGGGCGCCGCGCTCGCGCGGCAGATGGTTGCGGCGCACCCGAACGCCCGCGCCGTCACCCTGCGCGGCGCGGGCCCCAAGGAGGGCACGCCAGCGGGTGACGCTGCGGACGAGGAGTCGTTCGTGGCCTTCGTGGACGGCGTCGCGGTGGGCGAGGCGGTGCGCGAGAGCCAGTCGGTGCGGTCCGCGGGGCTCGCGGTGGGCGGCACGCACGACTACACCCCCCTGAAGCACGGCGGGGGGGCCTGGCAGCCCCCGCCCGGCGCGGCGCCGGCGCCGCTGGGGTCGACGGGGCGGTGGGGCGCGGGGGGCTGCGGCGTCGAGGCGCTGGACGTGCGCGGGTGCGCGGCGGTGACGGACCACGCGGTGTCGGTGTTGTGCGACGTGTTGCACAACGTGCGGGAGCTGTCGCTGGCCAACTGCCCGGCCGTGTCCGACAGCGCGCTGCTGTCGCTGTCGCGGTTCCAGGGGCGCGGCGGCGACCTCGAGCACTCGGAGAGCCTCGCGGGCGACGACGCGGGCGCGCCGGGCGGCGGGCTGCGCTCGCTGAGCGTGGCGGGGTGCGGCAAGGTCACGGACCGCGGCGTGAAGGAGCTGCTGCGCGGCGCGGCGACGCGCACGTCGCTCGTCCGGCTCGACCTGTCGCGGACGGCGGTCACGCGCGAGGGCCTCGCGTCGCTCCCGCCGCGCTCCGCGCTGCGCCACCTGCGCTGCAACTCGCTCTCGCGGCTCTCGCGCGTGTCGCTGCAGCTCCCGCCCACCGCGCCGCTCGAGGACGTCAGCTTCGCGGGGTGCCACCAGCTCCGCCACGCGGTCCTCGTCTGCGGGAACCTCGCGGCGGCCAACTTCTCCGGGTGCGCGCAGCTGGCCTCGCTCGACCTGCGCTGCCCGCGCCTGCGGTGCCTCACGCTCGGCGGGTGCGCTGCGCTGACGTCGCTCTTCCCCGCGGAGCCCGCGGGCGGCTCGCTGATCGAGCTCCCGGACGACCCGGCCGACCTGTTGCACTTTGAGTGCCTGGAGGACCTCAACTGCTTCGGGTGCCGCACGCTCGACGCGCGGAGCGTGGAGGTGGCGCTGTCGCGTGCGCCGGCGCTCGCGGCGCTGAACCTCAACGGCTGCGTGAGCATGACGCGGCTCTGCCTCGACGACGCGCCCTGCCTGGCCGCTCTCGATGTGTCCGGGTGCCGGGGGCTCGAGGACGTGCGCCTCGAGTGCCCCGCGCTCGCGACGCTGCGCGCAGTGAGCTGCGGCGCGCTGCGGAGCCTGTACCTGGCCACGCCGCGGCTCGCAACGCTCGACGTGACCAACTGCGCGGCGCTGGTCGCCGTGATCGTGCCGGGGCCGGACGCCGGCGGAGCGGGCGCGGAACCCGGCAGCGCACGCGGAGCGCGGGGCACGCCCGGCCGGCAGGACTCGGCCGCGGTGCCGGTGCCGGCGCGGCGGCGGTTCGTGTCGGCAGCGCCCGGGACGCCGTCGAGCCTCGGGACACCGGTCGCGGAGTCGCCGTTCCTGCTCGGAGCGTCCCCGAGCTTCGCCGCGAGCCCGATGCTGCGGGCGCTCAGGTGAGGGCCCCGAGGAGCGCCCGCTGCGCGCGCGCAGGCGGCCCGGTGTGCGCACGCACCCTCCGACCGTGGCAGAGCGTTGTGTCCGGTGCGCAGGTCTGGGAGGGCGGAGAAGGCGGCCAAGGGCGGGGGGGCCGGGGCTGCGGAGGCGTCGGGACCGGCGGTGGTGGCGAAGGGCGCGGCGGGCGTGGACGCGGTGGACGTGTGCAGGCGGCTGTTGGAGCTGGCCCGGGGGGCGGTGATAGGTGGCGGGTGAGGCGCGTGTGAGCGCGCGAGGAAGCGCGGACGTGCGAAACTAGGCGACGGGTATGAACGTGCGCCGTCGAACGCGCGGTGTCGGCCGGCGGGCGGGGCCGGTTCTTGCTGTCTGTGCATCTGCAGTTGTGCGGACGCCCCACTCCCGTTCGGCATCAATCGACGTGATAGTGGGCGCGTTGCTATCGGGTCTTGAATTCAAACCAATTCGCGCGCGCGTGGCGGATCCAGGGCCCGTGTCGAGGCCCGACGAAGTCGGTCCACGTCGGACTCGCTGTGGTTCGCAACGCCTCGCGCGACGTCGTCGGGGCGTCGCGGGCGCCCCACGGTCCATGAATGCGCGCTTGGCACTTCTAGAAACCGCCGCGAAACAGATACGAGCAGCGCCGTGAGCGTGTGTCGCAGCTGCGCCGGAAGCGTCGCCTCTCAGGCAGCTTCGCTGGGCCCGGGCGCGACATAATGGAGCAGGCGCACTTCGACAACACCGTCGTCGTTGGTGACGCGACGTGGGCCCGCGACGTGCAGCGGAAATGCGTCAGGGAGGCCACCGCTGCCCTCCAGGTGCGCGAGCAGGCGTTGCGCTGTGCCCACACCTGCTCGCGGCTCCCCGCCCGGCCAAGGGGCCCCGCACTGCGCCCTCCGCACTCCGGGCCGGAAGCGCGCCGTGGCGTGCGGGCCGCGGGTTCGGCTCCGGTCGCAGCCCGCGTTCGAGGGCCCGCCGCGCAACTGCAGCGTGGTTGAACGCGCTCAATTCAATGCGCGGGCGCGTGCTGGCGCGGCGACATTCGGACCTTGGATCGCGCTGCCCGGGCCTCGAACATGTGCCCCATCATTCGCGACCAGGCTCCGCGCGAGGACTGCCGCGTTTCGGGCCACGCACGCTCGCCTTCTTCCAGAGCTTCTAGGCACTCGCGGCGTCGCGCACGGCGGACGAGCAGGCTCCCCCTCGCGCGACGCAGATCATCGAGACGAGGATCACGCAGAACAAGGGCCTGTCCGGGGGCGGCGTGATGCTGGGGCGCGGCGGGATCGCCCTGTGCTACCTGCATCTTGACGCGTGCTTCAGCGACCTGCCGCCCTACACCCCGGAGAACGAGATACTCGTGGAGAACGCCCCGCAGTTCAGCCCCTCGTCCTGCGTGCAACAGGCCCAAGTCCACCTCGCCGCGGCAGGTGCGCCAGCCCACGCCACTGCATCGGATCCAACGCCACCCGCGCCCGTACCCCCCCGCACGCGGACACTCGCGGCGCCGTGCGTGCGCGAGGGACACCGCTCCAGTGCCGCCATCGACGTTGCGCGCCGCCGGTGCCGGCGTTCTACGAGCGGCGGGCGGCCCCACAGGGTGCACGAGTGCGGCGCGGTGCGAAGCCTGCCACATCTCGATGCGAGTGCGCGCGCTTTACCGCCTTTCTCCGTGCGCAGAGAAGATGATGGCCTCGAAGCAGCTGCGGGCGTCGTTCCTGGAGGGCCTGCCGGGCGTGCTGGCCATCCGCGCCACGTGCCACAGCCGCAGCGGCCACACCGACCGGGCAGTCGCGGCGGTCCGCGAGCTGGAGCAGCTGTACGACGCCATCGACCAGCAGCTCGCACCGGGCGAGTGCGAGGTCCTGTACGGCCGCTCGGGCTACCTCTGGTCCCTGTGCGCCGTCGAGGACATGGTGGGGTCCGGCACCGTCAACCGCGAGCTCGTCACGCGCGTCGCCTCGCGCGTCATCGCCACGGGGCTCCAGAACGCAGGCGCAGGTGCCGTCCCGCGCCCGCACTCGCGCCCCGCCCGCACCCTCTGCCCGCGCACGACGCGACCATCGCTCAACGCCACCGCTCGCCCCGCGCGCCTGCAGCCGGGAGCGAGGGCGCGCGGTTCGGCCTGTGGTATGAGTGGCACGGCAAGGCGTACCTCGGCGCGGCGCACGGCCTGTGCGGCATCCTGTCGACGCTGCTGTTTGCACACACCGTGTTCGGCACCGAGGCGCTCGGCGTGACCCCGCAGCAGTTCGCCGACATCGTCCACCGCGCGCTCCGCGCCCTGCTCGACGAGCGCTACGCCTCGGGCAACCTCCCGTCCTCGCACGGCTCGCGCACGGACCGCCTCGTGCAGTGGTGCCACGGCGCGCCAGGGCTGATGATGCTCCTCGCGCAGGCGCTGCCGTTCGTGAAGCGGTCGCTGGAGTCGCCCTCGCCCGGGTGCCCCGCAGTGCCGGAGCAGGAGATCAGGGACGCGCTGGCCGCGGCCTCGGAGGTGGTGTGGCAACGCGGGCTGCTGCGCAAGGGCTGCGGGCTGTGCCACGGCATCGCGGGCAACGCGTACGCCTTCCTCGCGGCGTTCCGCGCGACGTCGGACCCCACGTACCTGCACCGCGCCACCGCGTTCGCCAGCTTCATGGCCGACTCCTGGCGCGAGCTCGCCGACGTTCCCGACCGGCCCTTCTCCCTCTACGAGGTGCGGCGCAGCGGTGCATGCATGGCCGGCGCGGGCTCCCCGCATGGCACGTGTGCGGCCTGACGCACGGTGCTGCTCGTTCTTGTTCCCGCAGGGACTGGCGGGGGCGGTGTGCCTGTGGTTCGACATGCTGCGGCCGCTGTCCGCGAACATGCCGGGCTTCGAGGCGGACGCGTCGCCGACGCGCTACTCCGTGGACTCCACGAAGCGGGGCAGCGGCTGCGGCAACAGAAGCAGCCAGCGGGTCTCCCTCGACGAGGCTGCGCCGAACGGGAAGGCCTCGTCGCCAACGGGGGGGCTCCTGTCGCGCAACCTCGCGAAGGACCTCCCGAAGGTCCCGCTTCTGCCATGATTCAGGCGGGGACGCCGCAACGGCCCCTGCTGTCCAACCCCCAATACAATCACGCGCGTTTGGGCCCGCCTTGGCTGCCCGACGCGCCTTCTCTTGCCCCCACCCCTTTGTCTTGTTCACGTCTGAGGTGCGTCGCGCGCGCAGTGGAGACGGCGTTCCGCCTTCCTGCACCACCGCGCGCTTTGTCACACTGACAGGCTGTATCGGTCCGACACGCCTGTCAGTTTTGACCTCGCAAGAGCCCCCGTCTTCCCTCCCTTCTTGCCTCCCGTCTTGCCAATCCATCATTCCTGCACTAATGCAACTGAGAACAAGCCCCCCGCAACGCACGAGCCGCGGACAGCTGCCAGAGCGGCTTTAGGAACACGGCTCCGGTTCCTCAGAGGAAGCGAGAACGCCCAGTTTGCCACAGTTTTCATCCAGCATCTTGACCAGAGCTTCACGGAACATCAACCTACACACGCCCACACGGAACACTCGCGCACACTGAAGATAGCCACGCGCCTGCTCCGCGCCGCTCCGCCACCGGCGCCGCCGCAGCTGGACGTGCTTTGCGCGGCCGATCACACGATTGCACCTCGCTGCCTTCACGCACTTCCCCAGGAGGAACCATTCGAGCGCGCATAACACACACAACCCCTCGCCCCATCCGCACAAATCGCGCCGGTACCTGCACGCGTGGTGCCAAACAGCGAAGTACAAACAGTGTGAGTCTCGCCTGCCGTACCATTTCGGTCGCTCAAGCGTCCTCGCGGTGAGGTATGACAGCTTTTCGCATGACAGGCCACGCGGGGGACGGCGGTGACGAGGAGAGCTGAGTAGCGGTCGGCGCGTCGCCACACAACGCGGACAATGCCGCAGACTCAGTCACCGCTGTCACCCAGCCGGCTGCCGATACCCCCTGGTACAAGCAGCCTAGGACGTGGACCAGCACTTCGGCGCGTCGGCTGGCGGGCGTCGTCCAGTACTCGCGCGGCTCGCCGCCTTGTTGCTGACGACGCCCGCCACTCGCTCTAACTGATTGCAGGTCAGAGCCTTCCCTTGGCACATGATGTCACGCTCACATGGCATTTCGCGCGAGTACTCCTAGCACGCTGCCGCCTTGATCAGGACGATAGCACACCCGCATTTCGTTTCGTGCGCGGGTGGTCAATTACTACTTTGTGAGGGTGCTTGTAAGGTCAGCGAAGAACTAAACATCTAGCACCATCGCGAGTGTATCGGGAGCCCGACCGTGCATGCACGAGCGCTCCTGGAACGACCCCTGCTGTTCCTCGCTGCTAGACGTGTGCTGGACGACGCCTCTATGTGCCAAGGCACCCATATCGGCTCGCTCGCTCGGCCAAGTCTAAAGGACTGCCCCCACCCCCCTGACAGCAGCCACCTCGCCTCAGACGTCGTGGGCCGCGCCGAGCAAGCGCACGGACCAGGTCGCGAGGGGCGCAGTGCTGGTGCGCGGTGGCGGTCGCGTGCGCGCATGGTGCTGCGCTGCAGGGGCCCAGTCACATGCGCGCCCGGTGTTGGTCTTGCGTTGTGTGTGCCGCTCTATTCGCGCACCAGCATGCGCGGTCACGTGCGTACAGACCCAAGTGATGATCGACGTCTCAGCGGACGCAGCGTCGGAGGCACCGGCACGGGGGCTTTGCTGCAACACAAGAGCACTGTGTGCCGCAAGAGCGCCCGGACGGGGACGGGAGAGCGCGGCCAGACACGACACGGGCGAGCATGACGCGGGGCTTCACACGGGCCGTCGGCAGTCCTGAGCAGGACCACATCCACCTCACCCGAAACTTGTCTTCATCTGCTACATCATCCCATCCGGCAGCACCAGCCCGCTCCCCTCGACAATCCACCGACGCAGACGGTCCGCAACGCTCTGCTCCAGCGTCCCCGTCAGATGCTGGCACCGATAAACACTCAGCTCCTCCAGCGCGTACAGTCCCCCCGGCAGGCTGCGCATGTCGCTGTAGCTTGCATCCAGCACCCGCAGCCTCGCAGCACCGCCCAGCACCTCCGCCGCGTCCTCCCAGTCCAGCTCTGCACAACAACCCACGCCCAGCTCCTCCAGCGCGTCCATGCCCCTCGGCAGCTTCCGCACGTTGCTGTGTGAGGCTTGCAGCACTCGCAGCCTCGCAGCACACGACGCGGGCAGGAACGCCTCGCCGTCCAGCTGCTTGCAATGGCTCACGTCGAGCTCCTCCAGCGCCGTCAGCTCCTCCGGCACTCTCCTGATTCCAGGGCACCGGCTGACACTCAGCCCGCGCAGCCTCGCACAGACCGACGCCGGCAAAAAGCCCTCCGTCATTCCCCCCGGGAAGTCGTTCAGGTCCAGCTCCTCCAGCGCCGTCAGCTCCTCCGGCACCCTCCGCAGCCCAGCGCTGTTCACCTTGAGCACCCGCACCGTGGGAGCGTTGCGCAGCGAGCTGACGTCCAGCGAGGCGCAGCCGCTCACGTCGAGCTCCTCCAGCGCCGTCAGCCCCTCAGACACCGCCCGCATCGCCGTGCCCCCAGCAGCCAGCACCCGCAGCTCCGCAGCGCCCGTCAGCGCAAGCTCAGGCTGCAGATTCTTGCACCCGCCCACGTGGAGCTCCCGCAGCGCCCGCATCCCCGCGGGCAGCCTGTGCAGAGCGCTGTTGCCGGCGCGCAGCACCCGCAGCCCCGCCGCGGACGACGCCGGCAGGCACGCCTCGTCCAGGCTCCTGCACCAGCGCAGCCAGAGCTCCTCCAGCGCGCACATCCCCTCAGGCAGCCTCCGCAGGCTACTGCGCTCGGCCCTCAGCACCCGCACTCGCCCCGCGCTCGACGCCGGCAGGAACGTCTCGCCCTCCAGCTCCAAGCACCCAGTGACGTCCAGGACCTCGAGCGAGACCATGCCCTCCGGCACGCGCTTCAGCCTCGTGAAGCACACCTGCAGCTCCGTGATGCCCGCCGCCACGCCTGCAGGCAGCCACTCCCGCCCCCACACGCCCTCCATGTCCAGCCCAGACACTCCCACGCCCACGCACCGCAGGCCCGTCATCTCCGCCGTCACCGCCGGCGCCGACGCCAGCTCACGCCGGCCGGCACCCGTCTCGGCCAGACATTGCAGCAGACCCCGATCTCCCGCCTCCACGCGCACCACCGCGGACGGCACGCCCACGTCGCAACTGCCTGCGCGGTGATACACCACCCACTCCCCGCGCCCCGTCGCCCACCCGACCTCCGACCTTGTCCCCTCCGACACCCGCCCCTCCAGCCGCCGCGCCACCGTCCGCCCCACCCGCTCCTCCGCACAAGGGCTGCGTGCGTCCCGTGACCGCCACCTCGCGCCGTCGCAGCTCTCCAGCACCGCGGCCATCATCGCCGAGCACGTCGCCGCCAGCGCGATGCGCGACTCGTGCGGCAGCTCACGGATGACGCTGGCCAGGGGACCGTCCCGGCCGCATTGAATGTCCTCCAGCTGATGCTGCTGGAGCCGTGCGCGTTTCGAGGGCTTGGACGCGCCCCCGTCGCTGCGCCGGCGCGGCGCCATGGCACTGCGACAGTTCCAAGCTGCCGTGCCACGTTCCCGTGCCCGTGCGCCGCCTCCTGCGCCCACAGAGACTACGAGGGAGGCGGTCGGAAGGTGGGGCCCGCAACGACGTTACGTGACGACAGCGACGCGCGGCCGACATCGAGCCGTGCTCTGCTGATACTCAACGTCGTAGCGCCACGCTTGACATCCGCCTCCAACGCGGCACCCGCACGCGGCAGCGCGCCAAGCACCCAGGCTGGGCTGCATCGCCTGCGGTGCCGCATGCAGGCGCGTCCCGGACACGCATACGCAGCGCCGCACTGCCAGCGACATACACATCACGCACCTGCGCACGCAGACACCCGTTGCCCGCCCGCAAACGCACGGAGAGACGACCCTGCTGCTCCTCGCTGCTTGACGCGTGCTGCCAGCGACGTCGAGTGCGGTGACGTCGGTGAGTTGCGAGTTGACGTCGTGGCCGTGACGCTGCACGCTCCCAAGTGTACGCGGCTGGCGCGGCGAGGCAGCCATGTCGGCTCGCACGCTCGGCCGGACGACAACCCCCTCCTGACAGCAGCTAACACCCCCTCAAAGGTCGTGGGCCGCACCGAGCAAGCGCACGGACGAGGTCGCGGGGGGGCGTAGTGCTGGTGCGCGGTGGCGGTCGCGTGCGTGCATGGTGTCGCGCTGCAGGGGTGCAAGGGGCCTAGTCACGGGCACGTGGCGGTGGTCCTGCGTCGTGTGTGCGCCGCTCTGTTGGCATCAGCGTGCGTGGTCAGGTGTGCACAGTCCCCAGCGATCATCGACGTCTCAGCGGACGCAGCGTCGGAGGCACCGCCACGGGAGCTTGGCGGCAACAACAGCGGGAGCGATGTGTGCAGCATGGGCGCCCGCACGGGGACGGGAGAGCACGGCCAGACACGTCGCAGGCGACCATGACGCGGGGCTTCACACAAGCTGTCTGCATCCTCGAGCAGGGCCGCAGGCACCTCGTCATTCGCGCATCTCCCCCATCCCCGCCGGCAGCACCAGCCCGCTCCCCCTAACGTCCCACCGACGCAGACGGCCCGCGACGCTCTGATCCAGCGTCCCCCTCAGATGCTTGCACCCTCGCACGCCCAGCTCCTCCAGCGCGTGCAGTCCCCGTGGCAACGCCCGCATCCCTGTGAACTGAGCACGCAGCACCCGCAGCCTCGCAGCACCGCCCAGCACCTCCGCCGCATCGACCCAGTCCAGCTGCTTGCAATAGCTCACGTCCAGCTCCTCCAGCGCGTCCATGCCCCTCGGCAGCTTCCGCACGTTGCTGTACGAGGCCTTCAGCACCCGCAGCCTCGCAGCATACGACGCGGGCAGATACGCCTCCCCAACCAGCTGCTCGCACCCGCTCACGTCGAGCTCCTCCAGCGCCGTCAGCCCCTCCGGCACCCTCCTCACTGCAGGGCAGTCGCGGACACTCAGCCCACGCAGCCTCTTAGAGATCGACGCCGGGAAGAGGCCCTCCGTGATT